GGGATCTTACTCCATTAGGCCCCTAGCGTGGTCTCCGTTTTTTGCATGTTTGTTTGCCGCCCTCCGGCCATGTAAGTCGTCCTTTGCATGGGCTGTTGGTTGGCAACTCGGATCCAACCGAATCCAATTGCAAGCCTGCGGAGACAGAGTCCATTCAGCTTCTGTGAGCTCGGCATCCCCGTGCCGTTGCCACCGGAGATAAGCACCCGCCAAGCCCGACAAAAAAACGGGCCGCGTCACATTTCCTCACTCGCACTAGGTACTAGTTAGTAACCAAGTAAGAGGTAACTTACCTTGGTACTTGAGTATGTCTCGGTGCGGTGCCTCCATCATCAACAACAACAATAACCATCGACGTCTTCCCCACGATGGCTGCCACTTCAGCCTAAAAGACGTTTCACTTCCTCTCGTTCTCTCTTTCTCTCTCTCGCCCTTCTGCCGGTCTGTCAGTGTTGTGTCTGACTCAAAAAATCGCCGTTTGTGGCGCCTCCCCGCACTACTGCACGAGTAACTATTAGAGTAACCACCCTACCTATCTCCAACTACCTCTACCTGGGTAGGCAGATCGCCGGAGTGATCAGACGAACGTTTGATTCGCCAAAACATGCGTTGGGCGCCCTTGCTAGCTCACGCGCGCTGCACATCCCCCGAACTTATCAGCTGCGTGCGTTCCACCCCAGTCGGAAAGCCAGTGGCAAATGCGAGAGAGACGAACTGCGGGCTTGCAGCTGGAGATGACCACGCCATACGGTATCAAATGCTCTAACGAAAGTCGACCGGCCAGTCAGAAGCGCGCCATCGATCCTGCAGTGGTGCCGTTGAGCTTGAAGACTTGAACTTGAAGTGCAAGGGAGATTGGCCGTGCGTGTGCGTGTGCGTCTGCGTACGTGTATGTGTGCTCATGTGAGATACTCACTCTGCTTTTCAGTGCAGCTACCTAACGTATCGTTGTAACTAACCACCATACATACCCCTCTCCACTCCAGTCGACTCTCTCTAACCAGGGGTGAGTATGTAGAGTAGAGTACCTTGGGTAGGTCTGTAGGTGTTTGGTAGGGCCTCGCTCGGACCCCACACCGTTCCATGGCTCTCCCCCGCTGCCGCGGCCGCCAGCCCGCCCCCATCCCGTCTCAGAGGGGGGCCTCGCAGGTCAGATCATCGGAATAAACCTGTCTGTCTGTCTGTATGTCTCGCCGTCCGTTGCCTTAAACAGACGACGACGATGGCCCCGTGTCGGCCACCATTCCATTCGCTGGGTGTTTTGGCCGTAGGTAGCTATGTGATGTTGCGACTGGATTCGGTCAATCAACCACCAGCTCTCCGCGATGCGATGCATGCGCTGTGCTGTCCGGAGATCGACCACACCTGCTAGTCAGTTAGTTAGTTTCTGCCTGCCTACAGCTTAGCGACGGCTAGCCTGCTAGTAGCATGTAGCCACAGGACAGGGCAGGGCAGAGCTCGGCTCCAGACTGACAGCCAGTTAGCCAGCCAGCCAGACCGCCAGCGAGCGAGAGCATCTGCTGTGTTCAACATACCTAGTAGCAGCACTTACCTAGCACAGGTATGTAGGTAGCATATGTACACTACATATATATCTGCCCACAACAGACCATTCCAACAACTTAGGGTCAACGTTAACTGAGGCGGTAAGGCTTCAATCGGATCCCTCCCCCGTGAGGCATTTTGTGTGGTGCCATGCCGACCGATGATTACCGGTATCATGTATGTATGTATGTACCTAATCTCGTAGTTTGGTATGGTAGAGACGTGGTCTTGTCGTAGAGGCGAGTAGAAAGAGTCAAACATGTCCCTGCATGGCGTAGTTGCTAACTGCTCTATCCACTCGGGGATGGGTGGTGGAGGTGATGGTGGTGGGTGTCTCTGCTATCACTCCCTCCTTGGTACATGAATACCAAGTATGTACCGGTATGTACGGCTTCACCGATGTATGATGGCTGCGGCGGCCGAAACGCCTCAGCAGGTCGGCTTCCGCGCACTGCCACCCGAGTCAGCCAGTAGTATGAATGGGCCAAGTCCAACGTCCGCAATCGCGACAAGGTATCCTATAACACACGGTATATCGTGTGTGCTCCGTAAACAAAACGTCTTGTCTACATTCCGACTAAGGCGGCGGCGGCGCCACTCGCTCGCTCGCGCCGAAAAGCGGACCCTTGATCGGGGGGTTCTTCCGGGGGCCGGTCTGGGGCTGGGGCTTGGGCTTGGGCTGGGCTGCTGGGGGGGCAACCGGCCGCTTCACCTGAAACAGGTCAGTGGTGGAGCTAGCCATGTAGCCTCGCCGATGTGGATTACCGCGAGTCGACGAAACGAACGGCGTCTGGGGGTTGGATAGATGGAAGGTAATTGCCGACGCCTGAAAGGCTGAGACCTCCGGACCGGACCTCGTCTAAACCAACCACCTGTGCCGCACAGTCGCAGGCCGGACAGACGCGGCGTCGCAAGCCGCTTTTGCTCACACAGGCATCATCCTTGGGCTGGTTGGGGCAGCCGAGCGAGTGAGGCGCTGTGCGCTCTTATTCCTGATCCCTCCCCGGCCCCTTTCCCCTCCCCCCTCCCTCTCCCCCCCGCCGCTCGGTCCCCCGATCGCGAGCCCCGGCCGGTTCCCGGTATTTCCCCAGGCGAACAACCGTTATTGATGGGCTTCAGCTTTCTCGATCCGAATTCCCAATGCACATGGCCCTCACTGATATGGCCCCCCTCGATTGCGACCGACGGTTAGACTCAATGATGGACGACGCCACGACTCGCTTCGCTTTGCGCAGCGGCACTATTAGCTACCTATATGAGTGAGTAGGTTGTTAGTTATCGGCCAGGTCATGGCCCCCCCAAATCTGCCGCATTTGGTCCGCCACTACATGCGCCGTGATAGCGCCTTGGCAGTTAGGGCGGGCTAACACCGCGAGAAATACGAGTGATGCGCCATGTTCATTCGGTTACTAGGCGGACAGCTCGCATAGGTAGCTGCCAGTAGCATCACTCTTTCAGCTCACCCAACGTCACCCGAATTTTGGCCCACTCCCACGGTATCCTCTCCGAGCTCCCTTCATTTCACTCCATCTGTCCACGGTTTGTACGTCAGCTACTGGCGTCGGTGAAGTTGTGTGTGTACATACGTCCCAACGGCTCTGGAAGCTCTGTAGGGTAGGATTCCCTCCTTTCTGCTCGTGGCGTCGCGGGCTCCGCAGCAGCAGCAGACCAGATTTCTAGTTTGTTTGAATCCTCTCGTAAAGCCCGCTCGATCTGTCACATGCATGTCCCCCCTCCTAGAGCTGTCGGTCGATTCGTAGTTCAATCTTGCCTCGAGCCGGCAGAACAAACGTCACATGCGGTACGACAGCTTCTGCTTCCGCAGTGATGGGGATTAGGGTCGTTGCTGTGTATACCAATGATCCGGAAGCGACTTGTGAGCGGCCGCCGGCGGCTCTTTGGTGAGACCAGAGAGTGCTTTTCTAGTACGGCTTGCAACACGGACGGCAACACGGACGGGATCAGACTCTGAGCCAGATCGGAAGGCGCCTGGTGGTCTCGCGATCTCGACGTTTTAATCGAAAGGCGGATCGTCATGGTAATAAGAAGGAAAACGGCGAGAATAGCGAGGACAGATGGTGCGAGATTAGTTGTCAGAGATCTGACACCGGAAAGCGAAGCCGAGAGTCTTTGCGGTCATCTCTCAGCCGTTCAATCTAAGAGTGCCCTCCCCCCCGTGCACGCTCCTCGCCTTCACCTCCTCGAGAAAGGCAGGAGAATCTACCGTTTTCTCCTAGTTGGGTACCGCCCGTAGTTCTTCCTGGGTGAGTGCGCTCACCACTTTTGCAGACGACTCCTTTGCCAACACCTCTCAAGGCCGGCATCTGGTCGAGAGGAGAGCACACACAGAAGAAAGAGGAGATAAAGGTTGATTGTCTATTCAGTAGATGATGATCAAGAGAGAAGAAGAAGAAGACGACGAAGAAGACAACCCCGCTGGACCTACTCGGTCGACCCCGCCATGGCCGCCAACGTTAATTCCCACCAACTTTAATGCCCAATACTAACCACATTCGTTTTCTCCCGCCGACAGGTCCTCCTCTCGCTCTGCCACACCATCGGTGCTCCTTCGCCCCTGGATCCGACCAGATCTTGAAGCAAGCTGAACGAGCTCGGCTTCACTTGGGTACGTATCATGCTGCGTTCCGATCGCACAGACCAGGACATACCACAAGACTTGGAGGAGCGTATTCATCGCTATTCATGATAGTTAGGCTTAGGCTCCACACGATGAATGAGAGGGCGGAAAAGTGCTGCGCTCAGACTTGCTTGCTTGCGGTCACGTGTGTGCCCATATCCTGGCAATCTAGAGTACGTACCCAACATCTTTCTGTGAGAACCACCGCATATTCTCTCGAGTATGTAGAGTAATCAATATTTGCACAGCGGCTCTGCGTTGCATGGGTTACCCCTCAATGCTCTAAACCACTCACAGTAATACTGAGGCCTTTCTCCACTGTGAACCTTCACTGTGACCTTGGTAGCTTCGACCGAACTCGTATCCCAAGCAACATTTTGAGGTCATTACATAGCTACTTCTCCCTCAATATCGTGGCGGACCTACTACGGACAACAACAATGGATTCAGGCACGAACCCGGACTAGAAGACCCAGAAACCTGGGAAATCCCGTTCGAGATCGCCATCTCCATCTCCAGGTCTAGTTGCCAGCGCAACTAGTTCCGCGCCCACCCTTCCACATCCCCGGGAGCACGGCTGTAGTCATGTGGACGTCCCTCCCTCGGGAGCCTTCCCCGTAGAAAGAGATCAACTTCGGCCGGTTGCTACGGTTTCCGGCACGATTGTAGCCGCGGATGACTCACAGCAGCCGGACTCGAATGTCGCAGTCCGCGCCGTAGCCCTGCTATCTTCGACCGATGGAAGCGTGTGTCTAGTAAGCAGTAGTTCCAGTCCCGAGAAAATCACTTGGACTGTTGCTGACCGAGTGCACCAGCAATGCGCGCGTTGTTCGGATGCATCTTCGTCGGCAGCGGAGCCCGCAGTTTCCGGAGCTCCTTCAGATGCGCATTCATCAGTAGCGCCAGCGGCGCTTCAACCCACCTCAACTGTCCCTTCATCGGCAGAGGCAGCGGCTTGCGGGCCATCTTCAGATGTAGCCTCATTGCCGGTACATGCGGCTTCCTCAAGTGTGTCTCCATCGGCCGGGCCGGTGTCCCGCAAGGAGCTTCCGGTTTCACTGTGGGAGAAAGCGTTCACGGAAGTTTCCAAGGAAGACAGAGAGCAGTTGTCCCCGCCCGATGATTCTGGCCGGCAGGATTACTTGGCAAACCTTCTGGAAACGGTAGAGATGAGCAGGGACGTCTGCCGGAATAGCCGGTGGAAAAAGTTTACCTTTGCCGGCAAGGATATCATTATCCGTGATGTAGCGGACAAGCTACGCACCTGGATTGACATATTCAAAAATATTGGAGACATCGTCGGCCGGTATGACCCGGTCCGTGCAGCGCTTCCGTGGGAGGCAGTGCGATCTCTACTGCAGATTTCTTTCCCATTTCAATGCCGGCTGTGAACTACTCTGACGGCAATACAGATGGCTGCCAGCTGTGGAGAGAATATGGAGGAATCCTTGTTGATATCGAAATGATTGCGAAGGTGGTCGTGCGGTGCGTGGTTTACGAAGAAATCTATCTGACAACCAACCCAAAATCACCTAATCATGGCGCCGTTGAGAAGAGCATCGTTCTGCTTTACTCTGATGTTCTGGAGTTCCTGGCCCTTTCGAAGACGTACTTGCTTCACAACTCAGCCGGTAAGCTCCTAGGTTCCAGGCTCTCCGAGTCTGTACTGTGCTAACGTTGCAAGCTGGCTTCCTTTCCTCAAGATCGGGCCATGAGGGGCTGTTTTTGTTGCTTGAATCTATCAACGGACAAGAGTCATCGCTGCGGAAAGAAATAATGACCACGGAAGCACAAGGTGAGTTTACCGGCAATATGACGGATGTGTAGTACTCTGCCTATCCGGCTGAAAATATGTAAATTCAATACGCTTATGCGACCACAGTCCGAAGCAGCGAGCACTCGAAGCGGATGGCCATGATCGAAGAACTCAACACACCGATCAGGGGGATAGATTCGACTATGACGTCCGTGTACGATGAATTGCAAGGTTATAACCAATCCTTACTATGTACATACACAGCTGTTAGAGAGCTACCTATCTCTGATACCGTTCTATTAGACACAAAACGACGAGAAATACTTGCATGGATATCCCGAATTGAATATCGAAAGCACATCAATTTTCAGCGGAAGATCTCATGAAGGACACGGGGAAATGGCTGCTCAATAGCAAGCAATTTCAGGAATGGCGCGCCTCGAGCGCTTCGGAGATACTCTGGTTGCATGGGATCCGTAAGCTCCGCTTGTTCCACTTATTACATGCTAGTAAACGGCCTCTGACCTATCGATTAGCCGGTGGAGGTAAAACGAAACTCACGTGGGTCTCCAGCCGGTTTTTTCTTCTTCTTATCTTTCTCTTCACTTGACATTGACTTGAAGCGATGATGTACTAGGTGCAAAGTTATTGAGAACTTGCGATCCCTGAAGGAGCAAGTCGATTATTTCTACTGCAATAGGAGCGAGCCCGAGCGCCGAGATCCGACTGCCATTCTTCGGGCAATGATGAAACAACTTTCAGTGGGACTTCCCTACAAGATCGTGAATGAATACGACAAATGGCAGTAGGATGGATTTCCGGTGGAGCCTCTTGGGTTCCAAAAGTGCTGTAGCCTTCTTCTGTCGCTCAGTGGGAAACATTCCCAGACGACAATCATCGTCGAAGCCTTGGACGAAATTCATCACCAGAAGCGCAGCATATTACTGGAAGCACTGAAGACCATCATCACCTCCGCGAAAAGCTTGGTCAAAGTTTGTCTCCAGCAGAGATGATATTGACATGGCTTGTGAATTGGAGGGCTTACCGAATGTCTACATACAGACGACCGGCAATAAGGATGATCTCGAAAGATTTACTCGTCGAGGGGTGGCGGATGCTATTCGAAAGGGGCGGTTATTGCGCAGCAGTGTTAGTGGTGAACTGGAACAACGGGTCGTAAATGCGCTTCTAGCTGAAGCTCATGGAACGTGAGTACTGCCGAACCCAATCAGTCCTAATTGCTTGGTTCCGGAAGAATAGTTCCTCTTGCACCGCTTCTGAAATTCAATTCCCTGACGCTTTCTGCATAGGTTTCTGCGGGTCAATCTTCAGCTTAGGTATCTTTGCGAGATGAAGTCCGAATGCGATGTGGTCGAAAAGCTGGGGAAGCTACCGTCGGACCTCGAGAAAACATATTCCGACATCTACGCCACCATTCTCTCCGAACCGGGCCGGAATCCTGAAATTGCAGAGATTGCGCTCATGTGGATCATATGTTCACCCAACCCACTCTCGCCTGAAATGTGGTCGATGGCCACAGGCTGGGTGGCAAAACTTCCGAGACCCGGCGGTGCAGACCCGAAAGCTCTATTGGATATCTGCCATGGCCTCGTTACGTTGGATAGCCAATCAAATGTCATGAGATTGGCCCATCTGTAGGTTCGAGAGTATTTGAAAAGGAACCGATTCGACAACGAGAGAGCCAACCATATGGCTGCGGAGGCATGCCTCTCGGCTCTCACCGAATGCGATGGACTGGTCGACGAGTCCAACATCAACGAGAGCTTCTTCCTATATTCCTCGATCAACTGGGGGTACCATGTCGACCGACGTTGTAGGAAGCATAGAGGAATTCTTGACCTTCTCAGAAGCTTCCTAGGGAGCCCAAATCAAGCTACCACAGCATACACCAACTGGGTAGCGAATGGCGTGGGACTCCCCTACAGCGTGCAGGGGCATTTTCGGTCGGAACCTTTGAACTCACTGTTTGCAGCATCCTACTATCGATTCGGCGAAGAGTTTCCGGAAATTTGGGAATGGGACAAGTTTGATATCAACAGCGAAAACGAAGTCGGCGGCACATTATTGTTTGTGGCGAGCTACCGGTGACACGAACGAACCGTTAGGTTGCTGATAGCGAACGGCGCTGATATCAATGCTGGGAAGGCCATCATGGAGGGCGACAACCCACTGTTGGCGGCGATGAGACATGGGAAGGACCTTGTGGTAGCAGTGCTACCGCAATAGGGTGCCGACATCTGCGCTGCTAATCGTGGTCATACAGATGCCCTGACAGCTGTTGCGGAGTTGGGTTCAGTCGCGGTTGTGTAGGCAGTTCTTGACGCCGGGTTGGGACGTCAAGTCACTGAGCTCGTTCTGGAGGCCACAGCTGGAAACATGAGTTGCGCGAAGGAGTTGATGAAACTGTTTCTGTCCATCAACCCAGAAATCGGAATCTCGGAGTCTATTGTAGAGGCGGCAGCAGAGACTTCGTCTGGTGGGATGGTTATGGAGCTGCTGCTGTCCACCGGAATCGACATTACCGAGTCCACCATGGAGGAAGCGGTGAGAAATGAGGGAAGCGTAGAGATCATGGAGCTGCTGCTGTCAATTACCCCGACGTCGTGATTACCGAGTCCGTTGCGGTGGCCGCTGCGGAGAATCTGAAAGGCAAGGAGATGATGGAGCTGCTACTCTCAACCCAACCCGACATCGAGATCACCGAATCGGTTCTAGTTGCGGCGGTGATGAATAGGAGTTGCAAGGAGGTGATGGAGCTGCTACTGTCAACTCACCATCCCAATCGAGATTATCGAATACACTGTGGTGGCCGCTAAGGAGGATCCGAAATGCAATGATGATGGAACTGCTACCGATTATTGAACACCATAACCACAAATCATCGAATCCATCGTGGCGGCCGCGAAGGGAGATTATCACGGTGGGAATGAGCTATTTGTGGTGGTGATAGACGGTTCCATCGAACTTTGGGGGGTAAAATGAACGGTAGTGATAGAGTTCTGTAAGGATATTTGATAGCAATACCACACAAGCACAGGCGCGATATCGACCCGTCGCAACGCTGAACCCAAGTTCCAGAATATCTAGTTGCAGCCATGGAAGTTGGATAGTAGAGCATCCTCCGATCGCTGTGTGGTCAGTATAAGTATGGAACTGGCTTATCACCGACAACGAGTGAGCACCTGTGATAAGCACGAATCACATGAACATAATCACGTAGGTGTCGCTGCCGGCTTACGTATTTCTGGCCGGGTGTGATCCGGTGGGCGGTGGAAAGGAATTATAGTAGTGTGCGTGAATGCTCTTGCAACACGTTTTCCCCAAACGTTAAAGCATCAAACCCAAAATACAAAATACACTAGTGTCAGCTCCAACTTGCAAACCCCGAACCCAGTATAAAAACACCCCTCTTCCCCTCCTTCTACTCTTCACTTCACTTGTTGAAGGGAGCAGTGCACAACAGCAGTGGCAAGAGCAGAGCAAACTGACAGAATGCGCCCTTCCGTGGACGGGGTTTTACCTGCGGGTTTCCTCTGAAACCAAAAACATTGTCTTCCTGGCTTCATAGCGAGGGGATGAGGTTTTTGATCCACGTATCTGGCGTATTCCGGCTGAGGCACTCGAGATTCCCCACACAGCCAGTTCGACCCGGCACGATTGTATCAAACTTAATTCTTTCCGTGGAAGGCGAGCTGGCCGGTCGCCGGCGACATCGCTTCCCCCACACAGCACCATCGATTTGTTACTCTAGGAGAGCCTGCTCAGCAGGCGATATGGCGAAGACGGGGAGGAGAGTGAATTCCAGGGGGAGAGCTCAGCGCTTTACGCATAGTACCATATCGATCTATGATGACTGGCATTTTGCCAACCCCAACTTTGATCCAATATCTTCGCTGCTATTCGTCGGCCTCGGCCTTAATTGCTACGCAAGCCCCGAGACGACGATTCCTTCCGAGCACCATGCTGTATGAAAGAGAGAGAGAGAGATCTTCAGTTTATTTCGCATGCAGCCTAGGTATCTAGACTATGGGTGAACCATCCATGCTGTATGAAGAATCAATCAATCAATCAATCGGTCGCCGGCAGCGAGTGAACACTTGTGACAGGCACGCGTCTGGGAGAGAGACGGGAACAGAATTTCGCGCGTGTCGCTGGCGGCTTAGGTACTTTCTGACCGGTTGTGATCTGCTGGGTGGTAGAAACGAATTAGATTGCGTGAATTCTCTCGCAACACGTTTGTCCCCAACGTTAAAGCATCAAACACAAAATGCTAAATACACTAGTGTCGAAGTTCCAACTTGGAAGCCATGCACCAAGTATAAAAAGTCCCCTCCTCCCCACTCCTTCCCTCCTTTTCCTCTTCACTTTACTTCTTGAAGGGAGCAGTGCACAACAGCAGTGGCAAGAAGCAGTGCACAACAGCAGTGGTAAGAGCAGAGCAAACAGACAGAATGCGCCCTTCCGTGGACGGGGTTTTTACCTTCGGGTTTCCTCTAAAACAAAAACATTATCTTCCTAGCTTCATAGCGAGGGGATGAGGTTTTTGATCCACGTGTTTGGTGTATTCCGACTGGAGCTCGATGATTTACTGTAGGTAGTATAGAGCCAGCACTGTCTTCGACCCGGCAAGACAGAGTGGATACTGAAGTCTTCCGTACCGTATCAGGACTCGGGTCCTAGAGAGTTGAAGGTGAGACACGAGTGAGCTCCGCCAGTCGGTGGGTCGAGAAGAAGACCATTCAATACGGTAGCAATGCGCCGAAGAAAATACTCGTGTCTGGACTTCTGCCGTACATACTACCTACATCCACTCGTTCTCGGAACGTGCCGGTGACGAAGCATAGGCCGAGCAACATGCTTGGGAACGATGGGTTCAACTTGCCCCATGTACCTATGCTCCTGCGGTTGCGGCAAGTGCATATGCTGACAGGTACGCCAACTTCCGACAGCCACAAGCCAACAATTCCCTATGATTCCTCGGACTCTGGTGCGATCATTCTCGGGAGCGATGTGGCGCCGACTCTCTACTATTAGCGCTCGGCGGGGCCGACCAGAGTGGGTTGTCAGAGAAATATCTCCAATCATGGCTATTCGACCCTCCGTCTCAAGCCAGTTACTGGCAGTTCTTCAGAAGACGTCGATTTATGATACACGCTGGGCATCTGTGTCCATATAACCTTAATCCCCCTCGACTGCCGCCTGCATGCATATCAATATTGTTGAATGGTAGCTTGAAACACCTGCCTCAGATAAAGACCAAAGCCGTAGAAGTGGCCGTACCTGAAACGTCGCGACCTTCAAGTTCCCAGCGTCCAGACTCCAGACTTCGTTGATGATTGGCCGCCAAGTTACATCTATATTTAGCACTCGCCGTCGCGTGGCTGAAGTGGCTGGCCAGACTCCAGTGGCCACTGGCCAGTGGCATGCTGGCAGCATCTCGAACCATCCTTGCACAGCCCCAGCGCAGCCAATCGCACACGTCAGCAGCTCTTCGCCAATCTCAACAACAGACCAGAGAGAGAGAAGCGGCCAGACAGCCAGCCACCTGCCACCACCTGCCACCAGCACCAGCACCACACACCACACACCACACACCACACACCACACACCACACACCACCTCGCATTCAAAAGGAGCGCTGATCTCCCGCCTTCTCATTCCTCTTTCTTCCTCCTCCTCCATCCCAACCCACCACACTCATACTTAAACACCACACCACACCACCAACCAAACACCATCAACCAAACCAAACAAGAACACAACACACCTCGCAAAATGCCCCTCAACTACTCCAAGCACTTTGGCGGCCGCCGCTTCGGCTTCGGTCTTTCGGCGAATAAGCACGGTGTGCGACCTCACGTCCGGTTTTCGTTCTGCGGGTTCGTCTTCCTCCCTCCTCGATCCTTCCAGCCTCCCAGCCTTCCGACTAGATCTTAATGCTAACTAACTCTCCCGCAGATTGAACTGCTTCAGATAAACACCGCACGCACGTAGCCGAAACGAATAACGACCGTAACGAACACGCCTACCTATACACTACTGCTATGATTTCTTTGTTTGTTTGTTTCTTGTCGGTCTGGGACGGGGAGCGTGATGGGATCAGGAAGTTTCACGTGGGACTGGTTGGTTTCTGTTATTTCTACCACTGCGATGAGAGGCGAAGGAGGGAGATGGATTTGTCTTTTTTTGAGCGACGAATAATACCCATCTTTCCCCACCACAACCACAACAGTCCACAACCACCACCTGCATGCGTGCTAGCAATATGTGCGTGACTAAAATCCCCCAGGAATTCGCTGCCGGCTGAGCTGTAGATACACGCGGTTTATGCGGGTTTGTAGAGCGTGTAGTGCAGCTAGAGGTGTTGCATTAGCTATGGAGGTGGGGAGGTAGGTGGGGTAAAGGGGAGGGGGAGGGGGGGATTACTATTGACGCCGACCAGCCGCTTCCTCATGTCCGCGAGCTTCAACACTGTAGCCCTTAGCACCGGGGGCTCAGTTGTGTCGAGGTACCTCTGCAGCTCTATTTCCATTAGCGGCGGCGGAGGTAGGTATATAGGTAGCGCGAGAAAGCTGGGTGAGCATACGAGAGACCAGGCGCTCGAGTTCGCCCGACAGCTCTTGCTGCGCGAGGTAGACGTTTGACAGCTTTTGCGCCGTGGTGCGGATACTCGGGTTCAGCAGGGCTTGCAGGCCTTCCGCGAGAGGATCCGCCGGTGTATCGCCATCGGTTGTTGCGGTTGTGGAGAGGTCGGGCGTCGGGGAGGGGTTCGGTGGGGTGGCCATGATTGTCGCGGGGATGAGGGATGGGCATGGGGGAAGCATGGGGGAACAGTAAGGTTACGCGGCTTGGCAATTACGGGTGCGAATGTCTACAGTGTTGAAATCCAATATCAATTGATGTCTACTCCGCCAACGCCTGAAATGCAGCAATACACAGTGCTCCCGCTCCCGTCCCGCTCATCTGTGCACGATTTGCACATCATCGCGCCCCTCGAGCATATCCATGACCCCCTTCTCACCGACCTGGAGCTCGGTACAAATCTCATCAAACGAGTTCCCACCCTTCAGCATTCCGGCGAGTTTCCCTGGCACCTGCGAGGAAGCGGCGGCCGTCGCCGCGACCGGGTACTTATGCACTCTATAGATGATGCCTTTTACCACGCCGAAGCCGATGAACCGCCGCATGTCGATCGCGCGCATCTTCTGGAAGTTCTCCATGAGCCATTTCTTCAGCGTGACGCCCTGGCTCAGCGAGCAGTACAGCGTGAACACATCTTCGAATGCGATCTTTGCTGAGTCTGATGAGCGGATGTAGTTGATGCATTCCTCCTGCATTTGCGGGTCGGCGAGGAGCGACGAGATGTCCGCTGTGACTGCGTAGATGGCGGAAAATGCGAAGATGTCGACGAGAGTTATGCAGCCATAGTAGAGGAGGTGGGAGATGGCCTTCTTGGTGAGATTGTAATCAGCGTCGGCCAGCTCCCCGATCCGTCGCACGCTGTTGATGCCGTCAATGTGAGGGACGATCTTTTGCATTGTCAGATCCCAGGTCGCATCCATTAGCAACTCTAGCTGGACCGTCGAGACGGGCACGTGCCAGGCTTTGACCGGGGGCGGGGGCGCATAGGTGGGGAAGAGCTTGATGTTGATCGTGTTGGAATCGTCTAGCATTCATCAGAACCACATCTTTTCCCCGCCATATCGTACACCCCCCAGTGGCGACACACTTATCGGGATCATGCACTCCGAGTAATTATTTAAATCCTCGAGCACTTGCTCGATGAGCGCATAGACACCAGCCCTCGTAACCTCATTACTCAACCAGCCACTCTGCTCTTCCAACGCCTTGAACAGCTTCGCCAGCTTCCTCACCACGCTCTTATACGTGCTGAACTCCGCATTCTCATCGAGCACGATCGCAAAATTGAAGATGAACTCGTTCCGCTCGTATCGCCGGTCTTCAAGGCATACGGGGTACCCGAGCAGCCGGTATTTGTTCGTGCAGATGGTCACGAGCCGGTCGCATAGCTCCTGCTTGGGGATGATGTGAGAGCTTACGTGCTCGAAGTCGATGAGTGGCGGGGGCTCGTTGCTAGGTGGCGGCGAGGGCGTGATCGACCCGTCCGGGACTTGGTGGAGAACTTGCGGTCCCTTGTCCGGGTGGAAGATGGCGAAGAAGATGGATTTGATCATGGTGCGGGGGTGCGGTGCCGTCAAGAGCCTGCGCTAGAAGATGGGATTCGCGTTCGCGTTCGCTTGGGGCAAGTGGCCGCAGGCGCGGGAGATCTGGGGTGATGGGAGAGCCGGTGACATGTTCAAGTGGGGAGAAAGAGGGAGAGAAGTTGTGGGACGTGTGGTAAAGCGGAATTACGTACCCAGGTTCTACGCGATGAGAAATGCCTGCACCTTGCTCGCCTTTGATACCAGAAACCTTCCCGAGGCGGAGTACCTGAGGCCTGGTTACTCTACAGCACCCGTTCGGTTGATAGGAACCGCATGCGTGGTGATGGACCGGAAACAGCTCCACGGCAGATCCCGACAATCGTCTTATCGCTGGCTGGCCAATAACTATATCTAGTAATAATAGTATATCAACCCCGCCATGAATCGTGCAACGCTTTCATTCCCCGCGTCCTCTCTGGTCCGCATCCCCTTACTGTCAATTGAACTGTACGAGAAACGACAGCTATGCATTTAGTACCCCGAGAGGTGAGCCATTCCAATTCACCCATCTTTCGAAAACCACATCAACTAACTTCACCTATAGTTAGACAAGCTCGTGATATCTCAAGTCGGATCCCTTGCCCAAAAGCGACTTGCGCGGGGCTTAAAGCTGAACAAGACTGAAGCCACAGTTCTACTCCCCTCCTACCTCGCTCAAGACACAACACTGACCCCAGAACCAACAGGCCCTGATAGCCAATAACCTTCAAGAGCTAATCCGCGATGGCAACCACTCCGTCGCCGCCCTCCAGGCCTACGGAAAGACCATGCTCGGGCGTCGCCACGTCCTCCCTTCCGTCACCACGTTGCTCACCGAGATCCAAGTCGAGGGCACCTTCCCAGACGGGACGTATCTAGTGACCATCCACGATCCGATCAGCAGTGACGACGGCAACTTGGAGGCGGCGTTATACGGCTCCTTCCTACCGGTGCCATCAGACGACAACTTCCCGCTGCCCGAGGCGGACGTATACGAGTCCTCTCGGCAGCCCGGTGCAGTAGTGGTGGCCGAGGAGAAGGGCAAGATCACGCTCAACGCCGGCAGGAAACTGTGCCAGCTGCGGGTAACGAACAAGGGCGACAGGCCCGTGCAGATCGGCAGCCACTACCACTTCATCGAGACCAATCCGCTGCTCGAGTTCGATCGCATCCAGGCGTATGGTTACCGCCTCAACATTCCGGCGGGGACGGCGGTGCGCTTCGAGCCCGGTGATTCGAAGACGGTGACGCTGGTGGAGATTGGCGGGAGAAAGATTGTCGCTGGCGGTAATAGTCTGGCAAGCGGAGTCGTGGACCTGAACCGGGCCGAAGAGATTGTGGCGAGATTGCGTCAGGGTGGCTTTGCCCATGTCGAGGCTCCGGTGATCCCCATGGAGCAGGTGATGGCTGCCACGATGGCACGGTCAGCGTATGCGACTATGTTTGGACCCACCACTGGGGACATCGTCAGATTGGGTGATACGGAGCTATGGATCAAAATCGAGGAGGATTATACCATCTATGGTGATGAGTGCAAATTTGGTGGTGGTAAGACGCTGCGCGAGGGAATGGGCCAGGCGAGTGGACGAAGTGATGCGGAATGTCTTGATCTTGTCATCACGAATGCGGTGGTCGTCGACTATACCGGCATCTATAAGGCGGATATCGGTGTGAAGCATGGTCACATCGTGGGTATTGGGAAGGCGGGAAATCCCGACATCATGGACGGAGTTACGCAAGGCATGGTTGTGGGCAGCAACACGGACGTGATTGCGGGCGAGGGAAAGATTATAACCTATGGAGCGATGGATTCACATGTATGTCCCCGACAAATCATCCAGATGCAACGCCCACCCACTAACGAGGTTTACAGGTCCATTTCATCTGCCCCCAACAAGCAGTGGAGACTCTATCTTCCGGTGTCACAACGGTTCTGGGCGGAGGAACTGGTCCCAGCACCGGTACCAACGCGACGACATGCACGCCTTCCGCCACCTACATTCGGGGGATGATGCAAGCCACCGATTCCATCCCTCTCAACGTCGGTATCACCGGCAAAGGCAACGACTCGGGAAAGATCGGTCTGCAAGAGCAGTGCAGGGCCGGCGTTGTAGGGCTCAAGCTTCACGAGGACTGGGGCACCACGCCTGCAGCAATCGACACATGTCTCAGCGTCTGTGACGAATTTGACGTCCAATGCCTCATCCACACGGATACCCTCAACGAGTCCGGGTTTGTCGAGCAGACCATCGGCGCGTTCAAGGGCCGCACGATCCATACGTACCACACTGAGGGAGCCGGCGGAGGCCACGCCCCAGACATCATCTCCGTGGTTGAACACCTCAATGTTCTCCCGTCCTCGACGAACCCAACCCGGCCGTTCACGATGAATACTCTGGACGAGCACCTCGATATGCTGATGGTCTGCCACCACCTGAGCAAAAACATCCCCGAGGACGTCGCGTTTGCCGAGTCGCGCATCCGCGCGGAAACGATAGCGGCAGAGGACGTCCTGCACGATATGGGTGCGATCAGTATGATGTCGTCCGACTCGCAAGCCATGGGCCGCTGTGGCGAGGTGATTCTGCGCACCTGGAAGACCGCATCGAAGAACAAGCAGCAGCGCGGTTCTTTGCCAGAGGACGAGGGGACCGGCGCGGACAACTTCCGTGTGCAACGGTACATCGCGAAATACACCGTCAACCCGGCCATCGCACACGGCATGAGCCACATCATTGGCTCGATCGAGCTAGGGAAGCTGGCGGATCTCGTTGTGTGGACGCCGGCCAACTTCGGCGCGAAGCCGGACTTGGTGCTCAAGAGTGGCTTCGTGGCTTATGCGCAGATGGGAGATCCGAATGCTAGCATCCCCAGCGTCCAGCCAATCATCGGCAGGGAGATGTTTGCAGCGAGATGTTCGCCGGCGAGCGTGATTTTTGTCAGCGAGTACTCGCTGGCCCACGGAGTGGTGCAGAACTATGGCCTGTTGAAGAGACTCGAGGCGGTCAAGGGCTGTAGGAACTTGGGCAAGACGGACATGAAGCTGAATGATGCCATGCCCAGGATGAAGGTGGACCCGGAGAGTTATGTGGTCGAGGCGGATGGGGTGGTGTGCACGGCTGAGCCGAGTGACGTCTTACCCCTTACCCAGGGATACTTTTTGTTTTGAGTAGGAGGAGGGGAAGGACGTTGAGCATGTTTTGGATTGCTGGAGGTTTAGCATGTTTTGAATTGCTGGAGGTTGAGCATGTTTTGGATTTCTTGATATCACACGATTGATGACTTATGACCATTTGCTTGCTGACATGCTTGTTGCCGTTGTTAGCGTAGCAATTCAATATGGCTTATACCTCGACTTCTCGCTCTCCTTATCTTTCTTTTCCTTCTTGCGTTCCTTCTTCTCCTTCTTCAATCTCCTTCGCTCCTTTTTCTCTGCAGCTGTTTCCTTCTCATTTGTTTCCATCTGGTCCGTCTCCATCTCTACATCTGTCGTGCTAGTGGTCTCTGCCGGTGGTCGCCATGCCTTGACCAGTCCGTCCTCACCGCCGGTGAATATCGTATTTGTCTACGTCTGTTAGTATTTCCGCCTTCCCCACAAGTAAAAGCAAGAAAGCAAGAAGACCCACCGTGATATCAACCAACACATCCCTACAAACCTCCGCACCATGTCCCCCGACCAGCCTATACCCACCCTCCTCCCAACGGCCCGTCTTACTCACCGGCCTCAGATCCAACCACTGTCCCTCCTTATTCCCAGCGACAACCCAGGCCCCGTCGCCTCGGGGCAGTAGGTTAACCGCGTACTCACACTCCAAGGTACTCCTCACATCGCCGAGCGCAAATGTCTCGCCCTCGCCGGCATCTCCATAGAGCGCCAACACCTCATGATGACTCAGCGCCCACAGCTCACCGCCAGGCAAGAACCCACACCTATGGACGGAGCCATGATTCAGCACGCTCTTCAGGGCGCCCTCAACCTCATCATCACCCTCGCCCTGCGCCCCCTTCGGCGCCGCAAGCGAAAAGATATTGACCAGGCCATCCGTGCCGCCCGACGCCAGCAGCGACGAGTCGCTGCTGAAACTCAGCGCCGTGACGTCGTCGTTGTGCGCCTCGCCGTACGTGCGCAGCGGCGCAGAGCCATTGCGCGGATCAAAGACGAGGACGGTGGCGGTCGATGAGGTGAGCTCCGTGCCTGCGGCGATTAGGCCGGTGGTGGAGGAGGTGAGCGAGAGGATTGGAGCCGCCGCCGAGAGGACGGTCGGTTTGCTGCTGGGCGCGCGGAGGTCGTGGAGCGTTATCTGCCCCGATTGCCCAGCGGTGAGGAGTGTGTCCGACGTGTAGGAGGAGAGAAGCGATGCTGGTGTGGATATGCTACCGGTGGATTGGAGTGTCGATGGTGAGAGCAGGTGGAGCGTGGAAAATGAGGTTAAGGCCGCGAGAATGGTACCTGTGTGCGCGAGGGAGAAGATGTAGGCTGCTTCTTCGGCGGGATAAGGTGTGAGAGATCGCGTGTGCAACGCCGAGAGAGATATGCGCGACATAGCGGTGAGGATTGGCGATTATTGAAGCCTAAGATATGACGAGAGTCCTGAGGAATCGGCGGCAGTTACGGTGGTGGAGAAATTTGGAAAGCTAAATTAACTAGGGCCGAGTCCAAATTAATCTTGGTCCGTGCGTACTGCGCAGATGCCAGATGTAGCACCCCTGCTTCGACAAGTTACAACCGCACCCAAAGATGCCCCACTGCCACTGGCGAGTGTGTAATGTACATGGTGTAATGTTCGACTAGAAAAGGCATCAGACAGCATTCGTGGAGGTCATCCTACGAAATTCCTCGATAAAACGCCACGAGAAGTACTTGGCCATGTTCAAGTGCCAGAGCAGAGAGTAATTGCTTAGCTAGATGACTAGGCGGCCATGGCTGGATATGTTTTCTTAACCCGAACTTACCCAAGACTTCGTAATGGAAACGTATTAAGCGCGAGCGTAGTAGAGCCTACTGGAACCCGCCGTGTTTACGGGTGCTGTTGGATTAGTAGCAGTCCGTTGCCCACTGTAATAGATAGTATCCCACGCAGCACGATCGAGGAACGAGTGGGGACGGTGTAGTCACTATTCTACATGCTTTATCGAATTTCAGAATTATCCCGTCCATTGATTGTCATTTTTCAGCCTTGTAGGCTTAACGGGATTACTCTAATCATGAAAATCACTCGACTCCGAATCTGATATCCTTTGGTCGACTTTGATTTAGTGGGCAGTAGAAACACGTTGTTTCCCCAACGTGAAAGCGTAAAACACAAAATACAAAATACACTAGTGTCAAAGCTCTAGCTTGCAAACCTCGCACCAAGTATAAAAACCCCCCTCCTCCCCCCTCCTCCCCTCCTTTTCCTCTTCACTTCACTTGAAGGGAGCAGAGCACAACAGCAGTGGTAAGAGGCAGTGCACAACAGCAGTGATAAGAGCAGAGCAAACAGACAGAATGCGCCCTTCCGTGGACGGGGTTTTTACCTTCGGGTTTCCTCTAAAACAAAAACATCGTCTTCCTGGCTTCACAGCGAGGGGATGAGGTTTTTGATCCACGTGTTTGGCGTATTCCGACCGAAGCCCTCGAGATCCAGCGCTATGCTCGACCCGGTACGACTGCATCAAACTTAATTCTTCCGAAGACGAGCGGGCCGGTCTCCAGAGACGAGTGAGCACCTGTGAAACCAACACAGCGTGGGAGTCTGCGAGAGCGCGGTAGGAACGGGATTTCGTAAGTGTCACTGCAGGATTAGGGGTATCTTTGTCCGGCTGTGGGCTGGTGGATGGTAGGAACGTATCGGAGGGCTTGAATATGCTCTCGGAACACATTTTTCCCCCAACGTTAAAGTATAAAACCCAAAATACACCATTTAGTGTCGAGTTGGATAGGTCGAATGCATTAGAATAGGCAGACAAGACCCCCTTCGAATGGTACATTGTCTCCGGAACAGAACGAGAGGAAAGTGATATATTCCAATCTCCGCAATCACAGCTACACCATGCAGTACACTACCCGCTACAGCGGCTTCCTCCCCACGACATGATATCTACCGCCATCAGTAAGTGGTCGCGGCAACAGGACGGATGGCGTTGCTACTCACACAAAGTTATACAAATTCATCGACCGATTTGCAACTATAGACATGAATGCCTCGTCACAGAGCGCAGTTGCTTGCTCACTCGACATATCGCCGTATCGTGTGAACAGGGCGAGACAGAATGATAATATTGCGTTCCTCGAGTTTGAAAGCATGTATGCCCCAACTGATTTTCCAGGTTAGCTAAGAGTAACTACAGCGAGGGTGGAAGGGACAAACCTTTCTTCAAGCGAGGACTCCCCGGCCACGGAGTCCATGGCTGCTTGATCGCGAAGACCTGTGATGGCGATATTCATATCAGTGACCCAGCTATAATGTGGCCCATATTTTGGTAATCTCACCTTTACATCCACGAACCCAGCCATCTCCAAATCCCTAACCAGTTCCATCCCATTATCGTTGCCAAGCACTTTAAACCCGGCGCCCTTCGTTATTGATCTCCACAGATCGAAAACCCTTCTTATCCCCGAATCCAGTGGGATCGAATCGTCATCACTTGCTATGTCGCTTGACATCTCGATTATTTCCACGTAGCCACCGGGTCTGATATGTTCGTGCATTTGCCGTAGGTAACGAGGCCAGTCCCGGATTGATGGGATGAGGATTCGGCTGTGGATGTAGTCGAAGGAATCCTATATACGGGGGTTCGGTGAGATATGGTCTTCATGATGGTACCAAGTATGGTATTGACTAACCTTCTCGAAGACCCAGTCCAATTCCACATCATCAACTTTTCATATCAGTAAACCGGTTCATTCTCACCCTAGCCAACCAACAGCTCTAAATGTTTATACCTTCAAACCTGCAATTCGGATGGGAGCTAAAGCACCACCGTCAACATGTTCCACCTCAACCAGCAAATACAGAAGCAACCCACTTTGCCCACGGAACCGGACTAAGGTCGGTCCCGATGACCTCCGCCTCGGGGTATCGATCCGCCATATCAATAGCCCAGACTCCCGTTCCCGTACCAATATCCAGTATCCTCTGCGGCTCGATAAGCGGAGCCATATGTAGCCGCCCATTCAACAGGAGAGTGAAGATTGCGTGGTGGATGTCTAAACGGTCGAGCTCGAGCTAAACAACACATCAGCGGATGAACAGGCGCCGGAACTACCCGTTATCACTACCTAGGTATGTACTAACCTCGTCGTTTGGTAGGAGGTATTTCCCTTCCTAATGCGTGCGTTAATACTGTCAACCCATGGCTACCTATGTACAGGCTAGGTGGTGGGCGTACTGAATATCTATGATACCGCCGTCCATTCTCGACCACAGCGTCATAGACAGACATCATACTGGGCGTGTCCTCGCTTTGGTTTGCCAGAACAATCAGGATTAATGCATTCTGACTGCCACCACCGCGAACTCACATAGACGAGCTATAATCCGAATCGCAGCTACTTTGCTGAACAGGGGAACGGCGCGCCAGTCAGCAACTCCAGTCGCAAAGGAGTGAAGGGTCTTGGCTCCGGATACTCACATAGGCCTCATCAACATATGGGTCGTCCTCATATGACTCGTTCACATATATCTCTGAGTCCACACATGAGTCGTCCGTTTTTGGCTCGCCGGTAGAGAGACCATTGGTCATTTGGTTGCTGGCCATTGCTTTTCGGTAGCGGTGATGGTGGTGGTAATGGTGGTGGTGACCGTTGTGGTGGTGATATTGGTGGTGGTAGTGATGATGGTGATGGTGGTGTTGGCGGTAATGGTTGAACTCGGGTATGGTATGTACCTATGCAGGAATGTTAGATGACAATAGGCAACATATTCTCTCCGAAGATTTAAACCCAACTGGATGGTAAGATAGAGTGTGTGACGTCCACTCCCGGAGAGCTCAAACAACTGCATGTAGGTAGGGAAACTAGGTTTTGGGGATTCTCATGATTTAAATGGGGAGGCTGGAGGTAGGTAGGAAAGCTCACAATTGGATGGCGACCTTCCTCCTCTCACCGATTCATTCATCAATCCCATCAACAGTCCGGACGACTTTCCCATCCACGCAAACATCCGCCAGAAAGGGGCAGTCAGCCGGCTTCCAGTTCTAGGCTCAGACTAGGGAATCTCGTAGGACGCGCCGCGCGCCCACATATCTGTTAAATATTGCGATATGTGGAGTACCTATACCTTGCAGATTGCCTGTCTCTCGCTCGACTATGTATTGAGCGGCTCGTTACCACAAGCGCCGGCCCCACACATTCACCCTCGCTTAGCCCTGGTGAAGAATCCCCGAAGACGATGATCGGTGGCTTTTTTGTGTTTTTTATGTTCCCCCGAGACAGGGTGGAGGCCGAATTCTCTTGCCGTATTGATGTTTCAAAATTCAGCGTAGCTTCGGATCGGATCCCGCGGCATATGGGATACGAGTTTACTCTGCCTGAAATCCTAATACGAAGGGCGTAAATGGTGTCTCAGGAGGCGTCTGCCGTCCAGCTGCATACCGTATGTATGTACGTACACACGGACATCCTAATCCTGCTAATGCATTATGTAAGTACATATCTACAGCACTCCAATGCTCATCTCGCTCCTCCATTCTGTTCGTATTTACTTTTGCGCTGCGAGAGATGAGACATCGGGCAGAATTTCCGACCACGTACCTATGCGGGGCGGAAATCGCGTTTGAAAAATCAATAGATATATAAAAAAATGTCTTTGCTTCATCATTCTATATTCGACGGGATCGCCACGGCAGTTCGAGTACTCTATGTACGCACAGACACCGTCCACGTTGATCTTTTCGCCATAGTCTAGATAGGCTACATGTGAAATAAACTGAAGATCACTCTCAGACACAGTCCACCTTTAAAACTACCAGGATCTACCTAGTGTCGTATTCATTGATAATTAAATAACAATTTAGAATTGCAACGTTCTGACCGTCACGGTGTGGTCTCACCATCTGCGGTGCATACTTACCAAGGGAGTACGGAGGCGATCAATGGCCCGCTACCCCTACTTATAGATATATGTACCGGCCCCGTATTCCATCGCCACGTTCCTCGGCCCGTCTACAGTAGGCTACCGGTTGAATTTGGACTGTCCACTCTATCCTATCTTACTTTTGGCTTACCTCAGTGATATATCAATGAGCGCTCGTCATAAGAATGTGCTCGATTCCGGCGAGTTTAAATTGGTGATCGACGGCCCCATATGTTTAAGCAGCCCGCGTTCTAGAAGCCGGACCCAGAGATAGCCTACCCCTTGTTTTCATATACGGCTTGCGGGTATAACGGCGGGTTACAGCCTCGGAAAGTCTTCGATACCCTGAGAGTCTGGACCTGGCCTGCCCTGGCCGAAGAGGGTGAGCACGTAGGACGGTACAAATATAGTGGGTCGAGACAGGTACCCGCATTGCGTGGGTGCTGTGGGGTAGATTGTGGGGAAGGGAATGGACATATCATATATCTAAACCATGTTGCGGATCCCATGACATTTGATGTACTCCACTTCCCGGTACAACAAACGGGATTTGTTGCGCAGCGGGAGCGGGACGGGTCGGGATCTTCCCCCCGGGGAAGATGGAACAAACGCACGAGCCAGCGGTACATACCTACAACACCGTGGATAAATCCGGCGTGCACCGCAATTCACTCCACCGACGGGCTCTCTCCTTCATCTTCGAGTTGAGTTGATGAACGAGGCATCGAGGCATGCGTCGGACGACAAGCCCCCGTTTTTTGTGACGCTTACCTAAGTAGGTACGAAGTCGTCGAGGGGCGGCCGGCGCAGCTGATATTGACGGATCCGACCGCGGGGGTGCTGCGGGAACTCGGACCCAAGGTGCCAGCCGCGCCCAGGAGGGGGTGTATGTAGGTATGTACGAGAACCGGACCCAGTCATGGACATCTACCGTACCATCTCTGCCAAACGGCCACCTACGCAATGGCGGTGTCACGGTGGAGCTGTACAATTATATATCAATAACGGCCAGGCCGTGTGTGCGAGTGATCAGCTGTATGGCCATGGGCGGCTGCCGAGGTTTATAGCACTCTAGAGAGCCGTCTTTAGCTACCTATTGGCGAGGGCCGATGTTGCACATCTCCGATGCCGGTGTGTGTACTTGTAGGAGGTTTCGGGATAATCAAGCCCGGGAATTAAACGTTTTCATGCGATCGGTTACTACAAAAGTGTCCGCAGTTGATACATGCTGGCGTTAGGATATGCATCCTATTACCTATGGTGAGTTGAGGCTACCCGGAGGTAGTGGGCAAGACCCGGAGATCTACTCTAATGGAGGTGGAGGGAGGAGGTCGGTCATGGAATCTCACTCGTCCCAAAGCCTAGAGCATCGTTGGGTGTAATCTACTGAGCGTGAGGAGTTGCAGAATCCGGGGCGATCGAGCGCAAGTGCAACCATTTATGCCATAAGCATTAGAAACCATATTTGTATACTTAATGTATTGTCTGTCTAAAGTACGTACACACCCAGGCGGCCAGGCCTCATCTAAGTGGTACATGTGCAACAGGCAAGTACTGTAGTAGTACACCCAACGTGTAATCCATTCCAGTAAGAGAAGAAAAAAATCATACCCACAATGCAAGCCGAAAAAATAGCAACAAATGAACGCCAACACCGCATTTAAGAACCCCCTCCCTCACTGCTAATCAATGTATCCTATCCCAAACAAAACAAACCGACGAAATGACGAAACGACTAAAAGACGACCATGAGAAAAGGGGGGGGGGGGCAAGAAAGAGTAAAAGCATTTCATTTATAACGGAATTGATTCACTCCTCCTCGGCGGCCTCGAGTTTCTCCTTTTCCAGGAGTTCCTTCATGCGCTCGAATATGGTGCTCTCAGGTAGGACACCGAGGTCTTTGTCGAAGACGGGACCGATGGTGTCGACCCAGCGCCTGCGCCGCTCCATCAGTAGACGCGCCTGCTCGCCGATTCCAACGTGTGCGCGCGCCACGCCGACGCCGTTGGGGACATTCTTCTTCTTCTTGCTGGCCTTCATATTGCGGCTGCGCTTAGCAAACGCTTGTTCGACCTAGTTGTGACAGTCAGTACCATGACCATGATGAATACGGTTGTAGATGCACGTACCTGTTTATCAAGATCCTCGAGAATGGTGACGTATTCCTGGTAGGCGAGCTGCTCCTTCAATTGCTCGGCGATGCGTGTCTTGCGCGCACCGTTGAGAATCGCCTGTTCTTTCAGCTGCTTCTGCAGTTGACGCAGCCGCGCGGAAACCTCGTCGTCCTGCCTGTTGTCGTAGTCTAGTTCCTGACTCGGATCCAGCAATCCGACGTAGACCATTTCGCGGCGGACACGCTCGTCCAGCGTGGAATAGTCTGACTTGCCGGTCGGAATCTTCCAGTTCACTTCCCCACTATTATGGAGTGAAGCGGCAAACGACTTGGGCACTGGCGTGGTGTCGCCGCTGTCGTCCTCGGGCTCTTCAGGTATATATAGAGAGAGAAGACGGGCAAGGAGAGGACCACATGAGACCTCCTCTTTGTCGAACTGCTCGTCTGAGAGATCTTCCGGCTTTCCACGCGGTGCGTTGGCGGACTTATTGGAGCTGCTATTCGTCGGGGGCGCCGGAGACGCAAACGAAGGACCTGCTCCATCTTCCTCCGCCCACTGCTCCGAGTAGTGCTTTCCGAGCTTCGGGATGATGTAGGGTTGAAGGCGATCGCCACGCTCACGCAGGAATGCCAGATCCTCTTCAGAGAACGGACGGAAGTATGGTTCGATGTATGCGTTGAAGGTGGTGATTCCGACCTGGTTCGTGGGTTTGGCTTTTGAGAAGTCTTCGTCAGGTGGGTAGCCGGGGATGAGCTTTGAGAGGTCGTCTTCGGGGAAGCGAGCGACGGCAAAGGCTTTCGCCTTCTCCGCATATGGCGTCTTGTCAGTAACTGTCGCAATCTCGTATATGGCCGGATCGTCATCGAGAGGTTCAAAGACAACAAACGGCGCAGCCTGAGTGGGTTGATGCTCGGCCTCCGACTCTTCGGAGTCGTCTCGTTTGATCTCGGGGCTGCTGCTGAGCTTCTTCTTCTTCTCTGCTGTGTTCACCGTCAGCTCAAAACCACCACTGCCGCTGCCGCCGGGATCATAATGAGACAAACCACGATCATTGGGACCTTGACCAGTCACCTGATGCGCGCCCACCGCCAGCGGCCTCTTATGCTCTGGTTCTGCCTTGCGCTTCTTAAGCTTGATCTTCTCTTTCTTCTCGGCATCCTCGACAGCCTTGCGCTCGCTCTCCCTCTCGGCCAACTCTGCCTTCTCCCTCGCCGCACGTTCCTCACGGCGAGCCTTCATTGCAAACAGCGCTTTCTTAGAGCTCTGCAACCGCTCGGTAGCAAAGTCCTTGAGCACGCCGAGCTCCTGACGCAGTGCGACGAGCGTTCCGGAGTTCGGGATGCTGGGGTTCTCCGAGAGATTGAGGCGTTCAAAGAGATCGTCGTATGTGCGGCGCGACGAGAAAGACGTAGAAGACGGTACCGGGAATTCGCTGCTGATAGTATCGCCAGAAAACGCTGAACCCGATGCGGGCGTCGTGTTGCGACTGAGTGAGCGCCGACCTTGCGCGTTCATTCCACCGCCCCCTCGCGACTTTCCTTTACCCTTAGCACCTTTGGCCGACATCTCTAGGATGTGGGCTACTAAGAGAACAGTGTGATAGTAGTTTCTGAGTGAGTAGATGGTAAAGTGGGAGTTCTGAGAGAGGTTGTTGAGCGATACTCTAGTATCGTGATGTTCTATGGTACGCGCTTGTGGGGGGGACAGCCGGGTGTACATAAATGGTTAGTTCCGCGGGGGGTCTTGGCCTGGGAGTAACATATAATGATGGCGTACACGGGACCCATGGCACGTGACCGATATTTACGTGCATATGTACGACATCGAGAACTCTGAAAGCGCATGATCAAACCTACACACTTCACATCGACGTCGTCGAGCCGATAGTCTACGGAGGGCTGGTTCTTCGGCGGCCTGACACGAGCACAAGCCGCCGGTTGTCCCGTCACGGACAGCCAAAATGCCGCGCTGGGCGTGTGCCAGTTCCGTCTCGTATCAGCCCATCCGTATTAAAGCGTCCCTGGAAACGGCAGTCTATGCATGTACGGTATGGAGCAATAGGGTGTTGGTACTGAAGGCTCTATATAGCATGAAATACGGACCGGTGTTTTGGCCCGACTGTTTGCCTCAGACTTCTCTGCCCAGTGTCCAGACCCCCGCTAAAAATATCAGCCCAGCCTGCCGAGCAACGCAAAGCCTCTTCCGGGAATCGGCTCAAGGTTCCTCGACTTGCCGGGGACACATCGCGATAAATCTCGAGCAACAGATTGCCAGGAGAAGTGCCATAAGTATCCGACACTGCGCGTCTCGGATCCCTTGACCCATCGCCAAGTGTCGGCATGGTCTTCCATCCAGCTGATGCCAGTTGCGTGGTGGATTTGCACAGAAAACGAGGCGGCTACATACTCGAACTCCTTCTAAGTTCTGAGGCATACAAAGCCAAGAACTCTGCGCCCGCTGGTGCGTGGAGGCGATGCGAGAAAAGCTACCTAACTTATTCTATGTATCTACACGGCACTTGAACGAAGAGCTTCCTCTCGGCTACAACACCCACAGCCATTGCCACCGCCAGAAAGAATCCCGCCCACGCGCACAACCGCACGGACAGAAGCAGGGCTGGATGCGCGAGGAAAAAAGAAGCTGAAGAGAACGGAGCCGAACGGCGGAAAGCGGGAGTCTCACGGGCAAGCCCCTGCGGAGGTTCGACACCGCATCCGGAGCTACGGCCTGCCCCAGCATCAGCCCAACCCTCCCTTGAAGCACAAGCCAATGACGCGCTGGCTTGGCCCGCCGACTAGGCCTGTCCATTGATTAATCGTCGGGCCTCATGAGGTAAACTTCACGGCACTCGACAAGACCGCCGAGTGCCTTCTGCCGAGCCCCCAAGAAGAAACACGAAGTAGAAGAGGGGACAGGACACGGGCGGCGGCGACGGCGAAAGAACGAGAGATCGCTCTCTCCTCTCTGTCCCCTCGCCCCCAGCCCCAGAATCCGAAACACATCCATCCACCTCAACGGCAAATCCACTCACACCCGCCGTGCGCCACCTTCCCGATTGCCATCCGTTGCTAGATATCCATCACGCAACAGACAAACCTTATACATACTGCAGTCGCGGCTCCGACTGGCGACAGCAGCAGCACCGAACGCACAAACACACATCCCGTTCCATAGTACATCCTCCGTCCGCAGCCCAAGCGGCAATGAGTTTGTTCCTCCGTTCCTCCGTTCTTCCGTTCTTCCCGTCCCCCGTTCCCCCCATCCGCACTGCTCGTCCCCCCCCAGCGTGCTCATACTTACTCAACCATTCCTGTAGCCGCAAAAAGCATCCATGCGTCGGTTCTAGTGTTCCCGGATGTCGATATCGAACCCACGTCCGCCGACGACGTTTCGCTCGCACTACCCGGCAACACATCGTTCTCTCTTTACGTTACTCAACCGAACATTGTAACCCTCTTCACCGCTGGCACCAACAACGGCGATGAATTGAAGGGTACGCTGCACTTTCCGGACCTGCTGCCGTCATCGGTCTGCCGCAACATCACCACGCTCCCGCGCACTTCCCTTTACGACGACCTCCAGAAGACTACATACTCGAGCACCCACGTCATCGCCTTCGCTCCGTGGTCGCTCGGATGCAACAAGGAGTTCCTAGATCGTGCTCGCGACGACCGCAGCGATGTCCAAGGCTTCTTCTTCTACACGCTCGACCACATGGATCAGATTCCGGGCAGCGGGAATGAATACTGGGATGGGATTCGGTTGCGTGACTACGGCTTTCCCATCTACGGTATGAGAGGACGCGAGGGCGTGCTGTTGATGGACAAATACACACAGTATGCGACGGAGAAGAGCATGCTGAGCGACGTCAACAACATGACTGGGCGTGCGCGCATCTTCATTGATGTGGACACCGGGAAGCGCGCTCCGCTGCCGGGGCTGTGGCTATTCCTGCTCATTGTGATGTCTGTGCTACTGGTCGCGGTCGGATTGACGTCGCTGTCGATGCATCTGCTGCAATACTACCGGCGCCGCTCGTTGCGCAGGAGGGTCGCTGCTGGCGAGGTGGATCTGGAAGCTCTCGGCATAAAGCGGCTGCGAGTACCACGGAAGGTCCTCAACAAACTCCCGCTCCGTCCGTACACTACCGATAAAAGCGACAGCTACTCGCAACAGAGCTGTTCCATCTGCCTCGAAGATTTCGTGTTGGACGTGACCACAGTACGCGAGTTGCCGTGCAAACATATATACCATCCCGCCTGCATCGACAGCTTCCTGGAGCAGCAGAGCAGTCTGTGTCCGCTATGCAAGAACAGCGCTCTGCCGAAGGGATACGTCCCCGAACGGCTTACCAACCGCACCGTCGTACTCGAGCGGAATGCGCGGCAGCAGCGCGAAAGGGCGGCGCGGCGGAACGGTGAGAGGATCGACCCGTCGATGTGGTCGAGGCTTAAGAACATGGTTTGGGGCCGTGGTGGGGGTCGCCCTGGCGTGGACTCCAGGAGCGACGCGACACCCACCCCAAACGCGATCGAGATGCGGCGTCGAACAGTGCCGGCGGGAAGTAGGGAGGGCAGGAGTGGAGTCCTAGTTGCTGAGGTGGAAGAGGGCCCCGTTAGGGGAGGGAAATGTAAGACCCCACCACCACCATCGCCCATCTCCCGTTCCCATATATTGTGCATCAGCTAATGATCTCCAGTCCGGAGAGCAGTACGCGCTGTCTTCCCCGGATTCCAGTGAAATGATCAGCCTCTGCGTCGAAGCGGTTTTACCTCTTATTTTCTTTTGTTTCCTTTGGTGCCTTCACTGAACGGATTTGTACTTGGCATTGTTTGATCTGGGTTGCGTTGAGCACTTAATGCATATTTTTTACCCGTGGTTGGGTTGGTACTGGTGTTTTGTTTTGTTTTTTCTTTCTTTTTCTTTTCTTTTTCCTTTCCTGTTCCACTGACCCTGGCTATTTGCAAACCAGTGTTGTTTCTTCTTGCCCCCCTAACTATCTCCCTCTTCTTCTTTTTCTCTTTCTCTGTGGAAATTCTTGAGGTGTCTGGGTCGGCGTTGGCGTCATCATTTTTTGCGTGATCAGCGGGCGGGCGAGCGGTGCACGGGGATGGGGATGGGACGGGAGGACGGGTTGGGCTGGTATATCTAATGTTATTGTAGCAGTGAGCACGTAGGCGGAAGAAATACGATTTGATGGATAAACGATGAGGATGGGATGGGTCGAGACTCGAGACTCGATACATGGCCCCAGTTTCGCAGATAAAAACAATAGGTAGCTGAGTGAGGTTAATACATAAAGCTTGTGTTTCCAAGGCCCTACCGAGAATCGCACACAACTCCTCATTCAACCAACCATTTGTCACTCACACTCGACACAGCACACAACGTACTGCATTCCCAATCCTGTGGTACTGGGCGGGCTGCCTGGTGCAACACCATTCGCATCGCATCCGGCGAATCAAGCACCACCACCAGCACCAGCATTCCCCCGTTGTTTGAAAGCCCGAGAACGAGGCCGATACCTACCCATCATCCACTCAACTTCCGAGCTCAATATTCTCGCACAGTCGTACATTCAGCTGAGGACTGGGGACTGGGGACTGCGGATCCCTCGCAAACCTATCACCGCTGGACGACCGCAGACGAGCAGCTTACGGTATGTAGGGGGAATGGTAGTGGGCATCGTGGAATCGTGGGGGGAGGGTTGATAGCGAAACTAAACTAGATTTGAGGACAGAATTGGAGAGCGTGCTTGTTATATCTCAAGTACAGAAGGTTCATTTGCCAGACATGCGGATCGGAAGACTAGGTGTGCGTATATAGAGAGATCAAGGCACTAGAAGGCACGGTTATTCATCGACTCTGGGTTGGGGAGCGAACGGTCGGTTTTAAACCGTATATTACATGTATTTACCATCGGTGCTCTACATAAGTACTTAAGTAAGTACTTTAGGTTGTCAGCACCCGGTATCTGCCTGTGAGCAAAATGGAGTTGATCACACACACATACACAAGACTGAGCATACCACGCACAACCTTCATACCCAGTACCGTATGTACGGAAAGTCCCCACGGGACTAGGGGTCTATACCGTCCATCCATCCATCCATCCAGTGAGGGAGAGGTTTTGGTTTAGTTTGTTCAGAGCTGCACAAGAAGTCATTCGGTTCGCGAGTGAGTGATTGTGTTAAGAATATGAGTGTGATGTTTCAGTTGATTCATTCGCGACACACAGCGGACGAGAAGCTAGAAATACCAGGCAAAAGTAGAAGCATGTATGAGAATTAAACAGGATTCTCGAAGCGTGCAAATATTACCATGATGACAAATGTGCAATAGGTATCATGACGAGTGACGATGGTGGCTTTTCAACGTAAAATCGCAACAGATTGATTGACTCGGCATCGTATACCTAGTATAGAGTTCGGTACTAGTGTCGGCTGGAACTTCCTGCATCTACTATAGGTATACACCACTTCTTGGAGTTCTCAGGGTGTGTGTTTTATCTTTCTCTGGATAACATGTATGCTAATGCACCCGCCCCCCACCCCACCGCTCGAGTGAGCTTCATGAACTTACTTTTCTAGCCCGGTGCTTATACTATACTATACTTCCTCTCCTCTCCTCTTCTTCCGCTCATAGGTAGGGTACGGTATCCATAAGTACCTAGGCGGTCTTCAATAATGATGGTTTTTGTGCTTCTGCTGACCTAGGTTCGCGTGTTCGCTACGTTGGATTGTACGGTTGAGCAAGTGAATTGCATTATTCTTTACAGAAGTTTAGATACGGGGTAACTCCTTATCGTCTGTTTCGTAGGTATAATGCCGCCAACGTTACTACGCCTCGCACTGTTGAATATCTGGGTTGGTTAACGGGTGATCGGAGAATATGAGAGTTTGCGGCTGCAGCTCAGTTGGTAACCTTCAACTAGTCAGAAACCCATGGTTTGAAAATGTAGCTGGCAACCGGACAGGCCCTTGATTGTCCAGTTATCAGCACTAGACAGCGCTGCTACGCATCAAATGAATCAATCCGAGCTGAACATCACATCACATCTCACAATCGACCGTCGGGGCTCAGGGTCACGCCCATTTGCGACGTTGATTGACAGTGATACCATATTGTACTCTGCAGAGAAGTGATTCGATAGGGTATCAGTCCAAGTGACACGGCCATTGGCCATTGGCCATTCCCGTTGCCTCAGTGCCCTGCTCTCGGATCTCAATACAATACGAAGATGTGTAGGGAGATTTTGGGTTCCTCCGAGCTGTACGTTTTTCTTCCTCCCTTCCTTCCCTCGATGATGGCGTTCATCGTATGCACTTGGGGATTCTCACCTCCAGAGTCCACAGCCGACAGCGGCAGCGTAAAAAAAGAGAGAGATATCTTCCTGTTTTATTTCGCATGCAGCCTATCTAGACTATGGCGAAGGGGCGGCAGCGGAAGGTGCAGTATCACGTGCTAAATTATTGTAGTATCGAGTGATATCTAACTAACCAGCCTTACTCCCTCCATCCCTCCGTCACGCCGCAAACAAAAACGAAACCAAAAACCAAAAACCGTCACCACCACCGGCACCCGGCGGTAGGTGGCTTGGAAACCCCTTGGCAAGAGCTATTCACAATACAAGGGTCTCTCACCCGGAACTTTCCCTCAACTCCCCTCGCCGGCGATTGCATTACATGGCCTAAACCGCTGCGAGGCTAGCGCAATAACCACTGCAAGTAGAGTGCATATCTACAGTGGTGTCAGTGCTGTATCCACAGCGACGCCTGCGACCTATACGTAGCTCGTACATATACCACTGGTTCCACTTGTAGAATCAGTTTCAGTCATGACAAGTCACGCTCTATTTCCGACCAGGGTGGGATAGTACTAGTAGTTATAGTAGCTCGCAAGCCCATGTGATGCAGAACCTACCACCTCGCGCGTTTCCACCACCTCGTACCTTACCATAGTACCCAATCCCCCCACCGCGGCCATGCCACGCACAACGACCTCATCCCTCGCGCCGCCCGCGCAATCCACGGGTCTGCGGTCGCCATCCCCACGGCGGTCGCCGCCCTCTCTGCACCCCTCCTCCTTCGCGCCGCCCTTCTACAACCGACCACCGACGCCCCTCCCCCCCTCACCCTCATTGACGAGCCTCCTCCGGCCCTCGCGGCCCACCACACCAGACAGCAGCGACAGCGAGGGGATCCTGTCGTCGTCCCGCCTATCGTCCCGCACACCGCGGTACGCGCCCAAAGTGCCAACATACGAGTACTACGGCTTCACACTGTACGTGATCGCGAACGCTGCGTTCGCGCTGCAGCTGCTGTGGAGTTTTTTGCCCGCGAGTTTTCTGGAGAGCCTGGGGTTCAGCTATTACCCCTCGCGCTGGTGGAGCTTGGTTATTCCCAGCTACCTTGTCGTCCTCGTGTGCTACGTTTTTGTTGCCCTGGCGGGGTATAATACTACCGTACTCACGTTTCCCCTGGGCGCGCTGGAGGCGGTCGTGGATGTGGGTGGGAATGTCGCCGCGTTTACGGTGGGGGATGGGGAGGTGGAGGGGATGCTGGAAGGTGAGGGCGAGGTGAGGGATCACGGGAAGAGTGAGAAGTGGGGGGATATGCTTAGGGGCCGCGGGGATCTCGATTGGAGGACGCTGTGGAGTCGCGGGACCGACGCGGTTATGGATGTGCCCATCGGCGGAGTGTGTGAAGTGCTCTACGGCGAGGGGAGGGAAAGGGAGGAGTGGGAAGTCGACGATGATGAGTGAGGCGTATACCTACGGCGTTTGGGAGTTGTGTTTGCGAGTGGGAATCGGAGATTAGAAGCAGGCTCGGACGAGGCCATGGAATCACGTACTACCTATACACCAAGGCTACGGCGAAATATTTTGCTCCGTCCTTCACTTTGTTCACTGGCCCAAAGAGTACCCGCTGTGTATCCGTCTGGCACACAGCCGTCAACCCCCCAGTGCTAGTGCTAGTACATGATCACCGAAAACAGAGCACCCTCCGACTCGACGATAATCCGAGGTGTCGATAGCATCGGCCGTTCACACAGACTGTCCCCACGTACACTGTCCCACGGCGTGAACATGCACTTCCGATCCGAGCATGACCACAATCCCCACGAGCCCACTCCAACAGAGCAGAGAAGAAGACCCACGCTCACAAAATACAACCACGACCCTCCCACCGACTCCATCGAGCTTGCGGAGCCTCCGATGCTTCAACTGGTCGTCTGGCCCAAGTCTCGGGCTGGAGGGCGTGGTGTTCGCGAGCAGATCAAGCCGGTGGACGGTTATATGAGTCGGTGCTCGTGAGTTGAACGTACGGTCCACGATCGTGAGAGGGGGGGGAGGCCAGCCGGCCATCGAGTGCCACCGAGTGACCACCGGGTCGACGCTCTTGCTCTTGGCATCCTCGTCAAGCACTGCGGGGGAGGGGTGGGGGGTAGAGGTGTGCGGGAGAAGATTAACCAGGCGGTGAATGATGGATGATGGGAGACTGGGAGTATCTATCGCGGGTAGAACCCCGTATGTAACTATGTAGGAAACTGCACTCCAGGATCGAAAAAAAGATGAGGATTCGTCTCGACTCTCGACGTAAGACCCTGGAATGAGTAGAAGCTTGCTGGTATACCTAGTATGTACGCAGATAGCAGATAGCAGTCTGTACTTTTTTTCATGGAATTGGTCCAGCGGAAGAGCTCCTCCTCCTCCTAGAGCTCAGAGCCCAGAGCCCAGGTCGCCGTCGCTGCAAACAGCATCCTTTTTTCCCCCTTCATTCTTCCCGTTCCTCCCTTCGCGTGAGGCAACTGCGCGAGCAAACAAAGCTTGGTCCCCAATCCAAGCCGTTTGTGGCCAGCCCATCTCAGCTCCCGGAGAGAGAGAGTATGTCTGTAGGTCTGTAGGTCTGTATGTCTGTAGGACTGTATGTTCGGACTTCCACCTGCCGTCGTCGACGACGGACACGCAAACAAGAGCCGAGTAGTAGATGTTGACCGCGGTTTCCGCCGCAAACATGCAGTCTCACACTGCCGGCTCCTCCTCCTCGTCGATATCTCGGCCGTCGTCGTCCACCTCGTCTGTATCTGCAGCGCAATGCTGACGATCCCCACAATGCGTACTTACAGTACACCACCACCAGCATCACCACCACCATGCACGTCTGTTCGGTTCGGGAATGGCCGGAGCACAGTACATGATTGGATGCAGCCACCAGTGGACACCGTCAGTGGTTAAGCTTGTTTCCATCTCCATCTGCGTTTCCATCTGCGTTTCCTCGGTCGTCGTCTTGTTCCATCCCGTCTCGTTCGTCGAGGCGTAGGGCGGAAGGGGTGGTGGAGGAGGAGGGAGGAGGAGGAGGAGGGAGGAGGAGGAGGGAAGAGGCGGCTCGAAGAAAGAAAGCAGTGCATCTTCCAAGTTCCGGCCACGACTCCCGACTGCGCGGCTGTGCTGGATGTCTCAGTCCGCCGCCGCACCCATGCCCGCTGCGAGCCAGAAATTCAGAATCTACATAGATGCTGTGCTGTGATGTGCTGTGATCCAATCCACTCGTCCGTCCGTCCGTCAATCTGGTCACACCATACATGATCCATGATACGGGCGGTGATGTGCAACAACCCTTCGTCCCTTTCTGTGACCCTCCATACACACACACACATACAAGACACATATAAGACACATAGATCTGCTCTACGGAGGCCGGAGTCCGTGCGGCGGTAGAATTTTTTATTTTTATTTTTAAAAAAGTAAAGGCGAACACCTTGTATACCGGTATCTCGTCGAAGCAGGGCGGATCTGCCTGCGCCTGGGCATGGGCTTGGGCAGTGCGTGGAACCCGCTTTGAGGCTTCGACCGGCTTCGATCGGCGGGCGGGAGGGTGAGGAGCAGGAGGAGGAGGAGAACGGGTTCGGCACCGGCTGGAAGGAGGATTGAGCTTGAGCTTGAGCTCGAGGAACCGATGGGGGATTGAGCTCGAGGTTATTTGTTACGTGGGTATCCATCTTCACGCTGTGCAGTGTCCGAACCCTGCACCTCGCAGACTCCCAGTCGTGTATGTAGTGTATATATCCAGAGTGTGCAGAGTTCAAACACCTCCCCCCCAGAACACGATCCGCGGCGAAACTCGCTTGGGAGACTTTCCAGATGGATTTCGCGTTCGCGTCCTGTCCTGACCTGTCTGGCCTGTCCGTCGCGCGCCTGAGCTCGGAAGCAACCGAGTCGGAAAGAAAAGGAAAAAAGAAAAGACGAAAACCCCATATAAATCCACTCTATTAGCACATGTGTAGGTAAATACATTCCATCCCATCCCCTGTAGAAAACCAGAAAAAAATTTCTAGTATCCGAGAAGATCAGCCCACACTGCAGACTTCACAGGCCGAAGGGCCGGGTGGAATGGGAAATCCGCGCATCGTATGATAGTTGGTTGGTACTCTACCCAGCATATGACGGCGGGTGTACTGCACCCCAACCACTCCGCGCGCCTCCAGAGAACCCGCGGGGTTATACGATCCGAATGTTCGACTCTCTCGTCTCGACTCTCGAGGATGATTGCCATGGGCCCATAGGCCATACATGGGTGGGTGAGCTCCGAGGACGCACGCTCGCGTGCGGCTGGAAGTCATGGGCGAGCGGAGCGGAACATTGTCGTGACTGGAATTCATCTACATAGAGTAGCATAGAGTGGGCTGCATACCCGAGAAATGTCATGGGTCCAAGGCCGGGGGGATGCGGAGGTGGAATAACGTTGTTCCTGGAATCTAGGATCCCTAGCTGCCATGGAGCGGGACTCGGGGGTAGAGTACCTATGGTATGGTTACTAGGTACGGTATCTAGATGGAGTATCTAGATGAAGTGTCTATGTACATGGCATGCATACCTGACAGTTATGTATGCGTGCCTCACAGACACCTCTCCAGATCCTCGGCGACAGAGACACGGACACATGTCAAAAGCCGCAGTCGCAGTCGTAGTCGCAGTCGCAGTCTCAGCATCCGCGGCGACTTCCAAGTTCCAACAAGCGTGTGCTCGAGGCACGGTATTCTGGGCACTCACTTGGGGTATCTACGCAAGCTTTTTTCGATCTCACGGTTAAATAGCAGCCGTGCAGGATTCGCCATGCAGGAAAAGCTGGAAGTGAGATGTCCATCCAGATTCCACACGAGTGCCGTACTCTGGCAGCTACTGGGTAGTGGTATGTAGCAGCTCTGGGTATTTTCCAATTCCGGGGCCGAATGCTGACTATCAAACTCTAGTAGAGTGAAGTAGAGTACTGTAGAGTACCGGCAGAGTGTGCACGCGTCCAACCCATCCAACCCATCCATCCATCCAAGTTATTTTGTGTTTAACCGTCTGGACTTTGCAGGAGTTGGGAGCTGTGAGTCTGACGGAGGGTCACGGTGATGTGAAGTGACAAAGGATGAAGAAGTGGAGGAGGAGGAAGAGGAGGTGAGGTTACGACAAACCCCAACCCAGGGCAACACAAGGCACCCAGTGCAACCCAACCCACCTCCCCTCCCCACCTCCCCTCCTTCCCCCGCGGCAATGCAATTTCCCAGGTTTCCTCTAGCCAGGCTTCTCTGTGTCTGTCTCTGTCTCTATCTCTGTCTCTGGAAGGAAGAGAGATGCAGAGATGCACAAGGCTTTTCGGCAGTTGCGATTCTTGTTCTTTTTAGTGATGGTGATGATCGGGGTGTTGCTTCCTTCCTTCCTTCCTTCCTTCGGATCGTTATCTCTAGATCCCCATGTACCATACTCTACCCTAATCTTCATGTATGACCATAGTACCGTACATATCCACACACATGCCCACCTGGCACCCAGCTCAAAGTTGTATTTACCCGCTGCCTGTGTGATGTGATGTGTGCTGTGTGTGTGTGTGTGTGTGTGTGTGTGTGTTGGTAACTAGCGGCGGTGTCGCGGTCCAGAGCTACATGCCTGCCGTACGGCGTGGGTTTGTGGGTATGTGGGTATCATACATCGAGTTTGTAGTGTATGTAGAGGGATATATTTGGATGGCCGTATGTACGTACAGACTGGTGAGACATACGCTGGACAGTAGGTATCGTGCAGTCGGTACTCCGCGTACTCTGGACTCCAGAGCAGGACATTTCCTATCATCGTGAACTGGGTCCGACAGAGGGTCTTTTACTACTACTAGGTGTGCAGCGTCAGGACCAAACTCAAACTCGGTCTCAGAAGCAGAAGAAACGCTGAAGAAACGCCGAAGGGGGGCACCCGTTCCCCGTAGATATCAACCAAAGCACGAAGCTGATGACAATTACGATGACGAGACGGCGGCGGGTTTGTCATTGCGCTCTTGGAGGCATCAGAATCTGACGAAAAGGCGCAATACCCACCACCACCACCACCACCACCACCACCACCACCACCATCAAGGCGTGGGTGAGCCACGGCCGCCATTGGCTGGCTGCACGTCGCAGGCAGGCAGGCAAGAAAAGAAAGAAAACAAAAGAAAAGAAAGAAGGAAAGAAAGGGCAAAAAAGAAAAGAGATCCTCGCGCTTCGTTCTGTTTTTTTCTGGTCGCCGTCCCATGTTGGTTGCCATGCCCATCTCACTCTCTCTCACTCCATCTCTCTCCCTCTGGGAGTCTCACTGCGCGGCGGCGGCGGCGGCGTGACGTTGGTCCGCCCCAGGAGGGGTGGTGGTGGTGGTGGTGGTGGGAGGAGACAGAACAGGACAGGACAGGACAGGACAGGACAGGACAGGACAGGACAGGACAGGACAGGACAGGACAGGACAGGACAGGACAGGACAGGACAGAACAGGACAGGACAGAACAATAGGACAAATCATGTCGTGTTGCGTTGCGTTATGTGGGGACACACTGGCGACTCCAGAGCACAGAGCGAAGCACAGACAGAGCACAGAGCACCCACAGAGCACACAAAGCAAGGCGACCTTGACCAAGGTAACCTGGGAATTTCGAAATGCAAACATCCCCTCCACTGTATCCACTGCATCCACTCGACATCATGTGTCGCCTAGGTGTGTGCGTGTGCATGTGTGTGTGTAAGGTGGGTGGGTACTCTAACCTGCGGCGCACTGCAGTGCAGGCGAGAAGAAGCACTGTTGACTGTCGACGTCGACGACGACGCCCGCCCCGCCGTATCCCCGAACAATCACGGTCCCCACCGAGATGTTAGATCTGGTAGAATACCTGGTCGATACATAGAATGGTGTCCTCTCTGCGCGCGATTGGTTGCAGTCTTGCAGTCTTGCAGCTCCCAATTGGCCGTGGATAAATGTTGAGAGTGCGAGGTATGTAGGGCGGCGGTTCAGCATCAGCTCTGGCATTTCTTTTCTGTTACCTATTTATTCACATCATACTCGACATACATGTTACCCAAGTACGGTAGATCAACTCCACTCCAGACTCCAGAGCGCGTTGGTGTTGGTGGCGTCTCGGTCGAAGGTCACGGGGCCTATGATAGTGCAGTGCACGCACGAATCTCCCGGGGCCGGAGCACAGACGCGGTTTCTGGATACTAGTATGTATCTTGGTACTCCATCTACAGGCACCAGATATACACACGCCCCGATCCACCGCCGACCAAGCCCACGGTGTCGTCCTGTGTCGTCGTCTGTGTCGTCGCCTCACCTCGCTCCCGCCTCTCCTTGCCTCTCCCTGCCTCTCCCTCGCCCGCTCATTCGTCCATATCGTGGAGACGGAAGTCCGCGACCACGCAGGCAGGGCAAGCAGGGCAGGGCCGGCAGCGAGACAGCATCGATTCCGGATCGCCAATCTCACTCTGCTTGCGTTTTCCGTGGGGTATTAGCCGGTGCGTGCGGTTCGGTGCGACGGATCAAACATGAGCTGGCTGGCGGGCATGCGTGCGTGGCTCCCAGACCTTCCCTTCCCTTCACACTGCCCAGGAAAGTTGAAAGTTGAAACCCCAGTTGATGCCGCGCCGGAGTTAACTCCTACTAGTAGTTAACTGCTAGCAGTTATCGCAGAACGATCTAATCAGCAGAACCAGAACCAACCATCAGGGTGCACGCACGAAACTCCGACTGTCCGGCACGCTTTGTTTGTTTGTTGGGAGTGGAGGGATGACCGGCCAGCGCTCCGGAGTCCGTTCGCGCCGGCCGACCCGTGCGTGCGTGTTGCGTGCGTGTTGCGTGCCATCCGTGTGCGGCCCAGCTGCCAGCTGCCAGCAACCCCAAGTATCTAGAGTAGATATGGGACTAACTACTATCGTACTACGAGATCTCGGAGACATTTCCGCCCGCCCCGCGGCCCCCGCCCGCCACGATCTCCTCACTTCCATCATAAGGACCCTGCGGACCCTCCAGGACCTTCGGCATCTTGGCAGCGCGGGGGATGGCCAGAAGGGTGTTCGCTCGGCGTTACTTACTCTGGGATCTATGATGGATACACATGTTACCGTACACATCACTACATGTGTGTACGGTGTACCTATCGCCACATCGCCACCCCACAGCCAGCAGCCAGCAGTACGGTAGTTAGTTAACCAAGTATCATACTACTGGGAGTACTAGGAGTTAAGCCCGGCCGGCCGGCCAACCAACCAACCAGTCAAATTCCCGCCTAGCTGTACTGGGTAGACTAGAATAGGTAGTACCGGTACGGTAGTTACTGTGGTCTCCATCATCCAAGATGGAGACCCGCCTACATATCACAGTAGCGTGCAAGATAGACTTCCCCTTCCCTGCACGGGCACTGGCACTGGCACTGGCATGAACTTTGAACTTTGAAGACGCCGTGCCCGCCTCAGCAGGCCACTTACGTAGCTTGCGTAGTGTACATACCTGGTAGGTTATGTAGGTAGGTGGGCGGAGAAATAAACTTTTGGGTAGTGATGTGCTGTGACGATGTGACCACGATGATGATTTTCTGTTGCTACTGCTACTGCTGCTATCGCGGCCGGCGTGACACGACGTATACATAACTCACTCTGCCCCGCACTCGAGTAACTAGAGTAGAGTAAAAGCCCGCACGCTCGATATATCGCACTGCGACGACTCACGAGGGGCGGGCGGACAGCCGGGCGGGCTGCTCCAGTGCTCTCTGCAACAAAACAAACAAACGAACGCATGAACAAAACGCATCCTTTCGCGCCGCCTGCGCGTAGGTATGCTGCTTGGTATGTGCTCTGGCTAACTAAGGGCCAGGCCGTGCGATGAGATGAGATGAGCGAGTGCATTCGGCGGCCACGCAGGCAGTCTGGCAGTCAGTCGGCGGTCGACGGACTGGCTCGGTCGGTCACGGGCGAACAAATCATACCGGACGGCGACGACTGAGGGCAGGTAGACGGCGGAGCGAGGGGGAGGAGGGGGGGAGGGGGGGGGGAGGGGGGGCGGGAAAAGGAACGAAAGAAAGAAACAAAGAAAGAAAAGAACGCGAGAAAGAAAAGAAAAGAAGAGAGAGAAAAGAGAAGAAAAAAAGAAGCGCTGTCTGCAGAGAATTCACGAAACCAAACCAAACAAACGAGTTCCTCGCGAGTAGTCCGGTGAAAAGAAAAAGGTGCTCGCTCAATTTCCATACGGGAGATAGAGCTATCTACCGTACTCCACCGTACCGTACTCGGATCTGCTGCCTGCTGCTCGAGTTTTGTTACATATCCCATCCCTTCCCATCCGGACATCCCACCACCACCATCCACGTTCGTCGTTACGTACATACTGATGTATAATAGCAACTTGCCCACCTATGGGTATGCTACATACCTACATAGGCTGTTGGCTCCTCCCAATCACCGAGGGCCCACCACCTCTCTTGAGTGTGGCAGCAGCGGCAATGTGTCGAGCAAATGACGATGGCGATGGCGATGGAAATGGGGGGTGGGTCTTTTCTGGCGGTTACGCGGGGACCTCTATGGGGCTGTAGAGCAGAGGAGGAGGAGTACATATGAGTACACAGGAGGAGGAGGAGGAGGCGGAGGAAGGGGGGGTGCGGCAGTGGGTGCGTGCAGATGTGATTAGACGTTGAATTAGGGTTATCAGTTCTGCAACAAGCAAGACACCAAAAAGACGTCACTCGTGTAAGGGAAGGCCTGGACTTGGAGCCTGGGGGGGGGACATGACCAGAACTCTAGAGTGGGAGGTGGAATGATGGTTGGTTGGTTGTGCCGCGCGCGCGAGCGGGGGGGGGGGGAGGACAGGGCGGGGGGTGCGGGACCACAAAGGAATAGCCCGTGTCCTGATAAGGCTTTTTCCCAAAGTGGAGGAGAGCTAATGATCACGGAGTCTTATCTGTGGGTTTCTGCGCGTGGGTTTCTGCTAGCTCCTCTATTATGTAGGGACCCACCGAGGGAGGGACCCACCCACCGAGAGAGGGACGGACCCCACACAGGGACGGACCCCCCCCCCCCCCCATCTCCAACTCTTGTCTTGGGATCTAGCCATCCAACCGCGTCCGCCCTTGAGCCAGCGTGCGGATCCAGCTGGCTGTCGGCTCCTCGATTGATTCCCAGGATAAGCCGTCCATAGTGCTCTGCGTGGGTGATGTGCGGTACTCATAGAGCATGTACCACTGCCACTACAGATGCAAGATACAGCGTGGGATGCGGGTGGTATGTGGTGGAAGATCCTGTATGTTCGTACATACGTAGCTGTGGTGAGACGGCTCACAGATTCTGTAGGGTAGGTTATTGTGTCGGTCCCTCAAAACAGGAAAAGAAAAGGAAGGAAGGAAGGCGCGTCGTCGTCGGCGTCGTCGTTGCTCTGGCTGCGGTGGGGCTGCACCATCGTCAACGCCGAGTAATCGGGACAAGCCTTTTGCTTTCTGCACCCTGGACGCACGCACGCCCATGACATCGGGGGGCGATTCGAAGGCGCGAGGGGTGATTGAATGGAGTTGCATTTCCGACGGCGGGGGTTTCGAATTCCCACCACCACCACCACCACCACCACCATCACCACCGCCACCACCATCACCACCACCCGATCACGCACACCTTGTCCCTCGGTGATGCTCGGTGACTTCAATCTAACACACCACATGTCATCTTAGCTCGGAGCGCTGTGCTCCTCAATGCTGTGTGTGGGGAATAAAAAAAAGAGAGAGCTATCGAATCGCATAGTCAGTACACACCTCTAGTAGTGCGAGCTTAAACCAAACTCCCAGCGGAGTATAAAGAAGGTCCCGCCTCCCACCTCCATTACTATCCATCATCCACCAGCACTCCAGTCCAACACTCCACCACCAAAGCCCAACACCTCATACACCGTCTTCGCCTCGTTCCCGCCAGAACCCCGCATTCCCAGCTCCGCCCACTCCCTCACAAACAAACACCCCCCAAACCCCTAATCCCCCGCACATCACTATGAGCTCCAACGGCATCACCAACGCCACCATTGCGCAGAAGGCCGGCATCCGCCGCCCCAACCAATTCCTGTGCCTCACTCCCGTGCAGAGCGCGAGCTACCCCAAGGCGCCTCCCAAGTCGCCCGAGATGGTCCCTTCGTCGATCCCGAACTCGATCCTCGAGGTGGCGCCCATGTCGCCTCCCCTCTCGCCCACCGACAGCGAGCTGAAGCCTGTGCCGTCCTACGCCCACCGCAAGAGCAGCGTCTCCTCCATCGGCGGCGAGAAGCAGCGGTTCCTGAAGATGAGCCCCGTCTTCTGGGGCGGCATCCCCGGTGAGGATGACTTCGCCATCGAGGACTAAGCGTCTCCGACCACAACATCCGCAAACACATAAAAATGGGCAGCATTGTCTCGGTATCGATTTCGGTTACGGCGTCTTTCTTCTGTTGCGTCCGAGGCGGTTTTTATCTCGGCTGGGTTGGGTTGGGTTGGTTCTGCTTGGGTTGGTTGGTCTGTCTGGGTTGGGTGTGAAACGGATACTTTTCTTTGGTTTTAGGGTCATCTGTCTGTCTGTCTGTCTACTGGGCTGTTTTTCTGTCTCTGTCTATGTCCATGTCTCTTGTCCGTCTGTATTTACGCGTCCCGTGCGTCCACTGGGGGTGGTACCTATATTTTTGATAAAGGAGTTTTTTTTCTTTCTTGTCTGATATCGTCGCTTTGTTTCTTCTTCTGCTTCTCTATTGATACCGTATTCTAACTACTACATTGATATTGATATTGATTTGTCGGGTCCGTTTTGTGACTTTTTCGGTTGATATCGGGCTTTCTGAAATCTCCAATCTTGTGCATGCAAACAAAACCACCTGTCTCCGACTCCCCCGTCTCCCAGTCTCGTCCCGTTTCAATCCTGCTTCGGGAAAAAAGAAAAAAGATCATCCGACTATGTTTACCCATATGCAAGTATATATTAACGTTTCTTGTATGGACGTTCTTGTTTGTACCGTTTTGGTCCGGTTAACTACGGTTTGGTGAATGGAACGGAATGCCCATGGGCGCTCATATGCACTCTACATTGTAGCCTCATACTGTCATACTTTATTTGATTACAACGTGCACCTGTCGTGCACCCGCCGCGCCGGGTTGATGGAACTTGACAGCCAGCCAGCTCCCGACGCACATCGATTCGGCGGAAGTCGGGCGTCGTCGACGACGGCTGTCGTCGGCGCTGGCTGTCGTCGTACTTTACATACATACGCCGGGGGATCGAGGGTAGTCCAGCATGCACCTAGGTATTCCAAGTAGCGGAACGGGAGCGAAGGAGGGAACCGGGGCCGGAACCGGGGCCGGAACCGGGGAAGTAACGGGGCCTAAAAAATTGCGGGGAATCGCGGGGGGTCGCGGGGGATCGTGGAAGCATTTAACACAGCCTGCATCATAGGGTACTCGTTCGCACGACGATCCTCCGAACCCGGGCCCTATGTACATAGAATCCCAGACACGAACCATGGATCGGCTAAGCGCCAGCCAGCCAGCCACACCGAGTCATGACTTACGACTCACGCGGAAACGGAAACATGGGTAGGTAGGTGTTGCGCGGATCATGGGGATTAGGCGGATGTGGCGCTGGATGATGGAACGGCTTCGCTTTGATACCGTACCTACATAACTCCTAACTTCCTACCTACTAGACCGCGGTGAACGTAGTGGAATCCAAAAATTCCCACATGATCCCAAGTTCCCAAGTTCCTGTTTTGCGAACGTGGAAATACCCGCAAACCAGGAGTATTACCGTAGCATCATTTCTCTACAGTAGGTGCCATTGACTTTCGTTGCACCCTTTCCACCTATTTAGCGACCTCCGACGAGTACGACCAACTGGCGAGACTGATTCGATTGACTAGGTAGCAAGCAATAAGAAACCAAAATTAGCTTATGTTCTTCGGACTGAACAACCACAAAGTACCTTTGCAGTGTTGATAATAATGCCTGATGTCTTATGTTTTATGTGTTGGATAAGAGACCGACCCACTACCTAGACGAACATAAAAGCAGCAACAGAGAAGTTAGAACATTTCAACGTTGAGGCCACCCCATCGGCCGGGTCTGGCCACGAATCCTACACTATGATACTGCTATGTACCGTATCCCACCTACTACCTACTACCTGCTACTTACTACCTACTACGGACTGACGGACTTACTGTGGAGTACGATAGATACCGTACTATGCTCTACAGTACTCTATTGCATATATAGGGTACATGAGTTACCTAGGTGGTATATACAGAAAGTATTGGCATCGCGATGACCGATCGTCGATTGATTACAGATGCAGCCAGCGACCAGTCGTGTCTGTTTTCTTGTTGATCGGTTCGCACCGTATTCGCGCACATCTGGTCGAGAGTCGGGACGGGTACCATAGTCGTGTAGTAGATACCGGTATGTAGTAGCAGTAGCAGTATGAAGTGGTAGTGGTAGTGGTAGTAGTAGTATGCAACTGTATCCCCTCGCAAGCTCGCAGCCCTGCTGGATGACCCCTCCGTAACTGTTACCTACTATCACACATGTGATACCGCAGTTGTGCATCAGGGAATCACCAAGCGGTGCCTAGGAATGTACATAGAGAAGGTATGATAGCTCATCTCCCGTCTTCGCCAGCCCCAAAGAGACGAGGGATCTTCACGCCTGCAGACTGCAGTGCTCCTCCTACTACGTACTACCGGTATGTACTACTACTTTTACTACTTCTTCACACCCGATGACTCGCTCGCTCATGCTTTCACTCACTTTCCTCACTTCACTTTCCTCACTTTCCTCGCCTTCTTCCCTAGCCTGTCCTCCCAGGGCCACATCCGTGCTCGAGGCAGTTGTCGAATTGGATATGCTAGTAATTGACTCGAGCTCCAAGAGGTGGTGAGTTGATGTGAGTGAACAACGGCACGAGGGCTAGTTGAGACTTGAATTATCGGGTGTATCTCCGCGTTGAACCTCTAATATCGAGCAGTAATTAAGGATTTCGAGCATCTATTCCTTCGTTCGGCAGGGGGATTCGCTACAGCCTACGGGTGGTGGTGGCAGCGGGGGGAAGGGATCGGGGGAGACGGGGGTACTGCCGATGGCAGCTGGAGGATGGTGCGGAGTGAATGGGTGCGACCAGACTGAATGGGTACGGCGAGAGTGAATGGGTTTTTTTGTTTCATCATCGTAGCGTTCGACCTTTGCAGATCATGGCTGTATACACCCAGTTCCATCCCACTGTCTCTGACCGCTGGCCGAGAGCTCGATGTGGGTTCCCTATTGTTCTCCACCCGGCCCATCCGCATATAAAAAGGAAACACGGAAAGAAAGAAGAACTGTAAAAAAGGAAAGACAGAGAAAAGAAAGACAATGAGGTGACAAATGAAAAGCGACAGTCTTTCTCCAAACCCCACATCAAAGCTCCATTCTCTCAGCCAACTCCTCCAACCAATCTAACGCCTCATCTCTTCCTGAGTATGCCGGGATCTCCGCCCGACTAGCCCGTACTTTTTCCTCCGCTCTTGCTCTCACTGCGTCCCAGTCTACCACTCTTCCCGAGGCTCGGGTTGGGGGTTGGGGTTGGGGTGTCTAGTGCTGGCGGTGCGAGGTTTGGGGGGGTGGGGAGGAAAAGATGTTCCCCAGCCTGTCGCCTCCCTTCTGCTGCCGCTACTCTCTCCGCTGCCGCCGCTCTTGCTCCTTATCTCTGTTCTTCTGCTATGGGGTAGGTGGGATCCGCCGCTGCCGCTGCCAAGTCAGAGGTCTGGCTCGGAAATTCTTGTTGCTCTACCCCGATGGGGGGCAGAGTGAATGGGCGCAGCGTGAATGTGAATGGGTGCGGCTAGAGTGAATGGGTGCGGCTAGAGTGAATGGGTGCGGCTAGAGTGAATGGGTACAGCGAGAATATATCTAGCGAGAATAGGCGCTAGCACACCAGTGACCAGCTGTGTTTCATCACCGTAGTACACGGTAGTATCGGCCACAGCACATTCCCTCAATCGCACCTCACTGCGAAGTGAATTCGAGTAGTTATGGCTGGGCTACGTTTTTCTACCGTGAACAGGATATCACTCGACTTTTTGCAAGTTCTTGCAAACGGTCGAGTGATATCTCAGGTTTCCCGCATATGTTATCACTCGGTTTTGTTTCTTTAAGTACGAAATGAAGATTTACGGCGGAAACGAATGTGCTGTTGATTAGATGCTGTCTTGACGACGCATGATATCACAGAATGGAAGATTTCCCCGCAGAAGGCTAATGCGAATCCATGGGAATTGTGGATTTGGTGAAGCGGCTGAGCCAGTTGGAGGTATCATATCACTGTGTAAACTGCCACATAGACGATAGGCCTCGAGGGCAGGACGAAAGGCAGGACGAAATGCGGAGCAATGCTATTATCTCCTCTATTATACTATCGTCCGAACGGGCTTAACTACCATATCACTCTTCTGGCGTCTTGATGCAATACAGTAGGCATTGACGAACCACCACCACTGCCACCACCACCAGATTGTTCTCGGAATGATGGCGGTTCTGTCCCATTCCCAGTTTCGGCTGTCGGTCTGTCTGACGGTCTGTCGGACAGTCGGTGGTTCGCACCCGCACAATGCTTTTTTCTTTTCTTCTTCTTCTTTTGACGAATATCACAGTAAGCAGGTACGATAGACACGCGCGCGCGCCGTTTCGCGAAAAATATCCTCCGTACGGCGTAAGCAAGTTAGCGCTCGCCGGCAGCTGCGCATGTGGAGTAAGCAGAGCGATGCAAAACAAAAAAGACCCGTATCTATATATGCCGTTGGGGGTGTAAGCATCCACTGCGCGCGTTGAACCCATTGTGCGCGAGCGGGAGGAATAGAGGCGAGGAATTTGTTTTTGCAGCCTTTCATTGTTCAAACCTCACTTTCCGAAAGCGAAAGCGCAAGCAAAGCACGAAGGGAAAACAAAGGAAACAAAGAAACCAGAGAAACCAGAGAAAACAAAGAAAGGAAATCCACCTTTTCTCTTGAGTCTTTCAACATCCCCTTTTTGGATATTGAAATTGATATTGAAATCAATCCCTGAATTCCTGTCACCTGAGCTCGCCGCTCGGTCGTATATGTAGCATCGCTACGGTACCGGTACTCTGCGGATAGGTAGGAAGTTAGTCATATCTACCATCGTCGAGTCCAGTCCAGTCCAGCCGGCCGTTTGTGGAGTTCGAAATTCAAATTTGTGGAGCCGTACCCAGAGCCGTATGTAGACTCGCAGTGCCGAAATTAGGATATTACATAGCATAGCATATCTAGGATTCTAGGTAGGCAGGATGCTTCCCCCGTCCCGTCACCCACCGCGATCGGCTCACGCAATGCGCTTATTTCCGTCCGCCGTGGACCGTGGTACATAGCGTAGAGTACATAAGCGTTGGTTGCATCCTTCCACCGGTATTGCGAACGCGAGTCCGCCGACGTCGTCTGTAGGTTGACGCTTTGCCTCCGGTATGTAGCGGAGCAGGAGGAGGAACGGCTTCAAATTTCATTTCCACAAACACAAGCCTGTCTACCGGTACGTACCGTAGAGTAGAGTAGAGTAGGTACATACCTTCTTCCGAGCTTAAACTCGTATCTACTACTATTGCTAGTAGGCATACCTAGGATTTGCCGTACGCGCGTTACATACAGTCAAGACTCAATGGCTTCTTGCATACCTACGCATTTACGCCTCGTGCTGCGTCGTTTGTATGATTGAGTGTGATTGTATCCCGTGATCCACTGCAGCCATACATAAATATCTAGGAGCAAATGCATCGTGAACGCGCCGCGGTTATTGGCCCTAGCGAAATAACCAAGGGAGGGAGTGGAAGTCTGGGAGATCTAGAGTAGGATTACTAGAGTATGCATGCAGTTAGTGTGGGGGGGGGGGGGGGGGGTGGGCGAGACTTGGTGTGGCAGGCTGGCAAGCAGGCAGCAACCGTAGATTTTCGTTGGCGGAGACGGGCCGAAGGGGGAGGGTGAAGGGGGGAAAGGAAAGTGTCATGATTTCTTTCTTTCTTGCCTCCAACCGCGACGGCCTCCCGGAGGCCACAAGAGAGAGAGAGCGAGAGAGCGAGAGTGAGAGATCCAGGCCCTGGAATGTGATGCAGCCAGGCAGCCAGGCAAGCAGGCAACTGCGGTACCTATGGTAGACGGACAGCGGAGGCGGCTGTTACCTAGGTAGCATAGCATAGATTTTAGGACCTCCGGCGCTTGGCAGTCGCTTGCGGATTTTTCATGGGTTGGGATCGAGAGCAGGGGGGATTGATTGGGGAGGGTGAGGGGAGCCGGGGGGGAAGGAGTGGACAATTGGACACTACCATGGACATTGGACACTATGGATTTTGGACCGGGGGAGAGGAGGAGGAGGAGAGGGAGGAGGAGAGGCGGGAGGGGGTCGTGGGATTACGGTACTGTTTGGCGCTCGCTCTTGTCCCGTTTTTGCCTTCGTCCCAATTGACTACCGGAAAGTTCCTACAAGCTCTTTCTCGGTTGTGCAATGCACGGAGACTCACGAGACGAGGCGGGCGGCCAGCAGCAGTTTGCTCGCCCTTCCCGCGCCGTGTGTTTTACTTCTGTCCTTTTCGAGCCCTACTTCAATATTCTACATACGTCCAGTTCGTGATTCATCAGCTTCAACGGCGATGCAGAGAAGGGTTGCGGTTTGGCGGTTGACGGTTGGTGGTGGTTGCGAGCACGAGTTGAGTTGAATGACACGCGGGGCAGATGTGGAAGTGCTAGCTATTACGGCACTCTGAGGGCACACGAACGCAATCTGGAGATACGCAGCAGCAGCATCAGCAGCTGCACCGAAGATTGCTCCGGAGGAGGCACCTTCAACCCAAGCATCAATGTCTCCGCCGTAGTCTGCTACTCAAAATTGGCTGCTGGTCTCTTGCCAGTGCTGACTGATGACGCTACTACGCACACCCGGTCATTAAATCTTCGTATGCAGATACACAACAGAGTACTCCACTGAAATGTGACCAGATAGATTACCTCGATGGGGGTTGACGGGATCTCTGCACCAACCCGCATCGTCCAAGGGCATGAACGTGAGTTCGAAGTTTGCGATGACGGTTATCGTCGTGTTGTGTCCGCGATGAAGGTTATCGTCGCGGAGAGGCCGTGTTGTTTCCTGGCCTCTTTGTCTCTGTAACTCGGCTCGAATCGGCGGAGAAGCGCTCCAGATGAAAGACCCTCCCTTTTGTCTCTCTCTCCCGTTCTCCCCCAGACCTTATGCGCTAGATCTGAGAGCGACGGCCGCTACTCTACCGTCGCCGGCGGGCCAAAGAGCGGACTGGACCCGGATGGTGCCCGTTCGTTCGTGCGTTCCCCCGTTCCCTCCTCCCTCCCTCCCTTCCTCGGGTTTGGCGCCGGAGCGAACATTGCCTGGCGGTGGTGATCATGGCAACTCGCATTGCATGGGGCGGAGATGGTCGACTATTGGAATTGCATATGTATGTCTGTAGAGGCATGTGGTGTATGCGCACGTCTAGTTACTCGACTCTAGTGACCCCAAACCATAGGGGAGAAGCAGATTGGCTGGTCGAGTAAATCATCGTCGTCGTGGGGCACTGGTGGACACACTCGGGAAGGAAACACAATGCACACACCAGACGTCTCGATTACCTTCTCTTACCGCCCTTTATTCCCCCACACACACCACACACACTCACACATCTCGCTCGCCCGCTTCACGCTCTCCCCTTCTCCCCTTCTCCCCTTCTCCAGCCCCCAGCCACTCGATAGTTTTTTAGCCGTACAAAGAGAGAAATTCGGATCTGGTCGTTGCTGTTGGGCATTGCCGCTGGGACCCTATACATCCCCAACTACTCATTAAACTCCCCTACCAAATCGCCCAGCACTAGAGTACCATCACCAACCCAACCCATAACCCATAACAACTGCTAACTAACTGCGAACTGCTAACTGCTAACTGCATTGCTGCTGCTGCTTCTGCTGCTTCTGCTGCTGCTGCCACACCCCCATCAACCACCCTCCCCCCCATATTCCATATCCAACTCCGTCGATCCTCTCCCCCCATCGCCCATCTTCTCCTCCACGTCGCCTACTCCTCCCCTCGTTCTCTCTCCTCGCCGCGTCGTCCGTCGTTTCTTCGAGTCGTCGTTGACCCTGATACCTTCTTCCCGCGTCCAGCACAATCAATCCCACTTCCCCACCCCCTTCCCCCATTCCCTCCGCCTCACTCCCGAAAACCCGCACCGAAGGTATCAGATCAGATCAGTGCTTGCCTGCCGACCCGAACTCTCGCAGCACGCAACGCAGAGGAAGCAACGGCGCGGTCGCGACTCGAAGGTCGACAGACAGACAGTTCGCCGGGGGCCCCCCCTAGTTACTTACTTCTCTTGGATCGACGATCCGGGCGCCTACTCTACTCACCTTTTCTCTCCCTTTCACCTTGGAGATTTCTCTCTCTCCACCACCTTCACTGTCGGGTTCTTACAGTTTTCGTTCCTTTCTCTTAAATAATTTTCAGTCATCATCTTTTATCTAGCCGTTTTATCCCTCTCTCAAGGGGGAAAAATTCAAGACTGGCAGTCGGCGTTTTGAGAGAGCACACATATCATCCTTCCCCCACACACTCACACACACCCACACCCGCACCCGCTTCCCACCCCCCTCCCACTCCAAGGAAGAAAGAAAGTCTCGCCGGAAAAAAAACAGAAGCAGGAAAAGCAGGAAAGAAGGAAGAAGAAGAACAGGAGGAAGAAGGAAGCACGAGCAGAAGCAGAAGCAGCAGCCGACACTGCAGCGATGGATCATCATAATCAGCCGCACAGCGGGCACGCGACGGGCGCCGGGTCCACTCCTCCTCCACCCTCCTCTGCCGACGTACCAAATCAACTTCAATATGGTGAGAGCTTCTTCACAGAAAAACCCCCCAATCCTCCTATCATTATGTGCATCCCGTAGTCGTTGTACTTTATCGCTCGCTCTGTACACGCTTTTCCCACTCGTCGCTGCCGCTGCTGCTGCCCTCTGCAATTCCACTCCCACACGGAAAGCAAAGCAAAGCAAGCACAGAGCAGCCAACTCCTCCTACTACTGCTCCTGCTAGTCGGCTCGCGCTATCCACCCACAACTCTACTTATGCGAGTCGACCCCCCGTTGCCTGCCCAATTTGCTAATCACAATCCCGCCCGCCCATTCAGATTCAAAGGCTCAGCCCTCTGCTCCAAACCACCCCCCAGCTCGCTCTTCTTCCACCCAGCCCCCCCAAGCTGCTCCTAATGCCATATCGGCCGACGACTTCGCCCCAAATTCGTCAAACCCTCCTCCTCCTCCGTCCGCTTCGACCGTCGCCACCACCGACGTCGCTTCAACCGCCTCGGCTATCGCCCACAAGGGCGCTGCGTTAGCTGTCCCCGCCCGAACTTCATCGACGAAAATGTCGGATCCATCTCCAACGTCGACCGCCAGCACCGCTGCCGCCGCCATGAGCGATAATCAGTCGACCAGCAGCAAGCGCAAGCGAAGAAGAAAGGAGGGCGAGGGCGGTCCGGACAGTGTCAAGTCCGGCGGCCGAACACGGAAGCCTGGAGGAATTGGGCGTTTGTTTACCGTCTTCCTCTGCTGTCGGAGCAGTGCTACAGCAGACGATGACGCGCAACCAGCTTCACGAACCGCGAACCAGAAGCCTGAGTCCTCCGTTCCTGCACGAGTCTCGACTCCCGTCAAAGAACAGACGAAGCCTCCTGCTCCTATTCCTGCTCCTCCGCAGAACGTCGTGGGAACCGCAGCTCCTCGGGATGCTGCTGCGACGACAACGACGACAACGACGACAACGACGGCCGAAATCACCGAGAAGAGTCAGGTGGTGCAGAAAGGCCCGTCAAAGTCCCTCGTGACCGCCGGTGCCCCTAGCGGGCACGAGAGAGAAGTAAGGGAGACCGTTCCCGAAGTGAAGGTGGGCGACTCGGCCCCCGACACCCCCACCACCCCGACAACAGTGGTCCCGCAAGCACCCATCACCGTCGCGATTCAATCGCCGACGCCCACCGTATCTGCCAACGATAGAGACATCGGAGCTCTGCCGGAAGCACCCGTACCACCCCCACAGCCTCAAGCCGATGAGACCGATATGTCGGACTCGGACACCATCGACGATGCGACCGGTGAACCGTCCGGTCGGAGCAAGGAAGAAGTCGCGACACGGTCCGTTCCGTCGTCGTCGTCGACCGAAAAGGAGGATATTGAGATGGTTGCAACCTCGAACGATGACGTCGATGAGCTTGCCTCGCACGCTGCTACCGCCGCGTTGACTCAGAGCCAGCCCGAGAAGGCGAGACAGTCATGGCTTCTTCCCCCTCTGCGACCCGAGTTCGAGGGCAAGAAATGTTTGGTTTTGGATCTCGACGAAACATTAGTGCACAGTAGTTTCAAAGTGAGTGGCTCTGTGGATGGTGGGAGATTTGGGTTTTTGGTTATCAGGGCGTAGTTTTACTGACTATGTGATACAGCTGTTGCATCAAGCCGACTTTACGATTCCCGTTGAAATCGAAGGCACGTATCACAATGTCTACGTTATCAAGAGACCTGGAGTCGATCAGTTCATGAAGCGCGTGGGAGAGTTGTACGAGGTTGTGGTATTCACCGCGTCCGTGTCGAAGGTTTGTTTCTACCCCCCCCCGCCCAGGCGTTCTTGTTTCGTTTAGGCTAATTTTTTGTCAGTACGGTGACCCACTCTTGGATCAACTCGATATCCACAACGTCGTCCACCACAGGCTGTTCCGGGAGAGCTGCTTCAACCACCAGGGGAATTATGTGAAGGTAATTCGATAATGTGATGGAATGGAACGCGTCCGAACTTTGCTAACTTTGACGCGTAGGATCTTTCTCAGCTGGGCCGGGACCTCAAGGACACCATCATCATCGATAACTCCCCCACGAGTTACATCTTCCACCCACAGCACGCTGTTCCGATCAGCAGCTGGTTCTCGGACGCCCACGACAACGAGCTCTTGGACCTGATTCCGGTCCTCGAGGACTTGTCCGTCAGAGATGTGAACGATGTCAGCTTGGTTTTGGACGTTTCCCTATAATGCATAGTGCTGGGCGGTAGCAGTTTGCGGACATAATCATCCTCCGACATGGAGGTTGTGATGCCTGCAATATCATCACTTTAGGAGTTCTTTCTTCTTTTCTTTTCCATCACATATCCCTCACTCTCGCGGCTGCGGGGCAATCATTGATTGTACAGATGCTCCTGCTGCGGGATTTTTTCTTTTTCTTTTCCTTATTTAGGGGCGTCGGGAGGTGGTGCAGCGTATGTCAATCTGCTGAGCACAAAACGGGCGGGCACATAAAAAGGATTTGTTGTCATTGTTGGAGCATGAGCAGGGCTTTGGGAGACCACTTATCTGTCTTTCTTTTCTTTTCTATTTCCGGTTGGTTCGGTGTGCTGTTTGCTGCAGAGGGAGGGAGGGGGGGAGAAACCAACCTTCCTTCCTCACTTGAGGAGGATATTGTTTGACTAATAGCAGGATGTGTTTCCGTTCCGTCTTCGTGGGTTCTCCTCCCTGTGTTTTCATCCACTCCATCAATGATATGGGCTGCGGGGAACAACGGGGGGAGGGGGATATACATCTAGATGATGATGAGGCTTGCAGCGCATTGTTTGGGACCATATTTTCTCTTCTTCTTCTTCTTCTTCCTCCTTCTTTTCCCTTGGTATCAGGCAGTATCGGGATGATATCATTGCCTGTTTTTCTTTCTCGCCGTTGTTTTGTTTTTTGTTTTCTCGTTTTCTTTATCTTCACCCGTTTTCGTTTTTCGTTTCCTTTGTATATGGGGTATGCGAAATCGCAACCTTCCTACTCGTCCTCACCCAGGAGCTACTAGTTTTACACACAACTCTCTCTCTCTCTCTCTCTTATGTTTCGCTCTCAATCCTGAGACTTTTCCTTTTCCTTATCTTTTTCTTGCTCTCTGCGGTTTTCGTTTTTATTACCACTAGCCATTCGTGTTTTCGTTTCTGTTTTCTGTTTTCTGTTGTCCTTGATCGATATCTCTGTAGTTTTGTGTTTTCGTTTTAGTTTTTCCACCACCGTGTGTGTTGTTGCTGTTGTTTGCAGTGGAAGAATTACGTATGCGTGGTTGCGTGGTTGCGTGGTTGCGTGGTTGCGTAGTTGCGTAGTTTATACACTCAAATACCTATTTCTAAATTCCCCCCTCAAGGCTTACTATCCTCTTCATAATCTTTTTACTATAGTTGTGTGGTTTGGTGGGGTTTGGCGTGTATCCCCGTTTTGCTTGCGTTGCGTGCTGTGCTTGCGTTGTGTGCTGTGAGGTTTGCTGCGGAAGATTGCTGCGGTTTGCTGTTTGCAAAGAGATTCCCCGGAGACTGGAGACTGGAGCGTGTTATCGTCGTCGTCGTTGGCGTGAAATTGATTTGGTTATGGTCATTGGTTATGGTAGTATGGAGAATGTGGAAGTGGGCGGGTGGGAGGGGAGAGGAGAGAATCGGGAGGGCGGATGGGAGTGGGAGTGAGTGGGAGTGAGTGGGAGTGGGAGTGGGAGTGAGTGGGAGTGGGAGTGGGAGTGGGAGCGGGAGAGTGAGAGTGAGTGAAATGTGAGTGGGAATGGGAGTGGGATACGGAGAGTGAATGGGAGTGGGAGTGGGAATGGGAGTGGATGAGGGAGAGGGTGATGGAGAGACGGAGGGTGAGGGACCATTGAGGGTGAGGGACCATTGAGGGTGAGGTGGATTACTTTAAGTACTTGGTATGATACCACTTGTAATAGAAAAACACGAAGTTTTGGCATAGCTGGAGTACTGGGAACTGCTCGTTGTGCATTGTACACAGTGCACGCTCTTTGAAGTCTCGGTACTACTACGTGAGTGAGTGTGAGTGATCGGAAGGGGGGCGTGTGTGAATGGGGGTGTGAGTCATGGAGGTTCACTCGGGGCTGGAAATTAGGAGCGACATCAATAGAGTCTGGAAGAGTATGTTCCCGCTCAACGCCCGGCTACGGACCATACCACAGTACACCAACTTTAAGTACTCCCAGAAGCTTCTCTAGTTTGGCTCCGCACGGGAGTCGTCGTCGAGCAGTGTCGTCCCAGGATAGGTAGTAGGTGCATAGTGATATGTTGCAGAATAATTAATCCCACCCACCCGGCTTGGGAATCTGGGATGACATCCATTCAGTCTGGGATGACATCCCGCATCCGAGAAATCCTCGGTGACAGCCGAGTGGAGCACCGGGGCCTTATTTACGGAGAATACATAGGGTAGTTGGCACCCGCATATTCGTCTATGTATGCAGCCTGCAGATCGGCCCTGGACGCGGCCGTTGTCAAATGTCCGATGTCAGGCCGGCCATCTACCTACCGGCCTACTAACATGTACTATGTACGATGTATGCAGCTCGCAGCTCGCAGGGGCGTGAACGTAAATCCGAATGCCGATCCCCTCAAGTCACAAGCGTAATCAATTGTCGGCGTTTTTTTTCGGTCGGGCGTGGTGGGATTCGTGGACCCTGGGTATTTAGTATGTATAAAAGACGGCTGGCTTCTGGTCGTGGTAGTGGTGGCTGTGGCTGTGTTGGCCGTGCCCTTCGTCTCCTCTGGTTTGATATATGGCCGTCTGGCTAGCTCTTGGTACTATGTTCTGTTCTGGCCGATATTACAAACGTCATGTACGTGCTTTTGCTTAAAGTGTTCTCATGGTTGGGCCAATGTAATCCCATGTTACCCAGAGTTCAAACCTTGATATTGGAGTACCAAGAGGTAAAGATATCCTATGTATCTACATGCCAATCTATGCACATTGCATATTGCACATTGCACCGAGCGTGAGGGACGGCAGAGGGAATGCGGCTAACGTGAGGAATACGAGATGAGATGTCAGGGGATAGATCATAGAAGCAGAAGAAGGAGGAGGAGGAGAAGAAGGGAATTCCTATAAACCCCAACCACCGCCGCCGCAACTACGCCAGTCCGCCCGTCCCGTCCCTATCGATCACCGCCAATCACCGCCAATCCAGCACAGCATGTTCCTCCTCCCGCGCCTTCCGCGCCTCCTTCTCCTCATCACGGTAGTACTCATAAGCATCTCACTCACCACCACCACCGCCTCGCCGACACCTTCCCCACAATCCGCTGGTCCCGCTGGTCCCGCTGGTCCCGCGAAGCCGGGAAGGAAGTGCATGCAACGTCTCCGACGCCGCGCATGGCAGGTCCTGACCACCCGCGAGAAAAAGAACTACATCAACGCGGAGCTGTGTCTCATGTCTCGGCCCGCGCAAACGGGCCTCACAGCCGCCGTGACACGGTTTGATGATCTGATCAAGGCGCATCAGGTGCAGGCGGTGGTGGTTCACGGTGATGTAGGGTTTCCGGGAATTCCTGGGGACGAGGGGTGTGGTGGATGGGCTGCGCTGATAGCAGCTGGTGAATAAATAGGGCTGGTTTCTGCCGTTTCATAGATTGTATGGATTTCCCCTTCGCGACGATAAGTAAGTAGTGGCTGATGAATCCAGGATCATCTGGGCACACGAAAAGCTCCTCCGTGAGGAATGCGGGTACAAAGGCACGCAGCCGTACTGGGAGCAAACCATCACTGTCGGGCGGGTGACGAAGTCCTCGCTCCTCTCGCCGACCACGGGCTTCGGCGGCGGCGGCAGCGCCCCCGATTACTGCATCGTCGATGGGCCTTTCACTAACTACACTGTACCTACTTCCCCCCACCCTCTCCCCGTCCCGCGTGACCGCCAATTGATGTTGATTGTGGTGGTGATAGCTGCACACCGGCCCCGGCCACGAAAACACCGAGCACTGCATCACGCGCCGACTCGACGAGTCGTGGAGCTATGGCGCGTCCGCATCGAACGTATCGGCGTGTCTGCAGCACGACAGCTATGCAAAGGCGTGGCCGTGCCTGGAGTTCGCGCCGCACTTCGCCGGGCACAATTCCATCGGCGGGGAGATGGCGAATCCGATCTCTTCTCCTGGGGGTACGAGCCCTCCCCTCCTCCTCCTCCTCCCCCTTCCCCCCTCCTCCTCCCACGTCCACTGACACGTATAACAATACAGACCCGCTATTCTACCTCCACCACGCCTGGCTCGACAAGCTATGGTGGAACTGGCAGGCGCGGGACCTGCCGGCGCGGCTGGTGGACATTGCGGGGTACACGTCGCTGGCCCAGCCGGCTACGGGCTGGGTCAATGCCACGCTAGACGATGCGCTGAATATGTTTGGCATCGTACCGAATGCTACGGTCAGGGAGGTCATGGATATCGGCGGAGATCTGCTCTGCGCTGAGTATGTCGAGTATGTCAGGCCGAGGTGGGGCGATGGACTGAGGATCGGGGAGACGGCGAGGCAGGGGGAGGAGGAGGAGGCGGAATTTTAGGATGTATGTATGTAGGATGTATGTATGATATCACCAGCTGCGGAATGGTTCCCCCCCGGTGGATGAGAATTCCGCTTTTCTGGACTCTGGGAAGGAGTACATACCCCGGACCAGCATCGGGTGTCGAGGTTCACAGCTTCTCACTAAGCCACCGAGTGACCACCGATGAAATACCCAAACTGGCCGGCTTGGAAACCCCGGTCCTCCTCCGCCAGATACTTAGGTGCGTGATCACTATTAGTAGGGCCACACGGGACTTCTCAGGGCCTCTACGAGGGGGCGCGGATATATGGTGCGGATATATATACGTGTCTAGATCAAATTCCGACGGACCTCGGAAATACGGTAGCAGGCCGACGATGTCGGTCGATCCCGAGTAGCCGCTGGTAACGCTAGATGGCAGAGGAGGAGTAAGAGGAGAAGGAGGAAGACGGTAGCCGAGACACGACTTGTTGTTCGACCTTCGATCGAACACAATCCATGAGCAGATAACCTTGAGGCTACCTATTCGACTCAGTAGCTTGTGCTGCATGCACTGCTATTCAACTAATGTCTAGTGGTACCCGACTCTACTCGCATGAAAGCGTACCCGCTCAATGCTACCGGTGTCGCACCACGGTCACTGGACTAAGTCCACATCGTGATCACCGTGAGAGACACTACTTACAATACCTACCATGCGGAAGTCGTATGTACAGCGTCGCTCGCCCCTCGCTTCTCGCTTCTCGGAACACGATCTACAGCACCGTTTGGCGGCAGAGCCGAGGGCTTGCCATGATCCGGAGTAGGTACGGTAGCTAACTTCCAAGGTCGCATGCGATCAATGAAGCGATAAGCATTTTTAGACACACCCCATCAGAACCTTCGCCTTCGCCTTGGAGCGGGGGCATTCAGGGTAGTTAACAGCCAAACTCTGTCAAACCAAAAAAAAAGGCCAAACTTCGAAGTCTCTGCTGCAAGGCTGCAACGTTCATCTCAATGGCCCGTCTAACCTACCCTTTAATATTTACTGCCACATGCGGACGGAGAAAGTTGAAACCATCATGCCCACTACCTATCGACGGCCCACCAACGATATGCATCCCCAAACACATCCCTCAGAGTACCCATATACTAGGTAGATAGATCATGAATCTGGGGTTTCGGGTAGGTTCCTTCCGCCTGCGTTCGGACTCAACATCGTCCCCTAGAATATCGTAATATCAAGACGGTGCGACAGCCGTGTGTGGGGGACTAGAGAGTGGAGAAGGATATAGCAATATCGCCACAGCCGACAGTCCACTTCTAAGTTCCAATCACTAATTGACTCACGAATCACCAATTCCTATCTTCCAGATTCTTGCACGCGTGGGGGATGACCCGAATTACCGCCTCAGGCCCGCCCAGATCTGGATTTGGATCTGGAGCAAAGTGGGGGCAAAGTTAAGAGTTTGCCAACTCCCGAGTTCCGAGTTCCGAGTCCCGAGCGAGGGAATGGTGGTGGACGTAAGAAAGAGAGCACTAGCAATGATATGTGGGTTGGAGATGGGTGTCGGGTGGCACCGCGGATATAGACAAGGCTCTCGGCACCCGAAAGTCCGAATCTATCCTAGGACTGGGGAGAAGAAGATGAGTTGGAACTTGGAAGCAATGATCAATCTATCGGTGTCGGTGTCGATGTCAGCTCGGTGTCTCATGCACCTGCGTAAGCACAAGTAATCTGCTGTTCAGTGACCGGGTGAGGGTGTTGATACGAATTGTATGTGCTACCTATCCGAGTATGAATACTGAAGGAGCTTCTGCCATCTGGTGGATTGAAGCCTGGGTCCGGGGCACCGAGGGATCCGCTGCGCACTGTCGGTGATCTCATGCTCGGCTACTAGGTATGGTAGTTCGTGATCAGCGGAATCATCATCAAGCTCTGGATCGGCGCCGAAGGACGGACATTCGGTGTGCTCTTCTTCTACTGATGGCTGCAATGTGCATCACTCCAGCCGAAATTCTTCCACAGTGCACACCACTTCTACCGGTACCGGGCCTAAAATCCCCACAACAAGGCGATATGTAGCCCGAGAACCCGAAAACAATCAAGGAATTACCGTAATCATGCGGCGTGAACTATGATGCCCTTCTTCCCATGCTTTCCACGTTTTTGGTCGTCGTATGGGCGCAACGCGTCGAGTATAAATTACCCGGGAAGATGTATGGAAAGGGTATGTAAAAATACAAGGAGCTGCCCTTGATACAATGTACATGCGGCCTTATGTTGCACATCATTCACAAGACATGATCGTCCTGCAGGCCGCAGGCCCCAGGGAGGTATGTACCAGGAGCTGCCAATAAGTGGTGCCTCACCACCATTACGAATTATAAGCGCAAATAAACACTAGTCTATGTTAGGAGCGCACTGAGCCGGATGCAATAAGATGAGTGAGTGGTTGTGACTAAGTTGTAATTGACTAAGTTGTAATGGGAAAAACGCTAAGCTGTATGGGGGAAAAACTGGTGAGGCAGCACTTATCCTTACACCCGAGTACTCTACATAACCCACCAACGCACCACGTGCCCACACCGCCCTGGTGCAGTTCCTCTTGCTATATGTCCCGATACATTCTTCCAAGCTCTTGTAACTCGTCGTGAGTGCGTCCAGACTCCAGACTCCACCTCAACTACCGGGATCGGATCACGATCAAAAGTTAAGTTAAGCGACGAATTGCTCGCTTAAAATCTCAACTTCATGGCGAGACGCCGAGACCGATCTGGAGTAAACTAATGCACTGAATCTGTGTTGATCGGGTGTGAGATCCGGAGGGATCTACGGTTACATAGTATCTGCTACGGTATGTATTTACGGTAGATGACTTCAGTTTTGGTCCTTGGAGTAGTTTCTGGGCGTAGATAGTGTCTGGGCGTACATAGGAGTTGCGAGCATGTTGGGTCTGTTGTCTATTATCTGTTGTTGCGGTATAACCCTCACCGCCGGCGCACGCGGGTTGTCCGGGTTGCCCGGGGCTGGGGTACGATATGGAATGGCGCTGTCCACAATGCACCTCCCGAAGTCGTCGCCGGTCTGCCGAAGTACGTAGGAACCAAGGCACCAAGACCAAGAAGCCCGTGCAAGAACAAACACGGCCCAGTGCTTGTCTTGACTCTTGGCTGCTGGCCTGAGCCTTGAAGACGGACCGACCGACCCAGCGAGCCGATACCCACTGCAGAGTCGTCGAGAAAATAGCCCGTGGGTACGTAAGATGTGTAGGTAAGTGGTTGGGAACTTGGGATCCACATTGTGCAGCTCGACAATCGTCATCATGCCCGCAGCCCGCCCTTGGCCCTTCCGTGGACTCGCAGCATGTACATATGTAGCCGAATACGAACGACGGTGTGATAGGTAGATATGGAGAGCAACAGAGCCTCGAACAGGGCCGGAGAGCCCGTCTGGTCTGGTCTGGATCCGCCGTGTCCACTGTCATGTTCACCGCATGTTCACCGCCGTCGACATCACCAAGCCCGCCACCAAGCCCACCCCTCCTATTATCAAGTTTCGACCCACGAGACGACCGTGCCACAAATTACAATCTTACCTCCAGGCTTCAGCACCCGCCCCAGTGCCCCACCGGCGGAATTCATTCCCAAAGTTCTCAGTTCTGTCGCGGGACCACTTCGTATCCATTCCACCTTGCTGCACCGCTGCACCGCAAATCATTCGCATATACCGCTTGGGCGGCTAATGGCCGGGAGTTCACGCAATTCCAGCCTCCGGGTGCAGTGTGTCGCGCCTATCTATGTATCTCCGTCAACGTTCCTTGGTTTGGTCTCAGATGCAGTTTCGCTCGTCGAACTTCAAAGGAAACGCTGCTGCTCGGCTCGGGGAGACAACCTTAGGTCCGTCGGACATCCCGAACAGGCTTGGGGTCCGGGGCCCGTTTGACTTTGGATGCGCGGTTTCCGGGCCACGGCGGTTTCTTAGCGGTTGAGACGGCGAGTTTACAGTTGTGGAGCGTTTGGTTGGCCATGGCCGGCTTATCTGATCATCCGACTTGCAAGCAAGCAGGTCACGGCGGAGTGTCTGGCGAATCTTCAGTGTTCAGATAAAGTTCGGCGGGCGGAATACGGTAATGCCTAGCCTCTAGGTGCCGTATGATTCCCGATGTATGTACTCAACTCTATATACTGCTGGGGTCGGGCAAAGATTCCACAGTGGTATGTACGGTACTCTAGAGTCTATATGCTCTATATACCCAGGTGATGGGGCTGCGCTGCGAGTCTACGACGCCCGTCGTTTGTATGTATGTATGTACCGTCGGTGTTGTGGTTGTGGTTTCATCCCGAATGTCATTTTTGTCTCTCTCTGCGCACCAATCCTACCCTACCCACTCCACCCAGCTACCTTGTACTAGATTTAGTTAACGGTGTGCTGGTGTAATCCAACCCGCTTCTTGAAATCTTTGAATCTTGGGTGCAGGTGCCAAGCACGCCCGACTCCAAGCACGCCCGACTCCAAGCACGCCCGACTCCAGAGCCCAAACGAACACGAGTCACGACGAAGCGGGAGGTCGCTTTCGCAGGGCAAGGCAGGGCTGGGCTGTGGGGAAGCTGTCCGGGCTGGTCGGGAAGGGACTGGTCGGGAAAGGACTGGTCGGGAAAGGACACGGGAAGTCTGGGCAGGAGCCTGGGAGAGCGTGGTGTTTCTGTTACATATGGATGCTTATGTGTGCGTAAGAGAATAACCATGGCAATGGCAATGGCAATGTGGCTAGGACAGTCAGTTTTCGAGCTATGTATTGTACTTATGTAAGTGCATGCGATCTCACAGATTCACTGATGGCCTGCTTCTGCTTCTGCTTCTGCTTTCATCAGAAGAAATGTCTCTCGTTCATGTCTCTCATTCATGCGGCCTTCGAGTACTCTACATACTGTCGTAGTAGACAGGATCTATCTGACTGTTCGCGTATGTACTCTAATATGTATGTAAAGAAAGAAGAAGGAAAGATGAAGATCGAACGATTCCAACGATTCGAATGATTCGAACCTTCGAACCAAGGATATCTGATAGGGCGGTGCGGAAACGAGAAACGGGGGTGGCTCTAGCTGGCAACGGTTGCTTCGCTCTTCGCTCTTCGCTCGCCGCCATCAGCCTGAGTGCGAGTACGCGGCGGACTCCTGCGGTCCGCCGCGATCATAGCATACATACCGTATCTAGAGCAACCGTAAACTCTGCGGGGGGGGATCAACCCGCTGGTTAGTTAGTTAGTGGGGAATGTCGATCCAAAGCAAAGCAGATCCATAGATAGATAGTAAAATAAAGTAGAACTCGCACGCTCGCTCGCTCGATTCCGGGATCGTGGGATCGTGAGATCGTGGGAGCTTGGGAGCCTGGGAGCGTGGGATGCAAATGCGAAAAACCAATGGCGGAAAGCTGAGTGTGGAGTCCATGGAGATCACACACACACAAACATGCAGCTCTGCGCTTCTCGAGACCTGACGAGTAATACGGTAGAGTACGGTAGAGCAGTTAGCGGAGTCGGAAAAAAAGTCCGGCCGAGCCCAGACCACGACCCCAAACTAATCTTTTCTCACGTTGGAAGTTGGAACTGGAACTCTTGGTGGAAAAGCGCAGGCTTGAGCGCACCGTCTGAACTACATCCTATCATACCCTGTTCCATTGTTTACCCCGAGGACTACTAAGCAACTAGCCTGCGCCAACCAGATGTGGTGCTTAACATCTCCCACTGTAACTAGAGCATGGACCGATTTGAAGCCGCGGATGTACGGACGGCTTTTTTTTTCGGGAGGGACGATGGAGCTCGCTCCTTCGGGAGGGAGGGAGTCGGCATTCGTTCCAACTTCCAGCATGAAACAGCCTCGCCGTTCGTCGACGGATGAAATTGGGCGGCTGTGCGCGGAGATGGGACACCGGCACTCGCCTCGACGCAACGCACTTGGTATGTAGAGTACTCTAGAGAAGCGTGGCAACGCTCAGGAATCGTAAGATGCGATGCGGGCGCGGGCATTCCGGCCTGCATGCTCCCCGGCGGCGGCGATTCTGGCCATACATATCTCCACAGGCGGAGGGTTCCATGCTGTACGGATGTATCGATGGATGGATGGGTCAATCCCCGCAGCGAGCCTCCCTCCCTCCCTCCCTCCACCGCTACTTTTTTCTCGGCGCGTCTGCGGTCGGCGACGGTTGTAACCATGGAAATATGTAGGGACCGCCGCTAGAGGGATAGCTCCGCATACTTGCTCTAGCGTTTGGGGTGGCCGTGGGTGCCAGGTGGAGATGTCCGAGGATCGTCGCCTCCCTCCAGCTTGACTCACCTCCGGTGTTGGGTGTGTGTGTGTGTGTGTGTGTGTGTTTGAACTTCAAGCCGAACCGCTATGTAGAGCAGTAGGCAGTAAAGCGTGGATAGTTACCCGCAAGGGGGAGGCGGCGAGATGGCGGCGGCGGCGACGGACGGTCCTTCGGATGACTCCGGTTCGCGCCGGCGGCGGTTCGTGAGTTGCAAGCCGCTGTGGATCCCGGGATTCTGGATGCGACCGGCTGGCTGGCAGGCTGCTGGCTGGCAGCATGTGCGTGAGACGAACAGCAATCGATGGCTCGCTGAAAATTGCGATGCCAGGGTGCATGCACTGCGCCAAGCCCGATGTCGGCTTCGTGGCTCAGTGATGGTGAGCTGGAGGCAAGAGTACCGTAGAGTACATACCGTGCATAGTAATCGGTCAGAGCACGGCCAGCAGACATGGCTCGAGTCTCTGCGAGGGACTGCCTTCCTGTCCTCTACCGTGGGTGGGGGGTGGTGTATGTAAGTAGCAACAAAGTCAGTACTGGCCTCTTACTCACGCCCTTAGTTACCGCAATGGAGGGTGCTCGACGTGCTTTTCCGGGTCGTGTAACCTGTCTCTGTGGGGAAGATGCAGGTTGCCTATTATGTACTGTAGCCTCCAGCCCAGCCTGTGCCCGCCCCAAATGAACTAGGTCCCTAACTGCTAGCACGGTCCTAGAGGATGTGTGTGCGCACCCTTGTCCCCAGCTCTGTCGCCTCTCCCTTCCGTCTCGCCATCCTGGGAAGTCTTCTTGCACGACTAAGCTCGAGCATTGAACCGTGCTGCGCTCAACTGAGTGATCCACCTCGACCATCTCTCGCTCGCTTTGCGTCTAGGCCATGCTGTGCTATCACCACCACCACCTCCACGACTACATCCACAGCAGACAGCAGCAGCAGCAGCATCAGATCATCCCCGCTGATCCGCAGCATCCGTCCCCCGCCACAAGGCCGCCATAAGGACACCGACCTCCACATCGCTTCTCCCAACACCCCTCCTCGCTTTTGGCTCCGACGCCTTCGGTCGCCACAAACAATGTTTTCGCGAGGTCTTCGACAGGCGATCACACGCCGGGTCGTCGGCTTCCGCCTCAAGATCAAGATCCGGGAGCAGTTGAGCATCCTGGTTGCATTCACCGCCGTGACCGCTGTCGGAATTCTGTCTTTGATATTTGTGCGTTCACCAAGAAAGAAAGAAGAAAAAAAACCCGAGAGAAGCAGTTCATCCCGGAATGTCGCCGTTCAAGGTTGCTAACGAGAGGAACCCTAAAAAACTATAGTGGGTCAATAACCGTCGTCTGATCACCTCGGTCTCATTGGACAGGATCTCCATGGCCGTATCGATGAAAACGGCGCAGATCTCCCAGACCTTTGCCATCCTGCACCACGTCGCCTACGGACTCTCGACACGCTCGATCGTGCGCGGCGCCCTGCGGCGATACGAAAAGGCCGGAAACAACACTTGGCAGAACTGGGTGCGAGTGGACGAGGATCTGCGGAACGCGGCGTCGGCACGGGTCGGCGGGTTCCAGGAGATCTTGCAGGTGGTGCTCTTCGACACCCAGCTCTCGAACGGAACCGTCGGGTTCCCCGCCGGCACCTACTACAATGGCACGTATATCGGCGGTGACCACAATCCCGACTACAATGGGACCATGCCGAACGGGACCAGGATCAACGTGGGTGAGGGGATGGGTGGTTCGTTGGGATTGCTGAATGTGACGGGTGATAATGCCATCGGCATCTACCTCCCTGCGGCCCCCGAGAACGGAATGGAGGGTGAGACTATGTTGCCGAATGGCCCCGGTATCACCTCTGGCGAGCGCATGCAGAGATATTGGGGCGATGTGGCCAGGAATCAGTCCCTTGGTAGACCCGTGCACGATGGCTTCTCGGTGCAGCTCTTTCCTGTGGTCACTGCATACCAGAATCCCAACGTCGCCGGAGACCGGAGCAAGATCTTCACCCCGCAATACATTGAAAGCATGGGAGGACTACTGTTGGGCCCGCTGGTCATTAATAATACCTTCGCGCTCATCAGCTTTACTTTCCCGGTATACGAACAGATCAACGGCGACAATGGAGAGCTGGTCGGATTCGCCACGGTGGTCATGAACGCTTCGTCGTTGATGGCAATATTAGGCGACAAACGGGGACTCGGAAAGACCGGACAAACCATTCTCGTGGGGCCAGCGTGGATCAACGGTCTGTGGAACGACACGAGGATCAGCGAGAACAAGTCACCCCGCCTCTACATGGACGACTCTAAGACGAAGAACGGGGAAGACGATCATGAGGCCGAAGGATCTCTCAAGAGCCAAATAGGCGACTACGAGTACATCTATCTCCTTCCGCCGGAAAATGACCCCAAACTTGGCGGTCAGACAAGAAAACTCAGAGATTATGCCGCCGTGTGGGATTTATATGCGAAGCAAGTGCAGGGAACTAGAGGAGAAGCTGATCTTGACGCTGAAAATTCCGAAGGCCATAACGTCGGTGTGGGCTATGCGCTTCCCGAGATCCACAACCGCCTGGCGGATTGGGGAATACTGATTGAGCAAGACAAATCGGAGGCTTTTAAGCCCATAGCCGAGCTTGAAAAGATATTGATTGCTACCGTGTTCGGCACATTTGCGGTGGTCATGCTCCTTGTGTGGCCGTTGGCGCATTTCTTGGTCCGACCGATTACCAGATTGAAGAGTGCAACCGAGCGTACCACTCATCCGTACGGTGGATCTTCGGATTCGGTCAACGACGACGGACATACCATCGGCTCCCACGACGTCGATACCGACGATGCTGAGAAGGGCAGGAAAGGATTCGTCAGTCGCTTCACAGGCCTGGGGAAACGACGGAAGCGCGCCAACAGCGCCGTCAGCGGCACTACCGCCAACAATAATAACAACGACAACGTGCGGACTTTCCGAATACCCGGTAGAGTACCTGAGCGGAAGCATCTGATCCACGACGAGCTTACATCCCTCACCGAGACGTTCAACCGGATGACCGATGAGTTGGAGCTCCAGTACACAACGCTGGAGGACCGTGTGTCGGAGAGAACCCGCGAGCTCAATGAGCAGAAGAAGATGGCGGAGGAGCAGCGCCAGATAGCGGAAGAGCAGGCCAGACTAGCGGACGAACAACGACAGGTCGCCGAAGCAGCCAACAGCGCGAAATCTCTCTTCGTGGCCAACATCAGCCACGAGTTGAGAACGCCATTAAACGGTATCATCAACATGTGCGATGTGGCCATGTCGCAGGCGGCGCGCCGGGGGATTATGGATGTCCGGGATAGCCTCGAGGTTGCTGCCATGTCTGGAAAGTCACTTCTTCACCTGATCAATGAACTCCTTACGTTCTCGAAAAACGCAGCAGGTCCACTCGAGGGTAGTGCCGATGATGAGGATTTTGCTTTGGAGATTGTGAGGAAACAGATCATGGCGGTCTTTGCGAAAGCGGCAGAGGAACGCGGTGTCATCTTGGACATCCAGCAGACTCCTCCGGATCTCGCCAATAAGATCTTCCATGCCGACGTCAAGAGATTGACTCAATGCATGTACAACCTTGTGGGCAATGCACTGAAGTTTACACCGTACGTCCCCTAAATCAATCCCTCCATCAGGGAAGGCTCTGCTAACGAACAACAGAGAAGGTGGAGAAGTGCGTGTTCGTGTCAGGGTACTCCCCCGTCATTGTGCCGAAGGCACTCTGGAAATGCTACGTCGGGTCGACACCATCAGTCAGCCCACTGGTCACGATACTCCATCGAAGGCGCTCTCTCGATCACCGTCAACGCTAAGCCAAGACTCGACACGTCCAGCAACCCAGACGGGGAAAACACACGTCCTGGAGTTTTGCGTCATCGACAACGGCCCCGGTATACCCGAGCATCTCCACAAGAAAGTGTTCGAGCCTTTCGTCCAAGCCGAAATGCGTCTTTCAAAGATGCACGACGGTGTTGGACTGGGACTCAGCATTTGCCGCCAAATCATCAAGATACTGGGGGGGTTGATTCGGTTGGAGAGTCAGGTAGGCATCGGATCCACCTTTACGATTCAGATACCCGTCTCCATGACGGAACGCACCGAATCTATAGCTGCGACCTACGATGAGGTGGTACCGTGGGGAAAGCATTGCAAGCCACACCTCAGCTCAACTCCCGAGGGACTAGTGAATGGACATAGCAGGACCTTCAAAATCCTCGTTGCCGAAGACAATCCCACGAACAGGACCGTCATTGTGCAAATGCTCAAGATACAAAAGCTTTTCGGTAAGTCACGCCCGCAACCCTATGTAACCACCACGCACTGACATGATCACGGTCTAGACGTCGAGCTAGCGAAAGACGGCCACGAGGCACTGGAAAAGATCAAGGGGGCGATGGCCTCCGGGCAAGTATTTGGCGTGATCCTGATGGACATACAGATGCCAGGGCTCGACGGGATCGAGTGCACAAAGGCGGCGCGGAGTCTGGGGTACAACGCGCCGATCGTGGCCCTAACCGCGTTCGCCGACGAGGGCAACAAGGACGCCTGTCTCGTCGCCGGCATGAACTACTTCCTGCCGAAACCGATCGATAAGGTCCAGCTGAAACAGGTGCTAAAAACGTGTATGGGATATGATGGTGGTAGTCCTATGGTTAATGTGCCCCCGCCGAGTCCCCCCGTCAGCACTGTTAGCACCGTTATGCCGCCGCCGCCAATACAGACTCCGATACTGGAACGGAGGACGGAGGATCTGGAGGGGGCCTAGGCCACACGGGAAGAGAGTTGTATCATATCATTATATTCCGGGGTTGCGGTCTTCTTTCTTTCTTTCGGGTTTTCGCTAGCTGGCTTACGTGTTGGGATGTCCACTTTTCTTTCTTTTCTTTTTGTTTGATGGAGTTTGGTTTGGTTTGGGGTTTTCTTTTACAAAAAATAGGGCCATCATTTTCAATCTTCTCGTCCAGCCCTCCCCCCTCCCCCCCTCCCTTTCTTGGGTTTAATCTGTAATGAAGATGCTTTCTTTCTGGGGGGTTTGTTTATTTTTTCTTTCTGTTTCTTTCTGTTTTTTCTTCTGTTTTTCTGTTTTTCTCTAATGTACTACCTGGCGTTTTTTGTTTTTTTTTTTGCTTTTTGCTTTTCCTTTGGCCCCGTTCTTACATACTGGACTGGACTGGCGAGGAAGTGGGGGCGTAAATGGGGCGTCTCGTTTTTGTGTGGCTGTGTCTGGGTTTTTCTGTTGCATGGGTACTGGGTACTTGGTTATTGGGGACGATGTGTGTGGATATGGATATGGGGAGAGTCGAGACCTGAGAGTATTTGGTGCATGGGATCTAGGTATGGGATCTATAAAGATGATGGGGGCCGGCTGGAGATTGTAAGTTACATAGGTGCTGTATTGTACATAAGACATAGGACATAGGACATAGGGAGATGGGATTAGTATTGGTATTGGGTGAGGGATTGGTATTAGGTGTAGGATTGGGATAGGTACAAAGGAGGTGTGTATGTGTGAATAGTCAATGGAAGTGTGCGCACAGGCTGGGTGGTAGGCTTGTTTTTCAAGGGCACCGAATTCTTGGGTCCCTCCGTAAAATACTTCACCGCCATGATGGATGAGCAATCCCACTTCGAGCGCCTTGATAGTAATAGCCGTGCGGATCATGTTTGCATCATACGTATCACTCGCTCCACTGACTGAGCACCAAAAGTACCAGTAAAACTACCACTGTACCACAACAAAACTCTCAGCCGTATCTACTTAGGTATCCTGGTGGAAAATCTAATCCCGGTCCTACAGTGTGCGTTGTCCATCCATTCTGCCAGCGAGCGATGCCACCGGCCCGCGGCCATTCGGCAAGATAACCACCAGCCCGCCCGCCATTCGTCGAGTCTCTAGAAACATTTCGCGCATGCATGTATGTATGTATGCGGGGATCTTCGATGCGTACTGTAGAGTCCTATAGTACTGTACAGTACTGTACATAGCATAGCCGGCCGGTCGATGGGGACGGCTCTGTGGGTGGTGCTGTGATTAGTGCTTGCACGCTGTTGCTTATGGGGACGGGGAGGGGGAAGGAGACTTTGGGAGGGGTGAGGGTGCGTATACTTGCGGGCAGGCCTGGGTGGTGTGCGGACAGCGTAGTGGTGGAGCGGGCGAGGGGTGTGGACGGGGGAGTGGGGACGGGGGAGTGGGGACGAGGGTGCGGACGATAGAGTGGAACGAAGGAGTAGCAGCGGCGAAAGACGTGGACACGTTTGTTCGTGCTTCGCTGGTGGCGGCCACTGCCAACTGGTGGGGGCGGCCACTGCCAACTGGTGGGGGCGGCCACTGGGGGTGGCGGTCTCTGGGGGGCGGCCACTAGGGGCGGCCGGGAGGATCAGTACGTCTCCTAGCGGAGTATGGTATGGTACCTATGGTGACAGCGGATTACCGTATGTACTCGTACACTGCGAGGCCACGCATTCGGGGGTTCTTGCAAACATTACCACCCAACTGTAGTACTCTGCACAGGGAGGGAGGATCAAACTTTTAACTTTACCCTCCCCTCCCCTCCCCAACCGGATATGCTGTATTTCCAAAAGTGTTTATGCAAAGTAATATGCATAGGTACATCTAGATTCTACATATCTCGGATGGCCCCACGACTCACGCCACTATTGGCTGTAGGGCTGTGGTACGTATAAGTCGTCCTATAAGTCGTCCCAATCGGTCCAATCCCATGCGGGGGGATCGGATCAGCCACGTCGCCGCTGGTTCTTCGCCACTCTGCCAGTCGCTCGATCTGCTGGCTGGCAGGCTGGAGGTTGTCAGTGGGTGGACCGATGGATCGATGGATGTTTCAAATATCACTATCCATCACTCGGAAGATGGGTGCTCTAGCCCGGATCGGATCGAGTTGTACTCTACGTACGGCATCAGAGTATTACGGTTCGGGGTAAAGCACTCGGAAACAAATCCGGAGCCGCAGCGGGTCAGCCCCCGAGTGCTGATGGTATTATGTGCTCGTGCCGAATAGGTACGGCAGATGTGGCTGATGATGAATCACTCGTCTTGCTTCCTCTGCATGCTTTCGCCCAATATCGTTTCGCAATGTTTGGAGCCCGCTCAAGATGCCATTCGTATCTAACACCTCACCTCACGGAATATCATGGAACCATTCATTGCCCACACTTCCATCGTAACTTGTAGTCAGCTGTACCACCTATATCCTTTCAATTCACCCGCACATGACTAATCCCCCCACCATCACTCGTTCCCCACCCCCCAGGCCCAGCACCGCAGCGCGCCCAATTCAATTCCAAGCCAAGCGTCGTCAGCATCACAGCACCCCTCCCGAAATAGGTCTCATCCCTACCGCATTCAATTGTCTCGGGGGTAAATGACGTTCTTGGAACCTTAGCATAGAAAACTAGCACAGCCACGGCCGCCTACATACCGATCTCCTTTGTCGCGTACTCTAACTGCAGAGCTACCTATCAACTCTACTCAACTCAACTCGCTCAACTCAACTCGCCTCGGTTTCGCAACATCGACACCGACATCACCGACACCACACGATACAACACACGATCGATACACACACACACGATACACAACCCCCCAACGCCAGTAACCACCGCAACCACACCCACAACCACCACCACCGCCTCCACCACCACCAACCGACATGTTCTTCTTCTTCACCTGCGGCTCCGCCGACTTCTCGGGACAAATCAGCGGGTACGAGGGTCTGCGCGTCGTGTGTCCTGTTCGTCGTCCCGTCCCCGTTCCATTCCCTCCTCCATTCCCATTCCTTGCGCCGGCGCACATAGCTAACAGAGGAGGGGGGATAGCATTGCCACAACGCGGCGGTAACAGCGATCAAGCGCCGCACGTTCTTTACGTTCTGCTTCATCCCGCTGGTGCCGATAAAGTGGGGCAAGGAGCTGCGCTGCACGATTTGCCAGTATCATCAGTCTACGTGAGTTTTTCTTTCTTTCTTTTACCGGTGGAGCTGGTGGAGAAGAAGGGGGGGTGCTGATGAAGAGAATGTGTGTGCAGGACCGATGAGCAGCTCGAGCAGATGGCGAATGGCGGCCCTGGCGGCGCTATGCTGAAGTAGCGGGATGCACCCACTTACCGACCTAGGCGAATTACATATCGTCGCGACTCGCGCGCCGATGAGGGAACGAACGCCTTTTTTGTTGCGCGAGGGCTCGGGTTCGGGTTTAGTTCGGGTTCTTTTGCTTGTCTGCTTGCTGCGCTTCTTACCTGCCTTTGCACAGTTCTTTCTTTTGTCTTCCCTTCCGCACTTTGCTCACTTTGCTCTGTCTGCCAATTTGAGCGCCCCAAATAGTCTGTATTAATAGCGTGCGCACTTGCTCCACCTCAATCTTCACATGCTTTCGACCTTCCTGCCTTTCGGCCTTTCGGCAGGTAGGTATGCAGGTAGATAGTAGATCAAGTTATTTTCCGGTTCGTAGACCGATCGCTCTTGTATTCTTATAAGACATTATATTTCGTGTTTTTTTTCTTCAAAGCCGTTAGTTGGTTAGTCACGATAATAATACAGTCTCTCCCCGCGCGATGGCGGGGAAGGTCCATGAGTATAAACAAAAATAAACAAAACTCCAGAAACTCCTGAAATGTAAATGCAAATGTAAATGCTGCCCCAAAATGCCCGACAATACCCGAAAATGATCTTCCCCCCCATACTCCATGCTCCATCCCCCAATGCAATGGAAATCCATCCATGTGTTGTTTGTTTGTTCCTTCTCCGGTGTATCTGCCGTCCGATGCTGTCCGTCCTCCTCCGCTCCGTTGATGCAATTCCCCCCAATGCAATGATATCCATCCATACGTTGTTCGTTTGTTCCTTCTCCAGTGTATATGCTGTTTCCCCCCGTCCTCCTCCGCTCCGTTGATGTAATTCCCCCCAATGCAATGATATCCATCCATACGTTGTTCGTTTGTTCCTTCTCCGGTGTATATGCTGTTTCCCCCCGTCCTCCTCCGCTCCGTTGATGTAATTCCCTCTCAAATGTTCGTCCCGTCGTAGCTCGTAGCTCGTAGCCGTCCGTTCGTTGTGATGCAAAAGTCTTCTCATCCGTTCCGTCGTAGTCGTCGTAATGTAATCCGTCGTAAGTAAGTGACAAAAGAAATGTATGTATGTATACGTGTATGCGTGTGTGTATCCGTCAAGGAATATGTGTGTGTGTGTGTGTGTGTGTGTGTGTGTGTGTGTGTTGTACAATCCTCCCTCCCTCCCTCCCGTCGAGTCCTCTCAAAGGACTCGGTACATGTCCTGTTTTCGCCGTGATACCCACTCGCCATCGAAGACTCGCAGAGACGGCTTGGTCAGGTTGACCCATGTGTATGGTTCCTATTTTTTTTCATTAGTATTCTTTTTGGAGTGAGAGGCAGAAGAAGGGGGGGTGAGAAACATACCTCATCGTCGTCTTCCAGCGAGATATAACCCTGATGTTCCGGCTCGACCACCCACCCCTCGCAGCGGTTCTTGACCACCGCCTCCCAGACCTCGAACCACTCCTCCTCCTCCTCGACCTCATACTCGTCCTCGTACCACCAGCCATGGCCATCATCGTCGCCGCCCTGCTTCGCGCCCTTCCCTCCCTTCCACGGGACTTTATACGCGGCCTCGAATCCACTCCAGAGCCTACTGCCGGCCCTTTTGAGGCCCCTTGCCACCAGTCTAACCCACTCAGTCTCGATGCCCTCGGCGAGCATTTCATCGCTGCCCCACGGCAGCGGACTCTTCAATCCCGCGACCTTATCACAACCGCGCTTCACATCCATCATCCAACCCAAGACCTCCTTCATCTTCCTGCGCTCCACCCTCGTAACGAATCTACACTCGTCCTCGACTAGCTTCGCCTCAAAGAAGCAGTGAGCGAGGGGTGCGGACGCGAGTATGTTCCTGTCGGCGCGCACACTGAACACGCGGTTCGCCGGATGCGACAGGCAGTGCCGCGGGTCGCGGAAGAGCACGACCGGGTGGTACACCGGCGTGCACGTCAGCCGCCGACGTGTGTTGTATAAATGCTGCAGCGCAGTGAAGATGGAGATCGCGAGGAGGCATGGGATGATCGTTAACGCTGTCCCTAAGGGCGACGACCGCCGCCGTGAGGTGGGCATCGTGCTGCTGAGTGTGTCCGTACACAGGGCGAACCACTCGATCGGGTCGATTGGGGAGAAAATTGTGGCGGTGGTGGGAACCGGTGGGGAATGGAGGGGGGCGGGAGTGCGGAAATTCCCACGATGTTTGGAGGTCTGGAGGTCTGGAGGTTTCCGCTTTATCGATTGAGTCCGTGTGTGTGCGGTGTGTGCTTGCTTTTTCTGTGGATACCCGTCCGTTTAATTATGCCGTGCGTTCGTCTGTTCGTGTGTTCGTTTCTTTTCGCTTCGCTTCACTTTCCGTCCGAACAAGAAGAAGTATCTAGTCGAGAGATAATAATTGTTCTCATGGGACGGGAATGTTTTATATATATCGCTCTCTGCCGCCCCACCCAGCGCAAAATTCCCACGCACGCAAGCAAGTAACCAAGCAAGCAAGCAAGCAAGCAAGCAAGCAAGCAAGCAAGCAAGCAAGCAAGCAAGATCTGAATCGCTGGGCTGCGTTGGCACGCTGTACCGTAGAATACAGTACAGTACAGTACAGTACGTACAGTACAATCAATCGCTCTACCTACCTACATTATCGGAGCAGACAGACAGCTCAGGCCAGCCAGGCCAGGGACGAGAGTGGCCCTTCGCCCCCCTCCCCCCACCCACCAGAAAAGAGGAGAAACGACAGTCCACCACGAGTCACTGCAGATTAGTTTCCGCCCAATCAGTGTCGAGCGGATGTCGTGTAACACTTCCGGACCTCACCTCTCGCCACGACGACGACGCCGGACTGGCCCGCTGTGACTTGACTGATCCCGTCCGTCCATCCCCCGTCCCCCCGTCCATCCACCGTGCTTATTCCTAGGGTACCTAGGGTAGGGTGCACAGGTGTTCCGCCCGCCCCAATTCCCAGCACCCAGACCGATGGAAAAGTCGGTCGATCGATTGATGCCGGTGCCGGTTCTGCTGTTGGGCCGGTATGTACTGGTGCTGACGGCGCTGACGATGATGGTGATGGTGATGATGTCGACATCACCATCCAACCCCCATCCATCATCATCGGCTTACTCGAGCGGGAGAAAAAAGCCGGTAAGTTGTCTAGGTACATCCCGCTGTCCAGCGCTCGAGTCCAGAACATTCGTAGAAGTTGGCAGGAAGGAAGGAAGTTCGAGATATCGATCAAAGATCCAGGTATGCATACCGTACACGAGATCCGCTTTCGCATGCTTTGCTTTCCTTCTTTCCCTTCTTTCTCTTCCTTCCCTTCCCTTTCTTCCCTTTCTTCGCTCGAACCCAAGCCAATCCAGTTCAGTCCAGTCCAGTCCAATCAGCAACACAAGTGGGTGGTTGTTCTTATGCAGAGTGAATGCACGCACGCAGACAGACAGACAGGCAGGCAGACAGGCAGGCAGGCGGTCAGGATGTCGTTTCATAATCGATGCAGCGACAACAAACACAAACATTCTGCATGATGCCTCCTCCACCCAAACTTTTTCGTCATTTGCGCTACATATCATACATGCATACAAAGTAAAGTATCGCCGCTACGCCAAAATAGAAGGAGAAGCGGGGGAGGAGGAGAAGGCGGAAGAGGAATATTCACTCACCACTAGCAGCAGTGCGAGTTTTTTTTTTGTATGATCGTCGTAGGATCAGTATGTAGGATCAGTACCACAGGTAGGCGGCCAGACAAATTCTCGATGTTGATCGTCGCCAGGCTATTGACGGCCCGGTCGGTCGCTCGGTGACTTGCAAGGCACCGTTACCGAATCGTTTGGTTGTCGCTATTGTTGTCGCTGCCGTTGACGCTGTTGTCTTGTTGTCTTGTCGCTCTCGTTGTTGGTTGCGGTTGCGTGGGTGGGATGTGTCGTTGCAGTGCACAGCCCCAGGGCTGGCTGGCTGGCCAGATCACTTGCCTGCTTCACTTGCCTGCCTGCCTCGCTGGTTGGTGGTTGGTGGTGCGAAAGTCAAATCAGACGTTTGTCCCCCGACTGGCCAACACGTGTTCGAGCAAGAGGCAAGCAAGCAGGCAAGCAAGCAGGCAAGCCACAAAGACAAAAGCAAAATGACAGGCCACACAAAAAGCCTCGCCCACCTGGCGTCCGTCATAATCAGCTCATATCACTCGCTTTTTCGCGCTGGCTTGGCAGGGTGCCATGGTGCCAGGTTGGCAGAGCTGGGGGGGGAGGCGGTCGATCGAGAAGGCAAGGGCAAGGCGGAACTAGATATGAAACACATCGATCTGCGCGATTCTGTTTTGGAAGCGACATGGAAGGCAAGGTGAGTGAGACGTGGAAGAATCATGGGGAGTATCTCATTTGATGCTCGCCTAGCTGCTGCTCCCGCAGGGAAGCCGCGATTGAGGCATCGAGCAAGCAGCACGCATCGCGCATTGATCGTGAGCATCGAACATTGAGCATTGATTGTGTTGTGTCGTGTGTTGCTCGCGAGAGAGGCCTATCGCGCACTTGACCGGCAGGTTCTGCTGCAATTTGGAAGCCCTCCAGAAAGAACTCAATAACTCCCCACCACAGTGCCTGCCTGCCCAGCATCCTCCCATCGAGAATGTCCCCGAAAAAAAGAAAAAAATGTATCCCCAAAGAAAACACCAACCCGAATTACACCGAAAGAAGATGATGGTACCCCGTAAACTTTTGCATTGGTTTGAATACAAAGGTGAAAATGGTGGAAACCCCCGTCCCCCAGCGACTCCCATTTATGCGTCGTCGACCTATATAGCAGCACCAGCCCGTCAACCTCTGCTCTTCTTCTATCGCTGCCATCTGGCACATATCGGAAGAAGGAAGAACTCACCACCACGGTGTGAAGACCCTTGGGGTTCTTGACGTTCACGGCCTGGACGTACGAAAACAGCTTGTTCTTGGCACCCTCCTCGTCGTTACGCTTGCGCGAGATGCGGATGCGGAGTCTGTAAGGAACGCCTTTGATTCCCTGCTTCCAGACCTCCTTGTTGAGCTGGGGGTCGAGACGCACATCCTCAGTGCCCTAGTTTCCGACACCCGTCAGCAACTGTGCTCAACCGTTTACAACCCAACTATCCCAGTCCACCCGAGGCACTGCCAGCACTGCCCGCTTTCCCGTACAACAGTGTCCCCCAGATGCGTGGAGTGTGGAAGCGCTTCAGACGGAGCGGAGGAAATTGAAATCGAGCTCGGATAACGAACCATGGCGGTCTTGGCAAAGGACTTGATCTCCTTGATGGCGAGGGGGGCCCTCTTCTTGAACGAAGCACCGAAGATGCGCTTGTGGAGGTGGATGGTGTACTCGCGGGCGACGACATCGGCGAGAGCGGACCGTCCGGGCTTGGTGGTCTTAGGGGGGGCCATTTCTAACCGTGGAGATTTCGAATCAGTTTCGGCCTTTCGCTTTTTTTTGTCGAGGGAACGGAACGCTGGATGGACGTACCTAGGGATTTTTTCGGCGGCTGTCGTGGAGTCGGTCGGTCGTCGTCTCGTTGATTTGCTGGGTCGCGATAGCTGGTTAGTACGGGTCGGTCGGCCTTTCGCGAATATCGCGGGCGGTGCTACAGGAGTTGTGTGTGGTGTGTGCGCACTCGCGGATTTTGGTTTGTGACCGCTAGGGCGAAGCCCTAAGAGCCGCAGCCACACAGTGCGATGGGCAACGCGTCTTAGCGAATGGAATCCGTGAAGGCTGTCTTGCCGAACCAAACAACGTCGAAGCGTACTCTAGAGTAGAGAACTCTAGTTGCGGCCTGGCACGTACGGAGAGGTATTTGACGAGCTTTGCGTAAAGACGGGCTACTTGTCTGCTGTTCTTTTCAGGTGTCGCTCTCTCCTATTTCTTGGCTTCCCTCTTCTCAGCCTCGTAGCCCACCAGCCTCGTCGAGCCTTCCTCTCAGCCCGGAACTCTGTTCACACTCATCTTCGTTCCTCGCGTTGATGGCTGCGAGTTCGTGGGGGTGGACCCGCAACGCGACCAGATCCAAGCAAATTTTGGTGAAAGCGGAGCACGTCTGTGTACCATCCAAGTCACCTGCCACCACACGTGGAACACAGTACCTAGCCTAACTTTACAAATACATACGGCTCAGTGTCTACAAAGGTTAATAAACAAAAATGTCTTGATTCCAAACATACCGGCGGTTCAGCAAGAAATTCAGATCATTCGGTTGCTACGACAAATCCAGACCGACGTTCGGTAGGTCAGAGACGATGTTCGACGGGTGCAGGTCCGTCTTCGGGCTGTTGAAGGCCGTCTCGAGAATGTTGAAGGCCAGCTTCAGACCCTTACAAGCCATTAAGACATGTATGGGATATCTTTCCTCAGCTGTCCCTCCTCAGTGATTGGCTCTGATATACCTTCAGGTTGCCTTTACGTTTATACACTCTCTCATTGAGTGCATTGGCCGAGTTCTGATACCCGCCTGGTCTTGAAAGTTGATGGATCATGGAATACCACGTCCCGGAATGAGCTTGGACATTTCACATTCAAAGTGCTCCCAAACACCATTTCAAGCTCTTGGTCTACAGCAACCAACAGCCGACAGCCCCGCGATCGTCTATGCAGACAACGCAGCGTGGATCACCTCGGGGCCCGTTGGAGCGTCTAACACGACAAGTCGGGTTTCTCTAGTGGTTCGGTAATTGTTTTGACTTTGGTGCGTACCATGGTGGCCCGTGAGGGATCCTTTACTTTGTTCCGATGCTTTTACACACGACGTGGTACTTCACTATCGCAACCCCGACGGTATATTTCTCTTTGAGCCGCTTCTCACGAGTGGGTCGTATGACTGTGAATGCCTATGATAGTCACTTTGGTGGGAATTTCTATGACGGATGAGGGGATCTTTTCGTTATAAGCGGATGGGTGGCTTCTCTTCGAAAACAGTGGCTCACTTACACACCTTGGTTTTCGGTAAGGGTTGGCTTAAGTTGTAGATTTGAGATAAGCGGGTATAGATAGACGGGACTGTTGTTGTTCGGTATCGAGTGCGGGTGCGGAACCGTTCCCAAAGAACACTGGAGTAACTAGCTTACGTAAGTAGCTCGTGCGGTGTATAACGTTTCATCAATTGGAAGTTGGTGATGTGCGGATTACTTCACACATGTGAGCCAGATTCGAATCGGCAGCTACTCTAGCCGTGCGGTTGCTCCGATTGCGGAACCCCGCCGGCGAGTTCGGCCAGGCTGTCTCTTTTGGGCGCTGCTTGGATATCTTGGTGCCTTTATCTAGCATGGATCGGCTCATCCAGCTGGCAAGAAATGCATGACGTCAATGATCGTCGACATCGCTACTGAGAATGACAGCTACTTCCCACTACAATCTACCCTTTCGCAGGTGCCCACGTCCAAAAAACACCCCGCTCAGACGTCTTTGTAATCGGTGTTTTCTTTCTGGGATGGGGATTGAGATCCGGGGCTAGGCTGGCCGATGATGGCTGCAAATGAGTGGACGTCATTTCGGCGTCAGATACAACCTCCAACGAGAAGAACGCAGAGGGGAGCAAAGATGGGACGGAAAGGAATACTTAAGCTGCAGAAGTTCGCCGGTTTAGTTGGCTTGTTGACCCAAACTACACACACAGACTCACCTTTCGAGCATTAAGCCCTCTCTTCGCGGTTACAGACCTTCAATATATCCCATCACCACAGCAAAACAGCACAGCAAACATGTCGAGTACACTCCAACGGCTCCAGGAGTCCTTGAACTCGGCCAAAGAGTCAGCCTCCCACAAGATCAACGATGTTACGACGACGAACAACAAGATTCTCGACATGTGGCCCAACACATTTGATGCCATGAAGTCGAGCAACAGAATGACCACCGACCACGGAGTCAAAGTCCAGGACACAGACCATTGGCTGCAGGTTGTGTCGGACAAGCAGCAGGGCCCTTTTCTGCTGGAGGACCAGATTTCGCGGGAGAAGATCATGAGATGTGAGTTGAACTGTACTTCATGAGTGATTGAACACGGCACTGACAGAGACTGTAGTTGACCACGAGAGAATACCCGAGCGTGTCGTACATGCTCGCGGAACTGGCGCTCACGGCTACTTCAAGCTGCATACACCCATCCCGGAGTTGTCCTCGGCTGGAGTCCTCAATGACACTTCCCGCACAACTCCCATCTTTGTCCGTTTCTCGACTGTCCTCGGCTCCAGGGGATCAGCCGACACAGTCCGAGATGTACGAGGCTTCGCCATGAAGTTCTATACCGACGAGGGTAACTGGGATATCGTTGGAAACAACATCCCCGTCTTCTTCATCCAGGACGCCATCAAGTTCCCCGATGTCATCCACGCTGGTGAGTTGCCCGGGAATGTGTTTAATATAAGTCGTGTGCTTACTTGTTCACAGCAAAGCCTGAACCCCACGTTGAAATTCCCCAGGCCCAGACTGCTCACGACAACTTCTGGGACTTCCAGTACCTTCACCCCGAAACCTCCCACATGTTTATGTGGACTATGAGTGACCGAGCGATCCCTCGCTCTTACCGCATGATGCAAGGCTTCGGAGTTAATAGTCAGTCCAAGAGAATACTCGCGTTGGTTTCGGCATGCTAACATGTTTCCCAGCTTTCACTCTCATCAACGCCCAGGGTGAGAGGCACTTTGTCAAGTTTACCTACACCCCAGAACTCGGTGTTCATTCCCTCGTTTGGGACGAGGCTTTGAAGCTGGCTGGTCAAGACCCCGATTTCCATCGCAGGGACTTGATCGAAGCCATCACAAACCGATGCTACCCCAAGTGGAGGTTCGGAATCCAGGTCATCAAGGAGGAGGATCAGCACAACTTCGACTTTGATATCCTTGATGCCACAAAGATCTGGCCCGAGGACCTCATTCCCGTCCGCAACATCGGTGAATTCGTCCTCAACCGCAACGTCGATGAGTTTTTCCCCGAGACCGAGCAGGTCGCCTTCTGCACCTCCCATGTCGTTCCGGGAATCGGCTTCTCCGACGACCCTCTTCTCCAGGGCCGTAACTTCTCCTACTTCGATACCCAGATCTCCCGTCTCGGTGTCAACTTCGCCCAGCTCCCCATCAATAAGCCAGTTTGCCCGTTCATGAACTTCAACCGAGACGGCGCCCAGAACCACCACATCCACAAGGGCACCGTGAACTATTGGCCCAACCGCTTCGAGGCCACTCCTCACGCGAAGCACACCGGTGAAACCGATGCCTACCGAGAGTTCCGCCAAAACATCGTGGGAATGAAGGAGCGTATGCACGCGCCCAAGTTCAAGGAGCACTTCAACCAAGCCCAGCTCTTCTACAACTCCATGTCCCCCCACGAGAAGATGCACATGCAGGGCGCGCTCGCCTTCGAGCTCGCCCGCTGCGAGGACCCCATCGTGTACAAGCGGATGTCTGAGCGTCTCGCGGAAATCGACCTTTCGCTCGCCCAATCCGTCGCCAAAATGGTAGGCGGCGACATCCCAGAGACCTCGCAGCGCAAAAATCACGGCAAGTCCGCGCCTCGCATCTCGCAGACCGAGTTCCCCGGCGACACTCCCACCATCGTCTCCCGCCGCATCGCGATCATCATCGCCGACGGCTTCGAGCTCGCCACTTTCACCGCCATCCGCGCAGCCTTCAAGGCGCAGGGCGCTCTCACTTTCGCCATCGCCCCGAGACGCCACCTCATCAACCCAGCCTCTGGCCCCGCCGTCATGGCCGATAACCACCTTGAGAGCATGCGCTCGACTATGTTCGACGCGGTGTTCATCTGTCCGGGTACACAGAGCACTCTTACTCTCAGTGAGAACGGCCGTGCGATACAGTGGGTGCGCGAGGCCTTCGGTCACTTGAAGGCTATCGGTGCTCTCGGCGACGCCGTGTCCTTCCTCCAGGAGGCTGCACTCCTCCCCGGTGTAACCCTGGCGCTCGATAAGACCTCGAGCAAGGTGGTGACTAGCTACGGTGTGGTCACAGGATGGAATGCGGATGTCGGCGTGCTCAAGAGTCTGTCCATCGAGCCGAGTGAGACCGCGTTCTCGAGCGCGTTTGCGTATGCCATCAGTAAGCATCGCTGCTACGAGCGGGAGATGGATGGGTTGGTCAAGAAGATTGCGTTTTAATTCTTTGGCGGATGGGGTTGTTTTCTTTTCTCTTTATGTATATTAGGATTACTCACGATTTAACTGGCTCAATGATTGCATCTTTCTTCGCTCATGTATTGTAAATAGCGACTTGTGTGTAATACCTATAACGGTCTGATATAGACGCAAACGAGAACGAGTCATGATATGTCACCCATCACTGTTATCCCACCGCCATATTCTTCACAAATGACTTACCGGTTGCACAGCCAGCCCCACCGTGTTCTCCCCGGACTAAGGTCCCAGGTCCCAAAATCAGAGTGCTCACCCGCTTCCCCATCACCGATGCGAACTCGCCTCCAATCACCAAGCTCCATTCGTTTGCCGTTATCCATTTTTCCTCTTCACGAGAACATCCTCTGTTAAGTGTTCTGCCTGAAATCCCCAACTTGGAAATGCATCCGCGTGACTGGAGATGGGGGCGTGGCCACGGCCGGGCCAGACGGGAATTTTCTCCTCTGGCTGGTGGATGATCTCGCGGGCTAAAAAAGCCGGATAAATATATAACGTTATGTTCGGACGGATAAAATGACGTCTTCTAGCTAAGTTTTGGCTAGTGCCTTGTTATGGTGGGGTTCGTCGATGATAGCGGGCGGGCGCCGGGCGGAGGTGAGCTGCTGGACGAGGAAGAGGAGCAGTATCCATCCAGTGCGGGGAATTGTCCAATATAAAGAAGCTTCTTTCGCCATCCAGCCCATCTCCCACCTTACTCCTCATCCCCCCCACCTCATATCAGCCCTCCCCCGCCTCATCTACTCTAGTCAATTCGAAATCGCAAAAATGGTCAACGTCCCCAAGGTCAAACTTAACAATGGAACGGAGATGCCGCTGGTCGGGTTGGTTCCCCCACTCCTGGAGTTCGGGCTGGTGGGGTAGCCGCTGATGGGTAGAACGACAGCTTCGGTCTCTGGAAGGTCCCCACGGAGTCGGCCTCCGATGTCGTCTACGAGGCCATCAAGGCTGGCTACCGTCTTTTCGATGGTGCTTTCGGTATGTCCTCTCATCCTCCCCCTCCTCCTCCTCCTCCCCCACCACGCCCCCGCTGACACGATCCTCCCCAGACTACGGCAATGAGAAAGAGTGCGGCCAAGGAGTCGCGCGCGCCATCGCGGAAGGCATCGTAACCCGCGCCGACCTCTTCATCGTGTCGAAGCTGTGGAACACCTTCCACGAGTACGAGCGGGTCGAGCCGATCGTGCGGCAGCAGCTCGAGTGGTGGGGTCTCGAGTACTTCGACCTATTCCACATCCACTTCCCGGTGGCGATCAAGTACGTGGACCCCGCGGTGTCGTACCCCAGCGGCTGGCAAGATCTCGACGGCAAAGTCACGCCGATCCGCGCGCCGATCCAGAAGACGTGGGAGGCGCTCGAGAACCTGTACGACCAGGGCCTGTTCAAGAGCATTGGTGTGAGCAACTTCCAGGGTGGCCTTCTGCTGGATCTGCTGCGGTATGCGCGCGTGCCGCCGGCGGTCCTGCAGGTCGAGCTCCACCCTTACCTCGTCCAGCAGGAGCTCGTCGAGCTCGCGAAGGAGAACGGTATCGCCCTCACCGCCTACTCGTCCTTCGGCCCCCAGTCGTTCCTCGAGCTCTCGTTCAAGAATGCCGCAGACACCCCGGCGCTGTTTGAACACCCCGCTATCAAGAAGATCGCCGAGGCACACGGAAAGAGTCCCGCGCAGGTGCTGCTGAGGTGGAGCACCCAGCGTGGTATTGCCGTCATCCCGAAGAGTAACTCGAAGCACCGTCTGCCCGAGAACTTGGATATCTGCAGCTTTGACATGACCGACGATGAATTGAAGAGCATCTCCGCACTGGACAAGAATCTGAGGTTCAACAACCCCCGGGATTACTTGGGTACCCTGCAGATCTTCGCATAGATGGGAGGTAGTTGCATATATAGCGGGTTGGGAATTTATTGAGTTGGTGCATGGATAATGTCTGAGAAATTACTCATTTTCACCGTGACTTTGCCATGCCCGCAGTGACAGCATGACCAAAGCCCGATATCTCACCATTGCGTACATGTAGCACATCACCAGTTCCCCGCAAAGCACATGAAGTAAAACCCCAAACCCACTTCGCCTTTCCATTCATTATACCCTAGGAGAAACAGACGCGTGCGAACAAGAAGAAAAAAAAGACCCGCAAGAAATAGTGCAATCAATGAACCCTTTGGCTGTACAAACCCGATCCAACCCATATAACATAGGTTATCCGCCTTCCTGCTATAGAAGAAAGAAAACAAGAAGACTCTCTCCCTCCCTCCCTTCTCTCCGTCGCTGCACTTTTACCGCCTATGCCGCGAACTTGCGAGTGAGCTTGGCGATGACTGGTCGAAATTAGCTGTGAACGATTGAGCGGTAGAAAAATGGAATTGACATACCGTGCAGGGCCACGACGCTGAAGATGAAACCCAAACTAAGCACCAGAACGATGACAGGGTCGACCTTGAGGCCGGGGGACTCATCGGTGTAGAGCTCTATTTCCCACCGTCAGTACACACATTCTAACCTTCACATTCTCCCCACCTTGCGCAGACACTCGGTTACATACTCAGCATAGTTGAGCTCGAACCGCCCGCACCAGCCGCACGCGTCGAGCTAGGACGAGTATTCGCCACCTTCTGGGCGCGGTCCTGCGCTGCGCGGCGACGAATGGCGGTCTTGGGGCCTCCGGGAGGAGTGGGGGAGCTGGGGCGGCCGGTCGCGCGGCTCTCGGAGCCGGAGGCGACGCCTGCGTTGGCGGGGGAGGCGGCACGGGGTGACGAAGACTGTTATTTCTCGATCAGTGCTCTGCGGCGGAGGGAAAGGGGAGGGGAGCTCGGGCGAGTGTATGTACCATAGTTGATTTGTTTGTTTGGGTTGAAGAGAAAGCGTGGAAGGGATTGTGGAATTGGTCGATGAAAGAGTGTCGTGTCGGGAAGAGGTAGGGCGGTGGTAATGGTGGTGGAAGGGTGAGGTGCTTGTCTTCAGGAGTTGTGTTGCTTGCTCCACAAGTTAAACGTGGCTCGGCAAAGCCAAAGGCCACATCGACCACTTCCTTGAGCCGCATGGAACAGCCGAGTGACACGACAGGGATTATGACATAGAATATTCTTCCCCAGACTCACTTTCGAGAGATGACCAACTGCTATGGAGAGCTCTGAAAGCTGTTCAGCCAGCGGTTTCTTGCACTGAGTGAATTCCGCATGGCTTTCCTTCCGGACAGTGATACTAGTATGTGATGAGATGTACTTGAGTCATGCAAAACAGCCCCAGATATGCAGGCGACCACAACTTGTTTCATTGCTCCCCATGTTTGAAGCTCTTTCTATTCAGGCATGTTGCCCCCAGACAAAACCTGGATTGCCGAAAGAGTCTGCATAACATAGAGTTGTAGAAATTACGGAAATACACCCAAGATGATGACGAGTGATCACAACGGAAACCGGGGGAAATGGAGAGAATGACATGGGAGCACGTTCGCAGGAGCTAGCAATTGGATATTAATTTGTCACCTGAAGTGATCACGTCGGATGTGGAACGTTACAGTACACGAGTATGGTGCCGAGCACCAGGCTGGCGGTGCGCTTGCTTGCTCTCGCTACATATCCCTCACATTGAAGACTATGGAGTGGTCGACGACTTTTTGATTTTCGCAAAGTATTTTTAATAATCATTGCGGAACGTCACCCACGAGTAACCACTCGTGCCCCACCAAACTCCCAGAGCAGCCGACAACGAAAACCAGAAATACAACATGCTCCGATCGTTTAGAAGGTGCTTGGTCGTCTGGCGGCGAAAACCCTCTTGACGAGAGGTACACGGTGGGGGAGGGGGAACTTGAGGTTCTTCGACAGAAGCTGCTTGATGTAGGGGCGGCGGATGTCGGCGGTCTTCTCAACCTCGACAACCTTGAGGACCTGTTCACACGGTACATCAGCATCTGTGTGGAACCGGGTGCGTACTGGGGCGCGGGGTGCTTACGTGAATCGACCTGAATCGGGAACGGTGGCGGGCAGCCATGTCCTGGTACAGGGCGTCGACGGCCTGGGCACGGGACATCTCGCGGTACTCCTTGTACATGTTGTGGGTACCAGAGCGCGAGTCGTAACGGATCCAGATACCGAAGTTCTTGACCTTGGTGGGCCGCTTCTCGTGGATCTATATCGCAGGAAACGTTAGGCGACAGCTCACGGTAGAAGCTTGTTGAAGATATGCGTACCTCGTTGAGCGACACGATCTCACCGGCGCTCTTCTTGACCTTGCGGAGCTTCTTCAAGAAGTACCAGAAACGGGACTTCGCAACGACGGTGTTCGGGGCGAAGAGACGCATCCGGTAGAGCTTGGGGGTAGGCTCGACATCGGAAGGCAGCTTGCGTCCGATGACCTGGTACTCATGAAGGCGACCTATACACCATCCCAATCAGCTGCTTGCTCCCTACATACAACACGCAGCTAGCTATCCGAGTTCGATCGTGGTCAACGTGGCGAGTTGTCGAATTCGAGATCGATAGCAGCAGCAATCCTCCAGCACCTCCCCCCCGTTCCAAAGCTTCCGATATTCCACCGCACGTAGCCCAAATACCTCCACAACGGTTCCACCCTTGCTTGCTGCCATCGTTCTCGAATTCCACACGTAGACCACAATCGCACGCGGAAGCTTTCGACCGAGAATCTAAAAGCGCAACGTACCCATTCTGTCGATTTATTAGCGTTCCGTATGTAAAAATTGCGAGGATGGCAGGCGCGCAGGGGTAGCGGGTCGACTCACGTTGTATATGTCGTCGGTCGGTCGGTCGTGGGTTGTCGAAGGGGGTCGTTTGTTGCTGGCGTCGTATCGGGGGATTCTCTATGCTCGCGACTTTCGCTTGGTTTGGCGTTGAATTCTTGCGCACGGTGCGTGCGTGAGCGTGCTTGTGGGCTGTGACGACTCAGGGCACACAGCCCTATTGGTGTTTACCCGGCAGTCACGAAGCTTAACCCCACACTACAACGACACCAGTCTTTTCTCCAACGGAAGCGAATTCTGGCCAAAGGGATGGACGAGCACGGTGAGAAGTGTAGACAAAATGAGTCCTCACCGTCGCAGGAAAAAACAGAGGTTACATGTAGATACGGTCTATCTCAATTCGCAACGCCCGTCCGAAGCAGGCCAAACTACCACCTCATCAATCATGACACTGCCTGCCTGACCTCCGATGAAGTCTCAATCCCCCGGTCCCGCTAAAGGAATTGAACCTCGTGCCGAACTGCGAGTTTGTCGCATCGGAGTGTTCGACGATCGCTAGTCTCAAGTATTCTACAGCAGCAGTTTGCGTTCGACGTAGCGAGCCGCCGTCAAAATGTTGCGCCTAATTCTTTGGTGTTGAGCTAGACCAGACTCCTGTGCTCACAAAATATGTCTAATAATTGCATACTTCTTGTGAACGTGGACACTGGACACTGGATGAATGACGATCCAAAAAGGACTGATGTAACTTCCATTTCTCCCCGCAACCCTGAGCCGCATCCTCGCCAAAGGTCCAGCTCACCCCACTTCAGCCCTGCACACGAAACCACGTGCGTCGAGCTGGGAGCACCGTCCATATCCCCGTCCAGTCCACATCCCCGTCCTCAGCACCTCCACGCCCCACAGCTTCTCCGCAACTATGTCGCTCTTCTAGTAAGTCCCCACCCGCCACCTTTCCCACATGGACTTACCCGTGCAGCTCCACATTCCGCGGCTACCTCACTTCGCAAGACGGGCGTGCTCTCGGCGCCCTCCTCAATCCGACCCGCAGCGACGTTTCGTCCTTCGCGTACTCGTCGAACCACGTCTCGATCCGCTCCACCGTGTCTAAGGAACTCGGCGGAATCTCGTCGTTCCGCAATGGAATCACCGACAAGGGGCAAAAGGCATGGGTCGACACCGTGGTCGCGTACTGGGAGGTCGTGTATGAGCTTGAGCGCGGCGATACCGGCCGCCAAATTGGCGATGAGGGAGATATGGGCTATTGGGGGCGCGCATACAATAAACAGAGCAACCTTACAACGTAAGATTCTTTCCCGGACAACTGGAGGGGGACGGGGAGAAGGTTCGATGCTAATTGCGGAAATAGGTCCATATCGAGAGGTTTCGCCAACGGCGGATGGCCGAATTGGTTGCTACCCGTCCTATACGTATCGTGTCGGTACCTGCGGAACTTTGCGATCTTGGCAGATGAAGAGGACAAGAAAGACGGGAAAAAGGCCGAGAAGCTGGAGGATGCGGCGCGGTACCTCAACAAGATGTTCACGCTGTGTCTGAGCGACCGCGCTCCTCTAGAGGAGAGCAGGAAGTGGGGGACATATTATATTGTCAACCTGCTGTTCAAGACATACTTTAAGGTATGGATACATCTACCTGACTGATGTCACATGCTAACAGAAACAGCTTAACGCAATAACATTGTGTAAGAACGTGATGCGAGCTCTGACGGCCACAACAACGGACATGCCGCCTCTCAACGCCTTCCCCAAGTCTCACGTCGTAACCTTCAAATACTACGTCGGGGTAATCAACTTCCTCGAAGAAGACTACGTGGCCGCGGAAGAGAACCTTCTCGAGGCTTTGCAAAGCTGCCAGACCGGCTCCTCTAAGAACCAAGAACTAATCCTGACCTACCTCATTCCCGCGCACCTCATGACCACCCACCAGCTCCCCACCGCCACGCTCTTCAGAAACTACCCGCGCCTCCAACACCTCTTCCAAACAATCTGCAACACAATCAAGACCGGCAACCTACAGGCCTTCGACAAAGCGCTCGAGGCGCACGAAGACGACTACGTCCGCCGGCGCATCTACCTCACGCTCGAGCGAGGCCGCGACATCGCGCTGCGAAACCTGTTCCGCAGGGTGTTCATCATCGGCGGGAAGAAGACGAGGATTCCGGTAGAGGAATTTCGGCGCGCGATGGGATTTGCTACTGCCGGTAAGGACGGCGGGACCAGGAAGGAGGTCGAGCCGGAAGAGGTCGAGTGTCTCCTGGCCGGAATGATCTACAAGGGCCTCATGAAGGGGTACATCTCCCGTGAAAAGAGCATGGTGGTGCTCAGCAATAAGGAAGCATTTCCCGGGACTGGCGTGTAGACGAATGGAATGGGGAGACTTGATGTAACTATTTGCTTTGATGTGCGTTGACGAGAATGAATAGGCAGTCTACATATGCTGTACTTTAGATGAAAAACGAGAATACCTATTTACCATTACTGAAGAATCCCACGGAGTGTGTTTCTTCTTCCCACAGTGTTTTTTACTTATCATTACAGCCGCTACATACAAGTGCACGGAAATTACAAACGAAACTGTTCACGCTTAGACTCTATCCAAACAAACAGGTGAACTGTGAAGTACAAACGAGAAAGATGAGAAAAGAGAAAAGAGTAATAAAAAAAAACAAAAAAAAACAAAACACATAACCCCATAGTATCATGCAACCATACTTCGTCACTTGTGCCGCTCATCCCCCTAGTAGTAATAGCAAAACAGCAAAATGAAAAGACAGATAAATGAAAACAAAACATAGAAAAATCCGCATCCAGATGATAGTGAGTATTTTCGCCTTGTCCCCCCTTCCCCCATTTCCCCCCTTTCCCCTAGAATATCCACCCCCAACTCCTCCTCTTCATCTTCTTCTCCTCCCTAACGCTCAACAGCGTTTCCTTGTGTCCCTTGCCCAGACTCTTCTCCCTCGCCTTTCGCGCCTTCTGGAACCCCGCCGCGGCCTCCTTATACCTCTTCCTCTTGGCATGGACCTTCGCCAGGGTATGCACACCCATGAGCGAGATGGGGTGCTCAGAGCCCAGCGTATCCTCGGCGGCCTTGACGGCCTCGGCCGCAAGCGCCTCCGCCTCCGGCAGGCGCTTCAATTTCACCGCGGTAGCGGCGAGGTAGCACGCGCACTTGATCGTTTCTGGGTGGCTGTCGCCGAGCTTCTCCTTGAGGCGCGCGAGCGCCGTCGTGTACAGACTGTGCGCTTGCTCGTAGCGCTCAGAGATCCGGTGGATGTTGCCCATTCCGACGGTTGCCAGCAGGACGTAGGGGTGGTCGGCGGGGAGCCCGGAGATCACCGTGTTGTAGCCGGCTGAGGCTGCGGGCATCGCCGCTTTGTTCTCGTGGGCTACGGCGAGGTGGTACGAGGCCACGAGGGTTTGCGGGTGCGACTTGCCGAGGCTGCTGGTAAGTGTATTGAAGACGCGCTGGTGGAAGGTGAGTGATCGCTCGTAGTTGCCGGTCTCGCCGCTGAGGAGGCCGTGCGTAGTGAGCGTCGAAAGGACGTCTGGGTGCGTGTCGCCGAGAAGTTTTTCCTGGAGGGGCTCGAGCGTGTTGATGTGCTGCAGGGCTTTTGAGAAGTGGCCTTGTTTGGTGAGAACGTCGGCGATGGAAGACGTCGTGGCGAGGGTGAGCGGGTGCTGGGCGCCGGATTGCGTAGTGTAGCCAGAGAGTACCTGCTGGTACAGCGCGAGCGCCTGAGAATAGTTTCCCTGGGATTGCAGGATATTCGCGGTGCAGGACTTCGCGACGAGAGTGGAGATTCCATCCTTCCCCTGCTTCTCCTCGAGTCCGCCTTCCGCAAGTCGGCTCCAGTCCAATGCTTCCGCATACTGTCCACGGAGACACAGTACCTTCCCAAGACTCGTCGCCGTCTCAAACTCGCGAACATCCACACCCAGCGCTCTGAATCCCGCATACGCCTTGCGATACTCCTTTTCAGCATCCACGTACTGTCCCAGCCGCAGGTATATATCGCCCATCTTCGAGACAGTCCCAAATGTCCACGGATGCTCGGTGGTTCCAAACAGCTTCATCAGACCATCCAGCACCTTTTCATGACAGCTCAACGCTTCAATGTACCGTCCCAGTCGTGTGTATAGCTCTGCCATTCCATCCAGCGTCTCAAGTGTAGAGTGGTGATGTTCGCCGAGCGACGCCATCTTCCTATCCAGCAGCAGCTGGTGTGCATCCAGCGACTCGGAGTGTCGTCCCTGCTTCTCGAGCACACTGGCAACATGTCCCAGTGTCTCCAGCGTCGACGAATGATTAGGTCCGATAGTCATATTCTTCTCCCTTTCGCCCTGAACTTTCTGCAGCAGCTCGAGCGTGGCCGCATAATTCCCCTGGCTGAGGTAGACGAGTGCTAGACGCTGCTGCGTCTCGAGTGTGATTGGATGTCCCTTCGCGCGCTTCTTCTCCTGCGCAGCCAGTACCCGCTGATACTCCACCACCGCCATATCGAACTGTCCGCGGCTGGTGTGCAGAATCGCGATATGCTGGACGATGGAAATGGTCAGGACATTATCTGCGCCCAGCGCGCGCTCCATTCCTTCCAGCGCCTGCTTATACCACGTCAGTGCTTCGTCGAGCTCGCCTTGCGACTGCAGATTCTGCGCGTAGGCATCCATGATCTTGAAGTCCTGTGTGACACACGTATTCTTCTCCTTCCATTTCAGCGCTCTCTGGTATAGCGCCGCGGCCTTCCGCGGGTTTGCAAGACGTTCGTAGGCTCTCGCCAGACTGTACGCAACCTTGCGCGTCCGCTGATCCAGGAATTCGCCATAGCCGTTGCATTGGATCTCGAAGATTTCCGTGGTGAGCTCGATGTGCGGCAGGATCAGGTGCTCGTATGTGTATTCCGCTGACGAGGAAAGGCCTTCTTCGAAGTTGAAGCTCGCGGATACCATGCATGTGACGAGCTTCTTTGCCTCAACCATGGCGTACGGGTCCCTTTCGAGACGCCGGCGCACCCATAGGTGGAATAGCGGCTGGATTGAGAAACTGGTGTCATCGGGTTTGCTGGTGATGAAGGAGAACGCGAGCAGGCTGCCCACCGCCTCCAATATCGTCTGGTCGTCTAGGATAGCTGTTAACTAGTTGTCACATCGAAAAAGGGAATCATATCTGTACCTTTCATCCAGCTGACATCCTCCTTCCCTCCCTTGAGCAGCTTGATGGGAATATCCTCATGGGCAATCAACGAACACAACTCCAGCAGATGTTTCGCCTTGACATCGAGTTTACTCCAGGTAATCCCCCAGATGGTATTAAGCTTGTGCTTGTCACCAGTCTCATCGGAGGAGTAGTCGAGCTCCGTCTTCAGCAGCTTGTGGTACTTCTGCAGGGAAGTTTTAGTAACTGCGATGTATGCCCCGACTTGTTCCAGCGCGAGAGGGAGCTGTCCGATCAGCTTGACGATGTTACTAGCCCATGACATATCTTTACACCAGTCAGCATCAGCAAGGGGGGGGGGGAAGTATACAGAGGAACCAACCATTTCGAGACACGGTCCCAGGATCTTTGCCGGAGCTTGTGATCAACAGGTCCACGCTTTGGGCTTCACCGATGCTATCGGTGACCGTGACCAAGAGCGAGCCGGGGCAGGCATACGGCTTATTCGTGGACAGGAGTATATGACCCGTTTCTGACACCGGGATCACAATCTCCAGCTCGAACGAGTCAGGATCGTAGTTATCGACCATGAGCAGCCATCGGTTATTGGATTCGTGCGATAGCCAGTTCCGTAGGAGCTGCACGCTGGACAAGCGATTGGTAGCCTCCACCAATGCAGCACGGGTCATGATTGGTGGCTCAAAGATCTTCAGTGAGTGGGCGATACGTTGATCACGGTCCGGCGCAGTTTTCCATATCTTGTCGTAGTGCCCGATGATGCTGATTACAGCGTCGTATGAGCTCGCCTGTAATTGCGAGGCGCTGCCAGCGTTGAGCCAGAAGACGGAGGAGTATTTCTGTTGATGCGTGTGGTATCTGTACATGTACTCTAATAAAATCTGCGACTTCCCTGCGCCTGGGGACCCAACCAAGCTGATCGAGTTGCGGTTGAGAGGGCCTGAGCTGTCGTCCGTGAGGCTGTTGGGCCAGAGCCGTTTCCGAATCACCTCCAGCATTTCTTCCCGACCGCAGAAGTTAACGTTCCGCGAGAACGGAGACTTTGCTGGAATCGTGTATTTCTCGTCTGTATCGCATCAGCAAGGCAAATATCGGGCATTGAGCTCGGCGAAGACCTACCAGGCTTTGTCACATCTTGCGGAAGTGTGCAGAATCTCTTGATGCAGGAAACGATGCATAGGAGACCCGGGTCTGTTGACTTCTCGAACCGGCACATTTCAACGTGGGTGGCGTTCAAAGCATGAGTCCGCTCCCCTCTTCCCATGGTGGCAGCAGCCTCCTCGACGACCTGAATGCCGATGCATAAGATTTTAACCTTCCAACCAATGGTAAATAAAGTATCTCACCTGTGATGCCGAAGCTTCGTAGAAACACTCAACCTCAATGTGGAACTTATCCATCATATGCGGGAAAGTATTGAGCTGATCCCAAAGACCGGAACGCCCGTTCGGCAGTGATATCGAGCCGCGTTGCTCTGCCGAAAAGTGCCTCACGATCCGAGAGATTTTGGCCTGTAAGGACGCCTTACTGCCTCTGTGAGGAGTTCCTAGGAAGACGATGCCGCGGGTGGAATTCGCTAGGAAGCGCTGGGCATTCTTAGAGGTTCCCGACGCGATGATGGCCTATCAAGGGTCAGTATTTCGATCTCCCGATCCCGAAGAGGACATGGCATGTTCCGGAGGGGATCTGCGTACATTCTTGCATATTAACCCGCCCAATCCATGACAGATGAAGACCACCGGCCTGCCCTTAATCTAGCCAGCACGTCAGTCGGCCATTCGCATATCCTCCACATCCGGTCCAAATACCTTGCTCTTCTTCCTCTCCTCCATGATAGCCAGCAGCAGATCCGTTCCCTGCTGCGGGAGGGCGCTCAATGACCGTTTCGTAGGATATCCGTACATGATGACTCTCGCATTCGAAACCTCCTTCGGAAGCACCTCCTCAGGCCAGAAGAAGTTCTGAGTCGCCCATGTGCGTCGTACGCCGTCGCCAAAGTCGTGTACGAATATTAGACTATTGAATCACACACACAGACACACTTCAGTATGGGGGCTCTTCCGGAGGTAGACGTTTGTGGGATAAAAAAGTTGGTACGCACTCGAATTCTGCGGAATCGCCAGGATTCCACACAACCGTAAGGCCTTCATCCTTGACTGTCACTGGGAGCACTGGGAGTAGTACTTTGGGTTCCTACAGAGCTTCAGTAAACGCCCTCCTTATTCATCGTCTTCTTCATCATCAACCACTACGACAGAAAATGGGCATGGACTTTCTTTTCCCCAATCCACAACTACTGGGGACAAACACAACCAATATGTGTTTCGTTTTCCGTTTCCTCACAGTTTGCACAACCAAATGGGGGGATTCTAACCATTCTGAAGAGCGATAGAAAGCTACGACGATGACGACGGCAGCGTGCAGCAAGATGCGGCGCGGCGCTGCAGGGTGCTCAATAGGAACGTGATCCTGCCGTTCCCCCCAGAAACCCCCCGCAAGCAGGCGAATGAACGAGTGTGATTGATTGTAAGTGTAAGTGGTGTTGTCTCGATAGTTATCCGAGTATGTAGCGATGTAAAACGGCCCTCGGAAACCCCTGGATAGAATGTAAATGACGTTGCTGAGCGCGCGTAGAGTATGTGTTGGGTAAATCGAGTGGAGCGAAAGAGAGAGCGCGACTGTACTATGTTGTCCGACGAAAACGGAGAAGGGGATAGGTTGGTTCGAATTAACTTGTCGCTGGAGGCATGCTTTTTCGTTGCGATGCGCGGACGGACGGGGCGGGGGTGCAGCGGGATCGTGGGGGGGGGGTGGGTGTTTGGTCGTATGTAGTTTTGGTGGTTGTGGGTTGATGAGGTAGGTGTCGAACAGATGCTGTGGATTTATGGACGGATTGGTTCGGGCTGGTTGGGGGAAGCTGGCAATTGTTTTTAGTGGCTGCTGCTTGTGTTCTAACCTACAAACTGCAACTGGCAACCGTGACAACCGCGAGCACGCGGACGAAACAACCAGGGTCCAAACACGGTCGCTAGTGCGACGGGCAAATTATGTGATTCGTTCACGCTGAGCGATGCGCCCTGCGATGAGGACGGCCTTGAAACTAGACGTATGCGGGGGAAGAGGGAGCTCAGGAGTGGACAGGAGCGGACAGTCGTGTGTGTCAGTAGGTGCTTCAGAGCCAATGCTGCTGCTGCGGAGAAAAATCACGGAAGCCGTGAAGATCCAGTGAATTTTTGAGTTTCTCGAAGAATCATCACGATCGCCAGGAAAGCCGACGCGATATCGAAAAGGGGAGGAGCATTTGGTTGAATCACCCCAGGATCGTGCAGCCACATTTCCTATGGCGCGCCACGAAGAAGTGGCCACCGCTGCGAGCCCGGAGGATGACGCGTGCGGTATAAGGCATTCAGACGCGCCACCGCTCGCATTCCATACGATAGGTACGACGTCGTACGTCGCGACGACACTTCTCTGCGGAACCAATAAGCATATATTTTGGGAACGGGGGCAGATCTGCAGTCGTCGGACATGTGATCGTGTTGGCGGATCGGCCCCAACTGAATCTAATCTCAACGGGACGCTGCGATTCTGCGATTGATCGATTAGATAACCAACTACTGCCAATTAATTACCGGACAGCGTTCAACCTTGTCGGCTTTGTTTGCAGGACTCATCATCTTATGTATGCAGCCATGGCTCTTCTCCACCCTCCACCATCCGCATCAGCTCGTGCATGGGTCCGGCTTGTCGATGCAAAAACAGTGGCCGCCGACGAACTCCCCTAACGCGTCCCGGATCCGGCGGAGCGCGATTTCGAGCGCCCGACGCCCGGCGCCCGGCGCCCGCCCCTTGTGCACACATAAAAAAGGGTGGGATCTTGGCCGTGCTGATCGGTCTGTCTCGAAATGAAAACCTCTGCACAGCCATTTTCCGCCATCTCTTGATGCAGCGTGTGTAGATTTCTGGGGAAACGTTAGATGGACCAGGTTAGTTGCTTCCGGTGAATCCAAACGGGCCCGAGCTGGAATTGGGTATGGCGGCACATCACGAGCACTGCGTCATCAAAATTCCTAAATATTCCTAAATATCACCCTTTCCATTTCCTCATGCTCTCCCTAAGAATCAAAGATACAACTGGCCAGGCATGAGAAACTGCACAATTGCCGCCCAATGGGATGATGTAAACGATGTGTACGATGCAGACGATGTTGGCAGGCACAATCCACAATCCACAGACTGGAATGCATGGTACGCGTACAGGTTTCAGGAGCACGTTAGAATCCGACAGATATGTGCATATTATCGTCATCTGCGAAACGACATCATGGAACTTTTATATGTATGATATAAAGATACATACCAACCCGGCACATGGTCACCTCCCGCACGAATCTGTTACGTACATACTCATATCGAAAGAAGTCACTCGCCCCCGTTGCCGGTATTTAGGCACGGTATTCCCCCGGCAGGCTTGTGGCCTTGACATCGTGCATGGACGAAGTACCAAACATAGGTAGGACAAACGATTGGTGAAGTGGAGATGTTGCTAGCGGCGGAGCAACTGGTCTACATAAAGCGGAGCGGCGGGAAGGCGGTTGGAGTCCATGAAGTAGTTGCAGCTATAGCAATATCTGACATTCGGGGGGTGATGGGTAACAGGTGGAGGAAGGTGGGATACGTGTCGGAGACGTGTCGAAAACGTCGAGCATGATTCCAAGTGATGGCAGTACTATAATGGCACTTCTTGTGAGGACCTATGTATGTAGGGCGGCTGAGTACCGTAGTCAATGCTAATGATGACAGCGGTGATTGCACAATCGGAAACATTCCAAGATTCTGCAAGCCCTCTATGCTGCAGCGCCCGTTGAGTCTAATGGCGGGGAGTGGTTCATCGGGCATCAGAGGCTTGAGCTCGCCGTTCGTTGGCAGTCGCGGGAGCTAATTTTTACTTGGGTTTATGGCCAACAAAGCCAGTATTGCAACTGGGTATACCAATAGTGATGGGTTGGTTGAATACCGCGAGAATACGTGGTGGACAAGTTGGGGAGGGAAGTTGGCTTTACTATATACGGTACCCGAGTGGGCATGTTGGCAGAGTTATGTAGAGGTAAGCCATAATCCAACCGTCAATTCGATTCCAGGTCACGGCGAAAGTGAGGTTTTGGCATCCGGTACGGAGGTGGAGAGCGACAAGTCAAAATGGAAGAAAGTGTCATATCATCTAGGGACAAGTAGATGGTGAAGGCATCTTGCCGATGGAGAACCTTGTCCACAAGTGTCTTAATATCAAGTCGCTTGAGAACATAAATGATAGATCTGGGTTGTGGATGTTGTCGAGAGGGAGAAGAAGTGGGCTGCAGCCGGCAGATTGTGGAAGCGGGCCCTAAGAACTGTACATTCCATTTATTTCCACGACTGAAAGCGCGCCACCGTATCTGTCAATCCCTTGCAGAAATATCAAGTTTCCGATAATACCTAGTCGTTGATTGCGTGCGTACACACGAAGTCACTCGATGGCGAAAGTTGTCCCGAAAATTTTTGATGTCCCTTTTCGTCTAAAGAAAAAGTAAACATATGTGAGAGACAGTGGGGGTAGGGAACAGGATATGTAACTGCAATGATTTAATAAGGCCGAATGTAATGATGATTAAGTTAGAAAAACAAAGGTAACATATTGAGGGGAGCGGAGGCAGAGGCGGCTTGGTGTCATCGGTGAGCGCCGAAGAGAGGAGACTTATTGAGACCTGGTTGGACCTGATCCAGACCCGATGCGGTCATTCAACGTTTATCTGTCTCTGTTGACACTATTTCTGTCTGACTGTCGTCGGTTTCCGGTCCTCAATGATCACCAGATCATCTGGTATCATCACCATCGCTCTTCGACTTTTTCTCGAATTGATCCCGATTTTGAACCGTCACCCGATTTTGGGTCTCTCAATATGTGGTGTCAGCTGCTACCTACATACCGCATTCGTGCCTGCCGTCCATTAGGCGTGGCTGGGTTCTTCCGTCTGGGAGATGAGCACCGTCCGAACCAAACCAAACGCCATAAGCGCGCAACGCCCCGAGCCATCTGGCCGTTATTTGCATACGGTCTCATAGTTACTGCATCAGCAGCTGTCTATTCGAGCAATCAAAGCGCCTGACCATGTGCTCTATGTACCACCACGCACTCCCACACGCACTCTCTCGATGACCATTTCTCCCTATGTCATAGAACTTCTCTACCGAACGAACTTCTCTCGGGTACACACGCTCTTCTGGAATATTTACTTCAAGACTCGCTCGCACACGCTTATCGCATCCCGCACCCCCAGATCCAGGGAAGCAGAAGCATGCGGCCTGCGTCGGATGCAAGCATCATTTTTCAACACACTCGGCAGCTATGACAGCCATGCAGAAATGCTGCAACTAATGGAAATGCACGCCCCCTCCTCCCCCCTCCCCCCTCCCCCCCACGCTATTCGCTCCAATGGCCGGCCTATTGCGGTCCGCGTTAGTCACCAGGCGGGATTCAAGGAATTGAGGTTTATATGTACTGAGATCGTATTGCCATAGTATGTAGGTACGTAGAGCTGAGAAGCGATTCCTTAGGAGATACAGCTACAAACATAGGCGACTGAGATGTTTGAACTTTGTGGTTCCCGGGAGCAGATAGAGGCCGAAGAAAATTCGCCATTCCCGGGAAAACCTTCAACCAAATTGAATCCCCAGAACCCTAGCCTGACGCACGAATACCTCACATAGATATTCATGTCGGATTTCCTTGGATCGGGTATTGGCTGCCGAAAGCTTCCGCCAAAAGGAGGAGGATGATCTCCCAGGCTCGAGCACACAGCTCTCCAGTTCAGCCCCAGCTCTTGCATGCTTTTCGTATGTAACTATGTAACTACATATGTGCTCGATGACACTATGATGAATCGATACCCCATTATCCCATTATCGGTATCCCTGTCGCTGGCCGGCTGCCGAACGAAGGAAGGATCCCCATCCCGTCCATCCCTCAAGCTAGCGAGCGAGCGAGGGAAGAAGAAAAAAAAAGGAAAGGAAAGGAAATGGAAGCTTCGATGCGATGCGATGGCTCGATGAGAACTTGGCCTATGTAGGTAGTTAACTAGGTAGGCTGGGAAGATATCTACTGGTGTGTGTGTGTGTGCGCGCGTATGTACATATGGGAGGTGATGGATGGATCGGCTGGACTCGTATGGAAGCTTAATGCGATCATGCATACTTAACGGAGCTGTTGCCCTGCCCTGCCCTGCCCTGCCCCGCCCCTCACGACGAGTGCTCGTGGAAACCCTCCAAACATTATATCCAGCGATGTCGGTTGATAGCAGTCGTCCGGGAGTTGGCGATGGTTTGTGGTCCATTGACATTCTCGCGTTGACCGTGGGAGAGCTAACATGGTGTGTGATCCGACAGTCATCTTCACCGCCTTCAAACCTATCGCCAAAATGGCGGCCATCACGTTGGGCGGCGCCGTGTTGTGTCGGAAAGGCATGTCCCTCATACCTACCACGACCACGACCACCTCCACGAACACCTCTTCGACTTCCGCACGGATGATAACGTTTCCCGTCTTGTGCTTGCAGGAATCCTATCAGCAGAAGCCACGCGGGCTAACGCTGGAATCCTAATCAACCTCCTCCTACCGATGCTCATTTTCTCGGCCGTCACCACGTCCTTCGATGCCTCGAATATCAAATCCGTCGTTGCCCTGGTGGTGACCGGTGTGCTGTACATGTTTATGGGATTGGCTTTTGGGTTCCTTGTGCGATGGCTCACGCCAGTGCCGAAGACGTGGAAGTGGGGGGTGTTGATTACTGGTATGCTCAGGCGTCCACTGGTGGTGGTGGTGGTGGTGGTGGTGGAAGAAGGGCTAATAGAAGTCTGCCACAGGTGCTTGCAGTAATGTTGGTGATCTGCCGATTGCGTTCGTGTTGACCATCGCGAAGAGTGCGCCGTTCAGTGGCGAGCAGGATGTATGTACTTCGGCGGCCTGATGTACGACCAGGCTGCTAATCATGAGGGGTATCCAGAGCACGAGGGGAATTGCCTATGCGTCGATATTTATGGTGGTGCAGACATTAGCGATGTAGGTTCGCTCGTATACGCTCCTTTGTTCCAGTGTACTGACGGCCGTGTAGGTTCAGCCTAGGAGGTGGGTTTCGATCGCGGTGGGTTATGATCGCAGTAGCTAAGCGGAGCATCAACTAGGTGCGCAATTGCTCAAGCGGGACTTCCGCCCCGTCGAGGAATCGCCCGATCCCGAAAAGGCCGCGGCCACGTCGTCGAAGCTCAAGTCGACCGTTACGGCGATCGCCAACCGAACGCGGAAAACTGTCGGGCTTGTGTCGCGACGTGCTGGCGGGCGACGACAGCCACCAGCATCGCCGGCGGTCATGCTCACTTGTGCGGCGGGCGGTACGGCAAGAACGGGAACTAGCCATTCGTCAGAGGAGGGTTACAAGACCTCCGCCAATAACACTCCCAACGACGGGAACTCCATCGTCGAGGCGGACCGCGACCGCGATGTCATTTCCCCGGCTTCAATATCCGCGCATTCGATCGGCTCACGCACCGGCCCCGCAGCCAAGGAAACCTCCGCAATAGCCCGGCCCAACTGCATCAAGCGGGTATGGAGCGGATATATCGTGCCGGTATTTGCGCCGCCGTCACTTTCGTTGATAGTCGGCCTGATCGTGGCGAACATCCCGCCACTAAAGGCGCTGTTCGTAAAGACGGACAAGTTTGATATGCCCTCGGCGCCGGACGATAAGCCGCCGCTGGACTTTATCATGGAGATTTGCACGTTTGGTGGGTCTGCCGTGCCCGTAATCGGAATGCTCCTCTTGGGTGCAAATCTGTCACGCATGTCGATTAAGAACCTCCCCAGGGGTTTTTGGAAATCAACCGTTATGATGTCGGTTTTGAAGTTGGTCGTTAGTATGTTCTCTGCCTCGCCTCTCCGCGCCATTGACGCCGCCTCTTGCTGATGGATGTCCAACGCGCAGGTCCGATTGTCGGGATGTTGTGGACAAAGATGGTCATGAACCGAACGGGCCTGATTGATCCCGAGGAGAAGATGCTGCAGTTCATCCTGATCCTCTGTGCCGGAGGTGCCTACACATGCATCCTATCCTACCCGCTACACCTCCTTCCGCAGCTAACATGCAATTCCATTAGTACCGACTGCCACCCTCCAGGTGTATCTCACCAACATCTACGCCACAGAAGGAAGCGTTGAAACATCTGCGTTGTCTGCGTAAGACCCCACTCCCAACATCCCCAGTCAATCTAGATAGACGCAGAGTTAACTGACAGTTACTCCCTGGACCAGAATGTTGCTGGCGCAATACAGTACCAGTGAGTACTCCCCTCCTCCACTACCGAGTGACCCCGAAACTAACCATCCCACCAAACAGTGCTTTTAACACTAACGATCCTCGTATCTTACACCCTCAGCAACGCCCTCTAGTTATCATCTCTGCCCACATCCCATCGTATGTAAGATGTGTGTACATATTGTCCTTTCTTTCTGTTTAAATATCAAATCCTTCTTTCTTTCGCCTATCTCCTCATCATCATATATATGGGACTTAAGAACCATCGCGAATCTTGAATGCATATCCATCTATACACACTCCATATGATGTGCATACTATCTACGGCTATAACGGCTGTCATGGCCATGCTATATATGCCATGCCTTGGATTGGTCTGGCTTGGCTTGGCTCAAGGTTCCACTCCAATATAAAACAATATGGATAAGTTGATCATGACGCGAGATAGAGTGATTTATGTATTCGTAGGATCTGAGGGTGTGGGTGTGTGTGGGTGCGTGGGACTGCCGTGATCTCCTCAACCTCCTCAACCTCCTCAACCGCGGGAAGAGAAGAGAAGAAAAAGAGTGTCGAGGCAGGCAGTCGAGGCAGGCTGTGGAGGTGTAGGGAGGAACCAGCTGCAAGCTTAAGCTGCAGCGGATGAAACGGCGCCTTTTCGCGAAACAGCAATCGCAGCTTGTGATGCCGGCCGGCCGGCAACGGGTCTGATCTGCTCAGCATGCATGCACCGGCCAAACGTTACGGGACGGCACCGTGGAGCGAGACGATGTCGGGGACTCGGCGAATGCTGCTCCGCCGACGCCGACGCCGGACTCGCGGCCGCCTCGACGATCTTTTCGGCGGGTCGGGGATCGACTCGCCGGGGATGTCTGTCTGATCAGGGCACGATGATGTGCTTCGTGGAGTAGGGGCGTCGCTCCGCTCGCTGTGGAACTCAATGGCGAATGGAGCTTTAGGTTCGATACAACGGAGACCGTGGGCCCGTGAACCCCCTTCACGAGTACTCACTCGAAACACGGTACTGCGCCGCACGTGATCGCCACATGGAGTACCTATAATCATCCGCCCAAACGTCCTCTGCCCCTTTCTTTTCAGTCCGATGGGGCAAGAAGCGACGATATCATCCGGCTTCCAGAACGGGTGTGCGAGCGTGCGTGCGAGCGTGCGTTTGGGACATTTGAAGCCAGGAGAACCCTGGCCGATTCGAAGGCTCCCTCCCTCCATTCCCGGCGCCATTTTACATAGCATATCATATCATATCTACGTACCTCGCAATCTACATGTTGTTCTTCTTCGCAACGGCCGGATCTCGGTAAGTCCTCTTTCTATTGTTCCGCGATTTCGATTCGCAGATTTCTGGTTTAAGATAAACAGGAGGGAGGGAGGGCACGCGGTAGTACTTGGGCAGGGAGGCAGTTGGATGGGCTGGGGAGGGGAGGGGACCGTTGAGCTTGCAGGCATGCTGCTGCTGCTTTTGTCTCTCCCTCCTCAACCGACAACGGGCCGGGACGGACGGTGACCTGGTTAGCTGTGAGGAAAGGAAAACGGGAGGAAAAGGGAACAGGAAGGAACAAGAAATTTATAAAGTGATAAACACATCCGCACCCCCAGTGCTAGTCGACGTCTTATTTGGTGGCTGTTATCATCATAGGCGGCATGTATCGTGTACTTTTTCCCGGGCCGGACTTCCTGAGGTGTATTTAGAGCGCGATTCATTCTGCGAACCAGTACCAGCCAGCAGCAGCACCACGTCCCTTCGTTTTTATTTTCTTTTTATCTTCTCCAATTGCCGATTTTATATTGATTTTTGGCTGAGTTGTTTGTTTGCTGCCAGTCGCTCATTCGCTGGATTCACATCTGTCTTCTTCTTCTTCTTCTCGCTGGCTAGAGTACTCTACAGAGTGGAGTTGCTGCAGACTTGATCTCTCTGCTTGCTGTTTTTGTTTGTAGCTTATTCTGCCTTGCTTCCCTGTCCTGCCTACCTGCCTTCCTGCCTATCTGTCTGCGTCCTGCTTGCCTGCCTGCTTGCCTGCCTGCTTGCATGCAAATCGTAGTGTTTTTCACCCTCTTTCGATTTCTGTCCTGTCTCCGTCCGTTGTTTTCAGTTCTTTTGTGATCGGGGAACGAAGGCTTCAAGATAGCGGCTCACGGAAACGCTAGACTTCACACTCTTTTGAGCCTCTTACATACAGCACCAGCAACCAGCAGCCGGCAAGTGAAACAACCACCACTCGTTCCGACCGACCTGCGCGTCAGTCTCTCTAACGCTCGGACAGCTCACTCACTCTTGTCCTCACTCCACCACCAACACAACAACCACTATCACCACCACCACCCATTCACTATCACCACCACCACCCATTCACTATCACCACCACCCCATTCACTCGCTCGACGACAAAAGCAACCACCACCACCACCAGCATCACATCCACTCCACCCTATCTTCGACCGCATCCTAATTGATAAGACATACACGCGCGCACGCAGCACACACGCAGCACACACGCACGCACGCCTCCACACACTCGTTCATAATGACGGATATAGACAGTCTATTCAAGGTAATCCCTCCTCCACCCCCGCACACACCCTCCCTCACCGCCGCCACCGCGCAAGCAAGCAGCTAGCATAGCATAAACTGACACATCATCACTGCTTCCCCGCGTAACAGAAACCGGCACTCCCGAGCTCGTCGTTCTCGGCGTCTTCCAATACCTCCAAGAAGCGCAAGCTCGCTCCGCAGCACGATCCAGGTGCGTGGTCCGCCCTGCCTTCCTTCCTGCCTTCCTACCTACCTACGTTTCCCGCGCGTTCCGTTCCGTTCGTTCGTTGTTGACATGTTTTCAGTCGCTGCCTACAAGTCCGCCCGGCTCGACACGACAGGGTCAAGGTCGGCACATGCGGCCGACGCTCCCGACGAGGACGACGAGGAGGCGGGTCCGGCTCCTCCGGAGGATGCGTCGTCGTCGCTGCCCTCGGACTTCTTTGACGCGCCGGGAGAAGATGAGGAGGGCGGTAGGTTCTTTGGCGGCGGCGTGAACGAGAAGCAGGCGGAGATCCTGGACTACGTGGATGCGCAGGAGAAGGAGAGCGGCATCTCGGAGCCCGAAAAGATCAATGCCGCCTGGCTAAGAAAGAAGGCGCTGGGGTTCGAGAGGTTGATCAGTAAGAATGCGGAGATGCGCGGGAAGTTTGAGGATGAGCCGCATAAGTGCGTTCTTTTTTGATGGCGAGGGCGATGGCGATGGTGCTGACGCGGGGAACAGGTTCATGGCTAGCGAGGAGGAATTGGATACCGAAATCAAGACGTTTTCGATATTGTCCGAGCACCCGGAGTTGTTCGAGGAGTTCCGGAAGCTGGGCACATTAGGGTCACTGGTCCGGCTGTTGGCGCACGAGAATACGGATGTTGCCATTGATGTGGTTGAGGTCATCAGCGAGCTTACAGACGACGAGGTCGAGGCGGAGCCTGATCAGTGGAATTCGCTCGTTGATGGGATGGTGGAGGAAGCATTGCTGGAAATGCTATCGCAGAATCTGTCGCGATTGAACGAAAGCAACGACAGTGATCGCAGTGGAGTTTATCACACGCTCAGTATGTCTATCCCCTTTGGGGGGCAAGGATAATTGACCCGGCTAATCACCGATCGTCGCAACAGGTGTCTTCGAGAATCTAGCCTCTCAACCCTCGCTGGCCGAAACGATGGTCAGGGAAACCAACATCTTCCCATGGCTTCTCAAGCGCATCCAAGTGCGCGAGTCTCCACTTTCGCAGAACAAACAGTACGCAGCAGAGCTGCTCGCCATTCTCCTCCAGACGGCGCAAGCGAATCGAGTTCGGCTGACGGAGCTCAACGGTGTCGACCTGTTCCTTCAATTGCTGTCTCCGTATCGGAAACGCGATCCTGTCAAGGGTGGAGATGAGGAGGAGTTTGTCGAAAACGTGTTTGATTGTCTTACATGCGTCGTTGACGAGGCTGAGGGCAAGCGCAAGTTTGTGGAAGCCGAGGGCGTGGAGCTGGCTCTCATCATGCTGCGAGAGGGAAAGATGAGCAAGCCGAGGGCTCTTCGGTTACTCGATCACGCTATCAGCTCGGTACAGAACGCGGAGGTGGCAATGCGGATCGTATCAGCAGCGGGCCTCAAAACGCTGTTCGGTATGTTCATGAAGAAGGTATGTTGTCACTCGTAGCCGGTTCGGTGGTAAAGGGTGGGATTCTGACGCACGGCGGGGTTTACAGCAAGACACCCGAACAACCGAGCACCTCCTCGGCATATTTGCGAGCATGCTGCGATTACTGCCGGCCGATTCGGCAGTCAGGATACGGACACTCGCGAAATTCGTTGAGAGCGACTACGCCAAGATTGCGCGGCTGGTGCAGATCCGGCAGGACTACGCGGCTCGGCTCGGGAAAGTCGAGAGGGAGATTGATGAGCAGAGGAAGGGACTCCCGCAGGACGAGAGGGAAGATATGAAGGAGGAGTGGCTGTCGCGCAGGTTGGACGCGGGGCTGTTTGGAATACAGATGACGGATCTCATCCTGGCATGGATGTGTGCCGAGGATGGCGGGGCGAAGAACAAGATTGAGAGTCTGCTCGAGGGACAGAAGTTGGGGTTGCAGAGCATACGGAAAACACTACGAGGTATGCAGCGGTATTTCTTCCTTTATGCTGATGATCGCTGACTTTACTTCGCTGCAGAATCGGTTGTTCTAATGGGCGACGAAGACCTTGATGCCGACCAGCAAGAAACGAAGGACATGCTGACGACGTTGATTACGTTTGTATAACTACTACCTGGCTGTCTTCTAATCGTACTTAGTAGTAGATATTATTATCACCCACCGCCTCTGCTGTGGGGGGTGTTGATCTTGTTCAATATATGACCGTGTTGTTATCGCGCAGAGTAGAGTGCATGAAGTACCTGAAGATAACACCCGACAGCTGTACACTACCTGTCGACACTCTGTACGCTTCTGCAGAGTAATATGTCGATTTACTCTACTTGAAGCCGTGACATGCAGTGCGTGAGCGTCTGACAAACTTCCCGCCGAGAGGGAGGGAGTAATTCAGCTTCGGTAGAGTCTCCGTTTTCTATAGAAGCAATTATCTCTTCTACATACGGTCATGAGCTCTGTCCAGTGTCCGTCGTGGGAGTGAAACTGTCACAGATGAGCTGAGCCTCAAACGCCGCTTTTTATACCCCACCAGCCACCACCAGAGTCCAGACGTCACATTTCTTTTTCAGCCCGCGTACGTGTGCTGCGCAGCTGCTGCAGGCACACATTGCGTGTGTAAGGCAAGGGAAGTGCCAGTGTTCCCGCGGCCGTTAATTTCTCCTATCGGAACTTCGGAAGACTCTTTCACCACTCCTCCTAGAGACCTCCTAGAGCGAGTTTTGCTACAGCCTGCAGCCTGCAGCCTGCGGCCTTCAGCGCGCATCGGATCATCACCAGCATACCTACTACCTACCGTACCTACCCCGCCCGACCCTCCCCCCCCCTCCCCTCCTTCCCACCACCACCGCCACCACCAACAACCACCACCACCACCACGAGACCCTCCACCGCCAGCCAGCCAGCTAGAACGGCGTCCTTCCAAATAGAACCGTCCCGTCCCGTCCCTTCCTTGCACCACCACACCCCGCCCCCTCCATCCTCGTCCGTCCTCGTCCGTCCTCGTCCGTCCTCGTCCGCCGTCCTCCACCATCTGTCGACGTCAGGTACCAGAACTCGAAACTCGAACCACCACCACAGGCTCGCGCGCGAGAAAAAAAAAGACGACCACCACAACACCACAACACAGCACAACACAACACAACCCACCACAACCCACCACAAGCATGACGGAGGCAACGCCAACGCCAACGCCTCCATCGCCGCCCGTGCCCGTGCCCTTGTCCTTTCCCGCGCCCTTACCCGCTTCGGCACCAGCTCCAGCTCCAGAAGCAAAGCCGTCACAGGAGCCGACACAGGCACCGTCACAGGCACAAGAACCGGAACACACGCCATCCGCCGCGCCCGACACACCGCCGCCGACGGAAGGCGCGCGCACAGCGACGCTAGTAATATCCGACGAGTCCCCGCCCGTCGACGTGATCGACGACGACGAGGACCTGCTCGACGAATACCCGCCCGACATCGAGGAGCTCGACCTCATCCACCTGCGCATACTGTCGATTCCTGCGCTGAGGCTGGAGAGGTTCCTGAAAATCACGGTACGTGCTGATGGGAGATGGGAAGAGACAGTGTGTGTGCTGATGGGATGAGTGTGTGTGCTAGAAATTATGTCTCCGCCAAAACCGCATCGAGCGTATCGAGGGACTGGAAGTCCTGGCGGACACGTTAACGGAGCTGGACCTGTACGACAACGCGATCGGGCACATCAACGGCGTCGAGAAGCTCACGAAGCTGACGAGTCTGGATCTGTCGTTCAACGGCATCAAACACATCAAGCGTCTGGAGCCGCTGAAGGATCTGCTGCAGAACCTGTATTTCGTGCAGAACCGCATCAGCAGGATCGAGGGCCTGGAGGGGTTCGCAAGGCTCACGAATTTGGAGTTGGGTGCAAACAGGATTAGAGAGATTGAGGGGCTAGACTCCCTCGTTTCCCTCGAGCAGCTGTGGTTGGGGAAGAATAAGATTACCGAGCTGAAGGTGCGTGCTTGATGCGGAGGGAGGGACGAGTGGGGGAGGAGGTACAGACAGGCCAGCTAACGAACCGCAGAATCTCGGAACGCTCACAAAACTCAAGATCCTATCGATCCAATCCAACCGGCTAACGGAAATCAAAAACCTCGAGAACCTTTCCGAGCTCGAAGAGTTCTACGTATCGGACAACGCGCTGACGGAGATCTCCGGGCTGACGCACAACCCCAACCTCAAAGTCTTCGACGTCACCAACAACAACATCTCGCACCTGTCGGGGCTCGAGCATGTCCCGCAGCTGCAGGAGCTCTGGGCTAGCAGTAACAACCTCGCCTCGTTCGCAGAGGTCGAGGCTCAGCTCAAGGATAAGGAACATCTAGAGACTGTGTACCTCGAGGGAAACCCTCTGCAGAAAGATGCGGGTATCACCTATAGGAATAAGGTCCGCCTCGCCCTGCCGAGGATTAAGCAGATCGACGCGACGTATATTAGGGCTTAACGCAAGAGTGCGAGGCGATGCGCGGGCGAGAAAGCGTCGGGAGTTTGCAATTGGAACGTGGGTTAAATGGGGCTTTCTTTTCTTCTCTGTGATGATGATGGATGGGATGCATACGGGTTCTGCGGAGGGGAGGGGAGGGGAGAGGAGGGGGTAGGTGATACAATAATAAACGGGGACGGTTCGGGTGATCGCGAGTCCCGAGTCTCGTATGTACGGTACGTCGTGGAAGAAGTAAGAAGTAGGAAGTAAGAGTTGCAGACTGGCTGTCTGTCTGTCTGTGATTGGTGATTTGGCGAGCAATCGGCGGTGATATTAAGGAAGGGAGAAGGCTGTGAGTGTATGTGGTCATCCAACATCACTCGTGATTTCAAGTTGGCTTTGAAGCTTGAACGCCAATGGTTATAGATATGTAGAGTACAGCTGTCCGTCGACTGAGACTGAGACTGAGACTGAGACTGAGACACGACTCGCATGGCCCAGGGAAGAGTTTTGCGCTGGTAGTCCATACAACCGTTAAAGCCCGAAGGAGCTCGGAAATCGTGATAGGATGGTGCACGAGTCATGATTGGACGTCCGGGGAAGGTAGAACAGACGTCGACCGGAGTCACATCCTGCATACGGGATCACGGACCACCCCGTGTCCATGCCCATGCCCGTGCCCATGCCCATGCCCCTACATAGTCCACACGAAGAGGAAGGTTCTCTGAGACTCCGAGATTTTGAGGCAAAACGGAGAGATGCCCGAGGGAGAGTGGTGCCCGAGGGAGAGTGGACAGCGGAAGAGATCAACAAGAGGAAGTAGGTATCGACCGCCGGACACCCAGGAAGAGGGAAGAGGGAAGAGGGAAGAGGGAAGAGAGAAGAGGGAAGAGAGAAGAGAGAAGAGAGAAGAGAGAAGAGAGAAGAGCACAAGGCCGTATGTAACCAACACCAACCAACCAACAGCAACAGGCGGAAGAAACTCGCAGCGAGACTATAGAGTAGAGTACCAGAGCAGAGCAGGTCCGAATACGCCGCAATTGGGCAGTACTATACGTACTATACGTACCAAGAGCCGCCCCACGGCCGCCGACGACTCGGTGAGATGATGGTGTCAGACTGTCAGTAGGTACAAGGCTCGGACACGGACGGAACTAGACGGGGCAAAGGCAAAGGCAAAGGAAAAGGCAGAGATCGGTTTCGAATAGGTAGATAGAGCTCCTCCTTCCCGAGAGCAGAGGAATCGAACTTGTAACTGCCATGATCTACTCTACTAGTAGTTAGGTTGAATGAAACAATGGTTAAACAAAAATATACATCTACAGCCATTCGTTGGTTGGGCAGAGTAGGTAGGGGGATGAGTGTTGGTTCTTGGAACACATCACGGCGCCAAATCAATCATCAAGACGTAGAGTAGACACTCTGCCAGCAAAGTGATCTCCGAATGGATCTGGTTATTCCCATTATCGCTCAGAGCGCTGGATTGCAAGTGCAAGATGTGGTCGAATGGAGGCGAGCGAGGGAGGAGACCTAGTGTTTGGAATATTCACAGCTAAGCACTCGGCAGGTTCCAACTTCCACGTCAAGATAAATGGGAGTTGGCAGAAGCGACGCTTCAAGACCTCAGTAAGAAGTAAGTACTAGTATGTCATTATTCTCATAGCTGTCGACAATACAGTAGTAATACAGCCCCCCAACGCCCGTCATTAGATATCCAAGTAAGTACATACATAAAGTATTGCGCATAGCCGTTCGCGTAAACATCACCATCACCACCACCATCACCACCACCATCGCCCCCTAAAGCATAGCAACCAACCCGACCACACCGGCCACGGCCCCACCAAGTCCCCACCTAACCCCATTCCTCTCCGCGTTCGAGTTCGGACTAGAAGTAGCCACCGTACCGGGCACCGACGTCACAGGCATAGTTGTAGGCGTCAAAACCCTAGTCGTCGGGGTGACCGCGACAGCGGTGAAGCTATCCTCTCCACCGGTGGACGTGGGCCTTGCAAGCAACGCCGAAGACGAGGACGACGACTCATCGGGGAGGAGACACTTCCCATCGACGGTGCAAGTTCTCCCGATGGGGCAGCAGCCGCCTCCCAAGTTCGCAGCGCACTCGAAGCGGCCGGCCGCGCACCCGGTGGTGGTGGGGTTATCGGTGGCAGCGGTACACTTTCCGTCCGCGGTGCAGGTGCGGCCGATGGGACAGCAGCCGCCGCCCAGGTTCGCCGCGCACAGGAAGCGGCCTGCTTCGCAGGTCGAGGTGGGCGGTGGCATCGTCGTGCCCGGCGTACACAGGCCGCTGCCGCTCGTGCTGCACGTTGTGCCGTCGGGGCAGCACCCACCCCCGGCGTCCTCAGCGCATTGGAAGGCGCCCGTGCCGCAGCCGCCGACGCGGGTGCAGAGCTCGCCTAGGGGGGGTTAGATGGTGGATGGTAAGCTGAGATGGGGGTGGTACCGATGGGACAGCAGCCCTCTTCGCCGGAGATGGAGATGAAGCAGACGTGCGCGGGCTCGCAGCAGCCCGTGCGGCCGTTGCTGCACACTGCGGAAACCATCGTCGATGGGCAGCTGCTTTGGCGCTTCGTGAGGCCGCTGCCCGGGAACTGCATCGCCGTCGCTACATGGCCCTGGAGGTTCGCGGGGCTCTGCAGATCCGAGTCGCCCCGTGCAAGGACTGGCAATGACCGCCGCGGGGTCTGTTCCAGTCCGGCCACGAACTGGAGGAAGAGGAGGGCGGTGGCGCTGAGGACGAGCATCGTGTCTGTGTGTGTGCGTGTGGGTGGAGAGAGAATGTACTATACTATGCAGTGCCGCTGGTGGGATGGAATGGCTGGCTGGCTGGCTGGCTGCCGGGAGGAGGAGTCGTGAGGGGTTTATATGTGTTCCCCATTTCACCGTCGCATCGTCCAGTCTGCCTGTTGGGGAGCCATATGTGCAACAACAAACAATGCAGCTAGAGGATTCGCCGGCCTACTGCGCAGGCAGCCCGCTACCTGCCTGCGCGTGATTTTGTGAGTTCTGCTCGATCGTCAAACCAAGCTGCAAAGGCGAGGTGGTACAAGAATTAGCGATGGTGGGTAGGCCCTACAGGGGCGGAGTCGAGGGTCTAGTCTCAACTAATCTGGCATACTTTGGAATACGAGGAGAAGGACTTGGCTAACTATTACCCCAGAGCGAGCAGAATGAGTGCCATGGCCAGCGTGGGCCATGGAATACGAGCTGGTACAGGTAGTTATGATGTAACAGAACCTGGGTGGGGAGGATCGGAGTGTTACTGTGTGAGCGAATCCACGGGGGCCCCAAGACCGTGGCCATACATAAACAATGGGATCCCCCCTCGTCTCCCCCGTCTCCGTCAATCTCCTCCAATGCCTGGAGAATTCCAATTGCATTCGGAAACATCACGAACCGGTCGCCGGCCATATCCGATCTCTGGCTGCAAACAGGAGGATCAGACGGGCTTTCAGTCAGCCCGCATGAAATCTGCAGCTTAACTGAAGGTGCCTACTATAATCTAGAGCATAGTATAACCACACGTTGTACAACCTACCCCTCTCCCCTTTCCCCCCCTCCCAACCCAGCCTTCTCTCATCGCGGCTGCGCTTCCCACAAACACTTGGTTACTCACATTCTGACCACAGCTTCGGCGATGCATCCACTTCTGCCCGAGCCCGAGCCGAGCCCAAGTCCTTCGGTATTAAGCCGATATAGGTGCCGGTCTCCTAGCTGGTACATCCCCCACATCCATAACACAGCAAAGCAAGAGAAAAGGAGTTGCTGCCTAGATGCGTACTAGCTGGGTAAATACTCTACATAATGCCATGTACCCTACTTATGATCGCTAGAGCAGCCAGCAAGGCCGTGTAACAGAAGTGATGTTAGAGTGCTTATTTTCGCACCTGCAGGGAGGAGTGGAGGAGTGGAGGGTGTCCTATTGGCTCATCCACTGTCCTCGATACTACGCGCCCGCACGTGTTGACTGACCGGTGACAGACCGGCGACAGCACGGCGAAAACACGCGAGGGAGGGGGCTGGGTTGTGGCTGGGTTTGTGGCTCTGTGTTGGGTACCTATGATACCTATACTAGTGGTGCGATCGATGCTTTATTTCGCCGTCGCGATCCCATGTATCACAGGGAAGTGAGAAAAGGAACGATACTAAGGCCGAGGGAGCGGAGAACCAAATAAACATAATCATATATTATCACTCGTGGCTGGATTAAGATGTTACAAAAGAATGATCGAGATTCGAGACCTCGAAGCTTATCAGGCGCGAGAACGACACCCATTGAATAGTATTGATAGTGTGCCCGCGAGGTCGAGTAGGCGTGCAAGCGCCTACTCGAGAATTGCAGGAAACGGTAGTTTGACTCTTGAGCAGGCAGACCCGGAGCAGGCCATCCTGTGGACACTGGACAGAGGTGAGAATTGAGAACAAGGGCGAGGGAGCGGAAACTTGAAAGAAAGATGCAAATATCTGAGCTATCTACGGGAGAAAGTTTAGCCGGGCTATACCGGACTTCCAAGTTCCCCCAGGGACAAGACTGCGACGTAGCAGGACGGTCCCACCGGAAGGCAGGTAGGAGAGCAGAACAGAGGACGGCGAATAAGCCGTCGAAGAGTATGGGGCCTGGGCAAAGAAGGCAACGCAGAAACCGAGTCACCGGATATGTACATCGATAGCCGTCTGTTAGGAGTATCCTCCTCGTCATCGTCGCCATATCCCGGCCAACCGGGACACAGCTCAAGCGGCCCAGCCTGTGTTAGCCTGTGTTCTGAGCAGACCACTCGGCCCGAATGTAGCTGGCTAGCTGTCGAGACCATTGCCGATAGGGCCAAAATCCTCGTGATGGTCCGAACAGCCATAGGTAAGTAGCAACGAGGGCAACACAATGCCAGTGGATACATCCAAATCTGAGGGGGACATCCACTTTTCACGCCCTATCCCGTGCCCAAGCTTCACCGAGGATCTCCTCAACGGGATCCCCATCATTGGCATGGCAGCAACGTGGACTTTGCCGCGGTTGTCGGTTTCTGGTAGAAGCTCCCAGTTACTGTATATACACAGCTCACTAGCTATCTTGTCCGGCTCCGGCAATGTAACTTGTAATGACGTTGAGGTTTTATCTTCCACATATCATTCCAGTGTTCTCCATAATCCAGTCCAGTCCGTCCGGACCCATGGACGGGACTGGACTACATACATCCAGTCCGTCCGGAGGTGTCTGCCGGACGGACTGGTCTACCAGTAAGGTCGGACGGGACGGACTGCAGTCGACTGCAGTCCAACCCCGTCCAGAAAATTGGCGGACGGGACGGACTACTTTTATCCCGTCCTCCAAAAGACACGGACGGGACTGGATCTTGGCAGTCCGTCCCGTCCGGACTGCAGTCTGGACCGGACTATCGAGAACACTGTATCATTCCTCTGGTGGGATTCTGGTCGTTTAGGCCTTGCTAGGGAACTATTCGCAAGGCTATTCAGATTGGGCGTCGAAGGCGCATTGCTGAGGGCGGTTCAAAGGTTTCGCTGTGCATCGCTTGCATCCAGTCTTGGAACTGTTTGTAGATACTTAAAGATGAACCTCTAAAGCCCCATTGACCATTGCGCGCACCGCCTAGCAGTGGGTAGTGCTCTCTCACAGCGGCTGTAGACACTGGCATGGGAGATCGATATCGAGTGATTTCCATGAGCAACCGACTTGCCTCCCGCTAGAACCTTCCCTATGAGGCTAGCTGTTCTCCGCGACTTTTTGTAGCTGAGTCAATAGGTAGTCCCGATGTTAGCTCCCGCCATCTACCGTGTCCTCACCTACCTATTCATAAGCTCTCCAGCTTCTTTCGTTTGTGTCCTTGTCGTCTTTCTCTCGTTCATCGCTCATGTCGCACATTCTCCAAGCCTACACCCACGGTAAGTGCAAGCTCGAGCCACCTGCACCTACACTTCCGCGTAGCAACCAATCCCCCCACCAAAGTCCACCAGTCCATACCGCAGATCGGGAAACTAACTAACATAATCCCACCAGCCCTCGACCTCCCCGGCCTATACACCAAACCCTCCTCGACCACGCTCCTCTCAATCCTATCGCAATTCACCCTGCCCCCGCCATCATGGGACAAGCCCGCCACCACCAGCACCTCGCACGACGCCGCTCCCAGCGGCTTCGATAAATGGCTCGTGTCGGTGATCGCGTCGCCCCTGCACTGGCTGACCGAGGAAGAAGCCGAGGTCATCCGCGACTCCGCCGCGGGGCGGATCGCCGAGCGCTGCGGGCGCTCAGCGCGCGGGAGCATGCAGCGCGTTTTCCGCATTCCTCTGCCGGCGGCGGCGCAGACGCAGTACTCTTCCCTCGCGGGCTCGGGCGAGGACTCCCCCGGCTCGTCGGGCGTGAATACCCCAGCGTTGCAGGAAGAGGAGCGGGAACACGAGGGGCACGTCGAGATCACACTGCACGAGCCCGCGCTGACGGCCGATAACCTGGGGCTCAAGACGTGGGCGTCGTCGTACCTGCTGTCGAAGCGGCTGTGCGCACTGGGGCTCCCGGCGGCGGCGCGGGTGCTGGAGCTTGGCGCTGGCACGGGGCTGGTGGGGCTCGCGGCCGCCGCGACGCTCCCGAACGTCGAGGAGGTGCTCCTGACGGATCTGGTGGAGATCGTACCTAATCTGATGAGGAATATTGATGCGAATAGAGGACGGTTGCCGCTGGGTGCCGAGGTGGGCGCTCGGGTGCTCGATTGGAGGGTTATCCCTAACCCGCTGCCGGGTGAACAGGAGAAGTTTGGGCTTGTGGTCGCGGCGGATCCGTTGTATTCGCCTGAGCATCCGGGGTTGTTGGTGGGCATGGTGGGGACGTGGCTGAAGCAGTGTGCAAGCGCCAGGGCGGTCGTCGAGATGCCGCTTAGGGAGGGATATCAGGCTGAGCGGGATGACTTTAAGGCGCGGATGTTAGCGCAGGGAATGAAGATTGTGGGCGAGGGGGTGGAGACGGGGTGGGATGACTGGGGGGCCAAGGGGGGCGAGGTCCGGTGTTGGTGGAGTGTATGGACGTGGGCGTAGTGTGAAATGATACCCATAGACATACACATAGATGATCGATCATAGACAGAGGTACTCTATAGACGGCTACATACTACATATAGATAAAGGCCACGAATCACGATGGTACGTTTCGCCCGCCCGCCCCTTGCCCCTGCCCTTGCCAATTGAAAAATGCAAAGTGTGGAGAAACGGCAAAACTCATTTGATCCCTGACAGCGATCCGGTCACCAAAATAAGGACGGGATCGGATCTGTTTCAACGTTCACGGTCGGGACGTCACACAAGATTAGGACGTTTCATCCCGTGAAGCGCATGAAGGCCTACGTACTCCACATACAACTCCCTTTCCAAACCTTGGGCGAGGACGGATAGAAAGCTGCAGGACAGTCACAGACTGCGGAGAATGGACTGAACGGGCATTACCGGGGACATATCGAGACCGACTGACCTGCTACCTACCTAGAGTCTTTTCGGCTATTGTTCCGGAAAGACAGACGGGAAGGATTTGGCGACATACCGAAACACCGGGACAACGGAAAGGATTTAGCGACATCATATCGGGACCGAATGACCTGCTAGAGTCTTCTCGGCTCTTGTTCCGGAGATAAACGGGAAGGATTTGGCGACATATCCGGACCGAGACCGACTGACCAGCTAGGGTCTTTTCCGGCTGCTGAGCCGTAGAGACACGGGAGGGATTTGGAGGCATACATATCGAGACCGACTGACCGACTAGAGTCTTCTCGGCTGTGTTCCGGAGACAAACGGGAAAGATTTGGCGATATACCGACTCCAGCCTCTTGGGAACTACTAGGACGAGATCTGTGATTGAACAACTACCCCCAAAGTACATACGGTACTGATTAGAAGAACAGAATTGATATCGGTACATGAGACGAACGAAAACAAATGAAAAGCAAACAAACAAAAACAACGAGAGAGATAGAGAGAGAGAGAAACCGAACGGAGACACACGTATCCATGCATCCATACAAGCCAAAAAACACACCTAGATGTTAAAGTACAGACGGGGAGGAAACAAGTCCCTCGCTGCCTGCAGTCCTCCATGCTACTCTACTCCCTCCCAACCCGGCTTCCATCTCCCTCTCTTCCTCTTGCCCCGTCACCCCCGACGCCCTCATCCATATCCTCCGCATCCATCTCCCTCCTGCGCTTCTCCAGCATATCCTCACCAAGTCTCACGCGACCCTCTCTAATGGCGACCATTTCCTCAAAGCGCAGCGGCGAGTCGTTTGGATCAATCGTCATGAACCGCGTCATGACCGGGGAGCGGCTGAGCCTTTCGCTGCGAGAGGGGGGAGGCGACGGCGACGTGTCCGGTAGCTGCTGGTGCTGGTTGCTGTTGTGGATGTCGGAGGTCGTGGGTGCGGGTGAGGCGGGGCATAGGGACGTGGGTGACGCTGGGATGGAGATCCCGGAGTCGCGGTTGGGCTTGGGCTTGGGATTGGGCTTGGGGACGGATGCGTGGTTGGTTGAGTGCGGCGGTGGGGGGGACATTGCGGTGCTGGTGATGGTGCTGCTGCAGGTGTTGCTGGTGCTGCAGGGTGGATACGAGTAGGAGAGTCGGTCACGGTGGAAGAGAGAGGTATATGGCGAGATCGAGGCGCTGGCTGGTTGGAACTTGGAAGACCAACTTGCTGGTGGGAAGACTGGCGGATTGGTGTATAAAACTGTCCACGACGGAGAAGGATAGCCACGAAGGAGAAGAATGGCCACGAAAACGAAGAAGATGGGTGGCCGCGAAAGAGGAGGAGGATGTCCGCGGGAATCTACCCAGGAAAATGGGCTGGAGGTTGGGCGAGGGATCGCACGCAGTGATGCCCGAAGTAAGCCGCAGCAGAAGAAGGAATATTGATGGATGGATAGGTTCTTTGCTTCCGGAGAGGAGTCTTGCTGAGCCAAGTAGTCGATGAGCCTGTCAATCATGGGAAACACAAGACGATTTATACACCCTTTGCTATGTACAGAGTTGTGGTCAGATGGGGTATCTGATGGCCGCTGCATCGCACTGGGTGCTGGCATATGCTTTCTTCTTCCTCCCTTCCTCGTCCTCATCTTCCTCTTCCCCCTCCTCCTTCTCCTCTTCCTTCTCATCCTTCTCCGAAGCCTCTCGCTCCACGGTAGCCTCAACTCTAGCTCTGATCCGAGTATTTGTTTTTTACACGGGAAGCCGCAGCAAATGTACCGGTATCTCGACAAACTAGTGATGACTCTCTGACAGGACTGGGATCTAGGGGCGACGTATCCCGCTGCTTCTGGCGCGGGACCCATACCCATATGCAAGCAAGGCCACCCGTCTGCTTTTGCTCGTCTTCCTTCCTTCCTGCTCTACCAGCATTGCCAGAGAAGCACTTCCCCCCCCCTCATTAGCCTACAGCGCCTGTCTGACGACACCCCCTCACGGCCCCCGAAACACGCGGCAAAGAGCAGAAAGCAGAAAGCAATCGAGGCCGAATACGGAGCTCAGGGCCAGCAGCGGAAGCCGGTAATGCAATGCACCAGCCGGCGCCATGTGGCCCATGCCGAGGCTGATACCTACACGCGGAACCCTAGGTAAGGCTCACTTCCCAGCCGGTTCGCATTTGGTATCGGCCCCGGCGTATGTACCGTGGCGTTTCACTTGCATGTACCATCATCCGCAGCCTGGCACCGTTTGCCCATTGATACATACTTTTCGCGGGAAGGGTACGCGCGGATAGCTAGCCTCCGGCGCTCAGCAGGCGGGTGAGGGGGGGTGAGAGGAGATAATCGAGGGCCAATTTCCGTCCGGTCAGACTGGGGGGAGGGGTGGGAGGGTCATCTGATGGGATGGGCCACTGCGCCGTGCACGGATAGATTTCTGGGTAGCGGGCAATCTTCAGCTTTGTCGACGCTTTGGGTGCGGGGTTGACTAGATACTGACTATGGTATGTACCCAAGGATCTTGCTATGGATGCAGCCAGCCACCTCAATCCTCCGGTCTCCCATGAACACGGTACACATGTACTCTTCAGTACTGGAGCATGCTGGTGCCATCGACTCGACTCGATTCCAGCGTACCCACCGTCGCCATCGCGCACTGCGCATTGCATCGCATGCGGCATCCCACGCAGGCTCTGCCGCTGTGCGATATGTCCTCCGATGCAGGTCTTCGAGCCCGTACAGAGCCAGCCATCGGGTATTTCCCCGCCGTGCGATGGTATACCACGGTACCCTTGCCCAGGGCCGGTGAAGTGCCCGCTGCTGCACCGACATGGCAGTTTCTTCGGGACGGACGAACGAGCATGCATGCTGTGTGTGTAAATACTAGGTTCAGTTACCAGGCAACTCCCTTGGAACTAAATACAGTGTACGCAGGGATGCGATGCGAGGCGGGTACCTACTCGCAAATAGGGTTCACAGCGTCTATGCATCTCCCCGGCCATAAACTTCCCTCTACGGCGTCTTACTCCTAAGCTCCGCCCCACACTTGGCATTCCAGAAGCTTTCCTAACCAGTCAGTGCTCATGTGTCCATAGCTGCCATAGCTACAGTGAGACCAACATCAGACGGGATGTTGCGGTAAACACCTAATCTTAAAGCTGACATGTTCTCGCATCACCCTCGCGCCCGCGCACAACGATCACCACCACCACTACCTCCACGAGCAACAAAGCAGAATAACAACAACAATTCAACAACATTTCCGTCGCGGCTTCCTCGCTCGGGGAGCGAAAATATCTGGGGCTGTTCTTCCTGTTGCGCACGCACACTCACACGCACACACATACCATGCACTTGACGTTCAGCCAATCAGAGATTGCTCTCCGTCCGGCCCGGACATTCGATGCATGCAATGCGCTTGCATATTGCGCCGTGACAATCTGGGCCGATTCTCGATGACTGGTCGAGTCAACCAACCCCCCGGCGGGGTAACCATAATCTACAATTGCTGAGCGCTGGTTCCCGTCTTCGCATGGAGAATTTGTTGGTCACGGGAGCTGCGGAAAGGATATGGATATGGATACACATGTAAATGTCTCACGCCTCCATGCGCAACCAGCCTTATGTGGTTGACGATGTTGGTACCTACTACATAGTTTTGCACTCTGCTTAGTTGTGCCTTCGACGACGGTTCGCCAGATTTGTTGCTCCCGGGGCTTTTCGCCGAGCAGTTATCAGATTTCGTCGAAATGAGGTTGGTTAACAGCACGAACGATCTGTTATCGGGTATAGCGTGACTCGTGGGGCTCGCATCACCGATCACTGGCAGGCCTGGCACAATAACATGGGCAACTATGGAAATACCAGGGAAAGTTTTGACGAGAGGTCTTACGGGAAAAGGCTACATTGGAGAGTTCCAGGCGGCCTTTAACCACTAACTAGTAGCTTTGAACCAGACCATAACCTCTTACCTACAAAGGTCAGAGCTCAAAACCCAGAACGGTTGGAAAGTTGGGGATGCCCAGAGTATTCTACATAGAAGTGCAAAAACCGTGGCATTGAGTTTGAGTTTGACAGGGCAAGACTCAGTCGAATGTATCACATGTACGTACTTGCGTATGTGCATACTCCTGTAGGTACTCCGGTGGCGTGACTCCACCATACTCATGCCGTGCATACGCCACGGCGGACATAATTTACTTTTTTTTATGTTTTACAAACGTACGATACGTAGAGTAGAGTGCGACTCTGGATTTGTATTTGTGGCCCAAGCACTTGGTTAACACTGCAGCGATATATGATATTCTACATAGCTATGATTTTGGACACGGCTCGGTTATCGGATACCCTCCGAGGCTGTGATGGCTACCAAACAAGATAGAGACTACTACTGGGACTAATGGGTGCTACTGGGTACTGCTGGGCCGGTTTCGGTGCGTGCTGCCGGAGTTTCAGCTGGCTTTGCGATTGATAGATAGATACATACGGTACTATAGGTACCTCCCTCCTCACCTGAAGGACTGAAGTTCTAGCTAACCAGAGCATTCACCGGTAACCGGGCAGACGGCTGGGCCTACATATTGACCAACCACTAGCGGCCAGCCCGCTCAACCAGCCGCTGACTGGTCCTGCCTGCCGAACGACACTGGCTAACCAGACCGGGTCTGTAGTAACTATCTTGCTCTCGCGGTATGTAGAGTACAGTCCGAAACAGCAAAGCTCTACAAAGTTCAAACTGGCCGGCTCGAATAGGTAGTGGGCGGCCTGATGGGGCGGGCCCTGTTGACGGCCTGTTGGCCAACCAGCCCGGCTGGAAAGCTCGTAGGCACCACTGCACCAGCGAAGCACGAGCACCAGGAAAGCACGAGAACGAGGTCGAGGCCCGTGTATACCTCTCACCTCCCACTGCCCAGCGGCTGGGTACTCTGGTTAGCCGCCCCAAAAGCTACCTACTAGATATCGTGCCTCCCGTCCTAAGTTTCGGCGATGGGACCAAGTGCAACCAGCCAGCAACTTTGGGTTCCAGGGACCAGGGCAGACAGAGGGGGAGCACGAGCGAGGCCGGGGCCTCGTTGGGAGGGGAGGGGAGAGGAGAGAGCATGCACACATGCATGGCATGGGTACTCTACATGACTACCACCAGGCAGGTCGATGGTTCAGCTGCACACACGGACTCATGGTTCCCAGGCTCTCTTCTTGCTTCTTCCTTCCTTCTTTCCCGCTGCGTATCGTTGGTTAGCTTTGGTTTTTGGTTTTTTGGTTTTTCTTTTCTTCTGGTTTGGTTTCTTTCCTTTTGTTTCCTTTTGCTTGCTTTGCTTTGTTTTGTTTTGTTTTGTTTTCTTCGTTCCGCTTCGTCTGATTCCTGAAAGGAAGGAAGATGCCCGCTACCTCCTAGTATGTACATATCTAGTTACGACCAACGTTTATCTGTGTGTCTACACCACCTACTCTACATATGGCCTAAGGTAGTCGAGACATCTTGACACATCGGAGAATATCTCCGCGGTTGCGGGGGAGGTAGGAGGTAAGAGGTAGGAGGGGAGGGGCCCGGCTTCACTGGTGGGTGACTAGACGGTCGGACGTTTTGCGTAAGTGCTCCGTGTCCAGTGTCCAGTCCGACCGTCTAGTTGTCTAGTCCGACCGTCTAGGTAGTTGTCCAGTCCGACCATCCAGCGTCCAGTGTCAAGTGTCCAGTGAAGAGCAGCCGGCCTGTCGTCCGCACTGGCGGCGGCGGAGGCCCTGCCCTTGCCCTTGCCCTGCCCTGCCACTGTCTATCGATCCGAGTATTTGTTACGAGAGAGCTCTGGCATACATAGGGAGGGAACATCTCTACTCTACTCTCGTTTGAGCACAATCGGCCGCAGCATCCAGGGTCCCGCCCAAACTGGATTAGGGTCGATACCCTCCCATCTCGGTGCTCGTGCTCGGTGCTTGCTCGGTGCTTGCTCGCGTGGTCTGCTCCGAGACATAGTAGTGATTGCCTAGACTGCCTAGACTTCTTTTGGGATTACATACATACCACATTGCTACCGTGTGTGTGTACAGCCGCACTTGGAACATCACCCGGTCAGCCTCCCTCGCAGAGTTGCAAAGTCGCAGCAAGCAGCCGACCCGGGGTCCGGGCCCGGGCCGTGATGTGTAGAAGCGATTTGACTCTCGACTGCTCCGGCTAGAATGAGCGGCCGCCTCTGCCGCGGCCGCGTTTCTCAGGTCATGTTCTGTCCTTTCCTGTCCTGTGGCACTTTCAAGTCGGTTGGTGCTGGCACTCGGGGGTTGTGATACGGATACCTACTACTAAGTGGTAGTTACAACGCAACGCAACGGACTCGAAGATTTGGAGAGATCATCTAGGTACTTAGGTACTTGGTTCTTGGGAAGTTGGGAAGTTGGAACCCCCCTGCCCTGCTGCGTCGCTGCGCGCATGTACGGTACGGTACGCGGGAAGTCAGGATTCATACTGGCAGTTGTGTACTTGGTGCCGGAGGCTGAAGCCCAATTCCACTCGCAAATTCTCATGACTTTGGCCCATGTAGAGTACTTCGGTAGTATAATAGCTGATATTGTTGGCATCGTCTCTATCCTGCCAGAAATCAGCACACTCCGATTTCCCGATCTCCACGATCCATACCTCCATAGTACTATCCGTATTATCCATACATACGAGGGATCATGCAAGGGACAGCAAGAGCAGGCGAAGAAAAGCAACGTAGAGTACTCTATTAATTTGATTTGCACAAGACCTTCCACATTGAACATTGAAGCCGTAGGTAAAGCATCTGTGGCCCTGTGGGACACGGGCAGTTATGCATAACGGCACAGCTTGTCGATTTGTTGGTCCGTGCTCTATTCGATCAGGATCCCCCTACATACATACATACCTATCCAAGAGGCCGGGGAGAGGGCGATAGTAGGTGGGTGATATATACCCCCCCTGGGCCCCGACCCCCGACCTCGACCTCCGACACCAATCGTCCAATTCCGCGGTGCGGTTATTATTACTGCTATTGCCTATTGCATGGTCCCTTGTTTTTCTTGCTCGTTAACTACCCAGTAGAGTAGGTACTCCAGATAGGGCCGACGAACGAACGAAAGGGCAGGAGGATGAGTTTGCGTCTGAGCCTTGAGGGAGACTCGAGAGAAGCACAGGGGTCACTGGGGTTGGTTGGGAACTTGGGCTGGGTGTGATTCGTGGTGACGGAACGGAAGTTGGAAGTTGGAACAGGGCCATTTGTGATGGATCATGTGGTGTCGGTAGGTTGCGACGGGGCACGACTCGACTCGACGGGGCGGTGGGCGGATTGTATGGTACCCTCACGATATATTACCTGGTTACCGTATCTGGGTGCATACAGTAGTCAATCAACATCCCTCGCGGCAAACAAGATTGATCCTTTTCCGCTTTTCCGCTTCCCAAGCGCAACCGCAACCGCAACCGCAGTAGCGAATTAGAATTGTATTGGCCCTACTGACACGGCGCCTGTCCAAGCATTGTGGATGGGGGCGGCGGCGCGGGGGCGGCGCGGGACGTGGCGGAAAGGAAAGGCTTGAAAGGAAACTATCCAGTTGATCATTTTTTGTCCGGTCTGGTTCGATGCCTGATGGGTCGCATATGACACCACCACCACCACGGACCACTGGCCACTCAGCTCAGCTGGCTGGCTGGCTGGCGAACGAGTCGCGGGAATTCGAACCGTGCGCGGCGTTCTGGGTTTTGAGTGTGGGTGGACAGTGTGGGTGGGTGTCTTGTTGGACGCGACGCGAGATAAACAGTTGCAAGTTGCAAGTTGCAACATCTCAGCCCCCAATCTAGTAGTTATGCCCATTGGCCATGATGGTCGGACGAACCAGGCCCATACTTCTACATGTGATACATAAAGGCTTATTTTGAAGAGGAAGGTCAGTATGTACATAATCTGGTTCCGCTGCGAGTGCGATCATGTGCGCAGAAAGGAGAATGCCAGCAGCCAGCAACCAGCTCAGCCCAGCTGTGAAACCGGATGAACCTGGTTTCTTCTCTCTAGGTAGAGTAAACGTTGTGAGCTCATTTTTTTGCGTTCATTTTTCTTTCTTTTTCTTGTCTTTCTTTCTCGGACGTTTTGAGGAAGCCCGCCGCCCGCCAATCAAATCAACAACTAATCATCGCGCTGGAACGCTGAGTGAGGAAGGGACTATTAGTTATGACGGCAGTAGCCGTGTCAAAGCCTTTACTAGAGCATATGTCAAGAGACCTTTGGTGCCAGATGCACAGGGAGCGGAAGGCCATGTGGATCAGGTACTTGCCTACAAACTGATTAGTTGCCTACATACTCGGAATCTCGGATATACAGCGAAATTGGAAAGAGTCCATCTCCTCCTCCTCCTGCTCCTGAGTCCTGACCGAATTAACTACTGTTCAATCAAAATTCCACACAGCCAGAGGGAGGCGTTCACACTGGGCGTTCACATTGGCATTCACATTAGAGTATTGGCGTTCGCATTGGCATTCCCCTCCTCACCCGGCCGGTTACGGTACGCGCACACTTGTGTCTGGATCCATCGTGCCAGTACTCTACGCAACCATCCATCGTTAGCGGTGGATTGCACACATCCACAAATCTGGGGGCGGAATAAACGAGTTTCAATCGTTTGATCCGGCTAACTGCTTGTGGCGGCTGCACGCCTACACATCTACGCCATATTTTTTTCCGGAGGAAAAATGCAGGCATGCGATGCGGAATTTTGAAACTGAGGTTTTGTGTATGTGTGTACGGAAGAATCCCGAATCGCCGGTGGGAATCTAGAGGATCCATCTATGTAACGTGTAGGCAGCGTGGGAGGTCTGCGTAGGTCGGTACCATGTAACTTCACTTCACCGGACACACCGCACCGCACCGCAGGCACGCTGCTTGCTCGCTCGCTGGCTCGTTCGTTCGCTCGCTTCTCCCGCCCACCGGTACCGAGCGCGTTGCCGGGAACTCTAATGCAAATCGATGATGGCCATGTTCCCAGCAGCAGCAGCCTAAAGTACTCTACCATATGTAACTAACCACCAGACTCCGCTTTGCCGCGAGCCTGCTGGATGCCTGGCTTTGGTCCATCAAATCCGCCACAAAACACATCCCATCCCACTTCAGGGTTTGTTCCAGCCCAACCACTTTCCCCCCCTCGCCCCTCGGTTCGGGGAGAAAGAAAGAAAGAAAGAAAGAAAGAAAAGAGAGTAAGAAAGAAAGAAAGAAAGCAGAAAGAAAGAAGAAAAAGAAAAGGAAAAAATAAGAGGACCAAGCAGCGATGCCACTCTCTTTGCACTGCGAAGTTGGGGCTGCTGGTGGTGGTGGTCGACTCGACGGTGTTGTTGGAGGGACCTATCCTGGCTGTTTCCCACGAACCACAATTCTCCTTTCCATGGTAGCGGGAAGTCTGGGGACTGCTCGCGTCAGTCTCTCTCACCGCCTGATCCTCACCTAGACTTTCTTCTACCTACCTCCCTCTCTACCTCTCTTACTCCCTCCCTCCCTCTCTCTCACTTTTCTTCTTCCCTTCTCCTCTCTTGCTTACCAATACACACGGAGAAGACTAGGAGAAGAACGAGGATCCCGATATCTTGGTTGCTATTGTCTTTGCCGTCGTCTCGCCGTCGTCGGGCCTGCGTAGGTTTGGATTTGGATCGCCGTTTCACCTCTTTGCTTTTCACTCTCTCCCTTTGAGTGGAGCGAGCGAGGGGAAGGAAGGAAGGAAGGAAGGAAGGAAGGAAGGAAGGAAGGACGGAAGGAAGGAAGGAAGGAAGGACGGAAGGAAGGACAGGATGAACCACCTCAACCACTCTGCCGCCGCCGCGCGGAATCAAGAGGACGAGGAAAGGGAATGGCGGGAGAAGGAGGACACTGAGTCGATAACATCGGACGACGAAATGTGGGCGCCGCTCCTGTCGGAGTTGCACCCTCCTCTCGCAATCGATGCCGAACTGTTTCGTCGCCGAGCGCATCACCACCACCACGCCGCCCGGACCACGACGACGACAACGTCGAGCGATTCCAACAACAGCACCAACAACAACACCAATACCGAATCGCAATTACCTCAAAGAGGCGACGAAACCAAACGGAAACCTGCCGTTGAAACATTGCTGTCGGAAACACCATACGAAAGCAAGCATCTCGATCGGTCATTCGGAAGTGTTTACCAACCACCACCAATAGCACCATCAACACCAATAACACCACCAGTACCACCACCAGTACCACCACCAGTACCACCACCGGTCCTCGAACACCCACCACTCGTTCTTCCCGTAACCGTTGACTTCGTCGCCGACGAATTGGCAGTCGACGAAGATGACGAAGCGGACGGAGAAATCTCCATCCTGACGTTGTCATTCCGCCGGTCAGGCTCGACTCAGCGTCACTCCACCGTGAACTACCACTCGAACACGCAATCTGGGCGCATATTCCGCCAACCACGATTACGACGAGTGACGTCGCGGCGATTAGCAGAGGAGGACGCTGCAAAATGTGGCAGCAGCGGCGACGCCGGCGCGGAGTTCGTTTCGACGCGGCACAAACGAGATCGTGATCGCATCCACAAGAGTTCGAGACGGAAAAAACGCCCGCGCAGGGAAATGCTGTCGGGCGGCCCCAACTCGTTCAACAAACAATCACCGCAGTTACCGAGCATTCTCGAGGACGATGATGGGTGCTCGATGGATTGGACGGAGAAGGAGGATCTGTGCCCCGAAGTGCTGGTCGAGAAGTCCGGCTGTTAGAGGGAGCATCCGTTCGCTCGGGTCAGAAGTGCTCCTTCTCGCATCAACATCCCATTACACCGTCACCTTACACACCACCACCACCATCGCCCTCCGTCGTACATGGGGGTCGTCGTCGGCGCCGCTTCGCCACATAGATCCTTTGCCCTTCCGGCCGACGCGCTCCTCACTCACTCCCTCCTTCCGTCCTCCTCGCGACACACATTCATCGCCGTGAATTTGAATTTCATTTATCTCTATAACGGCATCCCACATCATCACCACCCATCTCCTAGGCCGAACTTGTGTATCCATCCAACCATCTCATTGTCTCTTCGCATCGTTTAATAGGGGGAAGGGGGGCTACGGCTACGGTTACGGTATTCTTTGTCATTTTCACCGCTTTTGTTTTGTTTTGTTCTCGGGTTGTTTTCCATCATCTCACGGGGTTTTTCCTTTTGCTTCTTGCATACTATGTATTCTCTCTCTCTCTCTCTCTTATGCGCACATGCGCTGGTTCGGCGGTGCGAGAAAGGGACTCGAACCGCAAAGGAACCTGTATATTTCCTAACCCACTCCCTTCTTCTATGTATGTAGGTACTTACTGGACTCCAAAAAATCTTCTAGGTCTGTTTTGGGCTGGTTCTTGTTTTACGTTTTGTTTTTCCCCGGTTTTTTTTGTGTTTATATTATTATCATCTGCGGTCTTCCGTTTTCCTTTTTTTTTGTTGTTTTTGTGGATTTTGGATTTTGTAACATAGCCATCTTGCGGGCGTAACGGGGTGGGGTTGGGGGGTAACTATGGGATGGGATGGGATGGGGGGATGAGATGGGTTGGATCATGGCGGGGGCTTCTTGGTTGTTGGTTGGGTTGGCTTTTACTTTGGGGAACAAAATATCATCATCTTTTTTGCATAGACACACAACCTCTACACAGCTCTTTCGTTTTGTGTTTTGTGTTTTGTGTTTTGCGCGTGTGTGGTGTGTGTGTGGTGTGGTGGTTAACAAGTATGGCGGCCCCAGCGTTGGAACTTGGACTCGGACTTGGGATGGAATGTGGGGATCCTTCGGTACTTCGTTATTTCAACGGGCGGGGATGGTGTGTGTGTGTGTGTGGACACTTGGAGGGGGCAGGGATCTCCCGTAATTATTGCAAAGGGTGGATTTTTGCTGGTGGACTCCAGGTGGACTCAAGGTGGAGATGGAAGGGTCGAAAGGGTCGAATCCACCCTATCTAGCGTCTAGCGTTTCTTGCAGCCTGAGCAGTGAGATGAACCCACCCACCCCAAGAAGGAGTTGTTTGCATGTGTAGAGTAAGAGGGTGGTGGTGGTGGATGGGATTTGCCGCTCGGCTATCTCCCGTTGTTTACTTGTAGATCCTATCCTATCCGTTGCTGTTCCTGTAGGCTGTTCCCAAGCTGGTGGATAGAAGGAGGGAGATAGAGTAGGTTCGCTTTCACTTTCTGTCGTTCATTCATTCATCGGTAGCTACACATCAGCTGTTGATGACCAACCACGCACTCGGTCGGTTTGTCTCCCTCTCTCTTACTGGTGGTGTGGGCTATTTGGTGGGGTGGACCCGGAACCCGGCAAGTAGTAGTTAGGGCTTCTACACAAGTTCTGGGTATGTAGATACTCTACCTAGGGAGCCCGCGGAACTCCGATGGCCACTCGACTCTACAGCACTCCACAGTACCAACGACGTTGTCGCTGCGGTGCGGTGCGGTACGGTGCGCCCACATGAGAGGAAGTAGTGTTAGCTGCGCCCACTTCCTATGTAAGCTTAAGCCCTTTGGGAATCGGGCGTGGAAATGGGCGTGAGATGGGCTTGGATTGGGCTTGGAAATCGAAAATAGGCTTGGAAATGGGCTTGGAAATGGGCGTGGGCTTGCAGGCGATGGTGGTCCAGATGTTGGAGGCAGATGTGGAGCCGTGGCTTGTGGCTAGTGGAGTCGTGGCTTGGAACGTGGCTTGGGACGTCCTTCGGAGTCCGGAGGGAGTACTATGATAGACGCTGGGATACGCTGATACGCTGATACGCTGATACGCTGATACGCTGATACGCTGTTACGGTAATATAGGCGTGATAGACGCCGATGGCTGGTCTTGGGGTAGGTGGGTTGGTAACTAGGCGGCGAGGCGGCGAGGCGGCGAGGCGGTGGATGGTCTGGCAGGTCAGAGGTGGGGTCGGGATTCTGGTCTTATATGTGTACGGCGGAGGGGTTCGGCAAAGAGTGGTCGTCTCACCTGCGGACTCGATCCGTCGGCATGTGCGTTGTGAATGGGCTCCGACGGGTGACAGGTACTTGTTGCGGCGTTGGATAGAACACCGTAACGGCAAACATCATTGTTCCATCCTCGAGGTTTATATTCTATCGCAGGACCGATATCTAAACGCAAAAACCCAGATATCATACACGACCGCTCTCTCTATACATGTGTCTTCTCATCCGCCTTCCTCTTCTCGACCCTGACAACCTTATCGCAATTCAGCAGGCACAGCGGATCGAACGCCAATTTGAGACGTCTCATGGCATCGACCGCCTCCACGCCCAGCTCCTCGGGGAGGTAATCCCGCTTGATCAGCCCCACGCCGTGCTCGCCCGTCACCGTCCCCTCCATCTCGATCGCGCGCTTCACCATCCGGTGCACAACGCCCTCCGCCACCTCAGTCTCGTGCTTCCCAAACAGCAGGATGGCGTGGAAGTTCCCGTCGCCCACGTGGCCGACAATCGAGCCCAGCAGGCCAGAATCCGTAATGTCCTTCTTGGTCTCTTCGATGATCTGCGGCAGGTAACTGAGGGGCACAGCGACGTCGGTGGTCCACACCTTATCTCCATCGTTGCGCTTCATTGCCATAACGCTCCAGAGCGCTTCCTTCCGTGCGCTCCACAGCTCATGCGCTTCCACCTGGTTGTTTGCGAACTCGAACGATTTGGAGCCGTGCTTTGCCGCCATGGCCTTGACCTGCTGGATCTGCTCCTTGACGCCCGACGGCGTGCCTGTGAACTTGAGGAAGAGTGTCGGCGCCTCTTTCCAGTTGCGCGACGTGGTGCCCGACTCGTTGATGCAGTGCATCTGGACGTCGTCGAGGAGCTCGATGGCGGCGAGGGGCACGCCGGTCGCCATCACTTGTGCTACCGTCTCGGCGGCGGCTTTAATAGAGGGGAAGGAGGCGACGGCGACGGATTCGGATTGCGGCTTGACGGCGAGCTTGAGTGTGGCTTCGGTCACTAGTCCGAGCGTGCCCTCGGAGCCGATAAACATCCGGGTGAGATCGTAGCCGGCGGAGGACTTCCGCGGCCGCTGGCGGGTCTTGATAATTGTGCCGTCGGCGAGGACGACGGTGAGCGCAATGACCCACTCGCGCATGGTGCCGTAGCGCGCCGCGTTGGTGCCCGAGCACCCGGTTCCGACCATTCCGCCGATCATGGCGCCTGGGCCGGGGTCGGGCGGGAAGAAGAGGCCGTCCTGCAGCAGGTCCTCGTTCAGCTGCTCCCAGCCCACCGCCGGCTGCACAACCACGTCCAAGTCCGCCTTATGCAGCGTGAGGACCTTGTCCATCCGTCGGAAGTCGATGCACACGCCGCCCCTCGTAGGCGCAAAATGCCCCTCGAGCGATGTCCCGCCTGAGTATGCCGTCATCGGGATCCGCCGCCCGTGGCAGATCTTGGCGATGCCACTGACTTCTTCCGTCGTCGACGGATACAGGATCAGGAATGGCGTGTAGCCCGTGTTGTGGAACGAACTCCAGTCGCTGCCCGAGTGCCGCTCGAGCTCTTCGGCGGATGTGGTGACGTGCTCCGCCCCCAGCAGTGTGACAAAGTCGGCCCATGACGCTTCGAGATTGGATTTGCTCGTGTTGTGCGAGGGCTTGGTGAGTGTTGATAGCGGAGAGGTCGATGATGTCGGTGGTGCAACCGCCGAGGCGCTGCCGAGGTAGTAGAATGCGCCAGCGATGCAGACCATACCTTCGCACGGGGATTCGCATCAGCACACGCGACGAATCCTGATCGGGGTCGGAGGAAGTAGGGGGCAAACCGAACAATCCCGCCAGCGTAGAACTACTTGCGCCCGTCGCCCGAGCACCCTGGACTTTCCCAGCGAGCAGTCTGGTCTCGGTTCTCGCCTTCTCCTCCTGTACTCTCCTCGCGGTCGAGTCGTAGAGTTGTCCGCGGAACGTGCGATCGGGAATCTTTCCATTCGCCGGGTTTGAGTTTGCACGCACCTGCTGCAATGGCCGCAGAGCGTTTCGGCGTGCGCGTGTCGCCGCGCGGAGTGCGAAGTGCGCTGGCATCGTGTTTGGCTGGCTGTGAAGTCGACGATGGCGGGGCGCGGGGGATGAGGGCCTCTTATGCGGTGTCGTTGAAGTTGAGTTTCGGGCAACTGGGGTGGCGGAACACCCACCCCACTGACCCCACCACACGGCGGCTCGACAGCGACTATGCTACGGTAACTAGGCTCAGGCGGCCGCGCCGGATCGGACTTGCAAGTCCGCACACAACCCGCACGCTCCGGACGGAACCCAATGTCCGCCGGCTACGGTTTTGTTCGGACATATCCCGACAAGACTCAATGGCAATTGCAATGGACCCGAATGGGGCTTGGAAGTTGCGATTAGTTATCTCATGTCAGCCTGCCTATGACGAGTGGGCCGTCAACCCTTGCCCTGAGATTCCACATACCCAACTTCCAAGTGGTTATACATAAAGCTGCAAAAATACTCTGGAGTTCTAACTTCTGCTGGCAGACAGCAGACCTCGTGTAACGCCGCACCCGATCTCTCTGCGAATCATAGACGACATTTCCTGTTCTCAATGCATGCAAGTTGAGCTGTACCACCTGCGGCTGAAGGGCTGAAGAACTCCCGTCACACAGACAGCCTTCCACATTGATATACCGTGAACATCTCCTCAGCTTCACGGATATGTACCACAGGTATTGGCCGAGCTCGTAATCGCAGACCATCATCTAGCGCAATGCCTCGCACCTACATCCCCAATCCGACCCTGCCCCAGAAAGCCTTCTACCTACTGCTCCTCTACTTCTGCAAAGTTACCTGGTCACTCGCATACACTCTCGTCCCTCCCTTCCTCCCAGCGCTCTTCCCCCCACCCACCCAAAAGAAATCCTACCCCCCCTCCCGCCGCCCGGTATGGTTCTACCACCCTACCACCTACCCGCCACTCCACGGCCGCAAACTCCCACTATACATCAACATCCACGGCGGCGCGTTCACGTACGGGACGCCTCGGAAAGACACCCTCTTCTGCAGCCGCCTCACGTCGCAACTCTCGTGCCTAACCGCCTCCATATCCTACCGGCACGCGCCTCGGCACCCATTCCCAACGGCAATCCACGACTGCGCCCTGCTAGTGGAGTGCATCCTCTCCGACCCCGAGTACGCGGAGATCATCGACCGCTCGCGGATCGTCGTGGGCGGGTTCTCGGCAGGCGGATGTATCAGCCTTGCGCTGGCCCGCCTACCCGCGCTGCGCGAGACCTGCAAGTTCGCCGCGGTAGTCGCGTGGTATCCAAAGGTTGACTGCACGCTCACGTTTGACGAGGAGTGTGTAGGCCTACCGCACGAGGACGTTGATCACACGATGTGGCTTTTCAAGCCCGCGTTCGAGTGGGGCGGTGCGAGAGGCGTGCGCTTGGATGATCCCCTGCTAAGCCCCGCGCTCCACGTGGCGGCGGAAACCCTGCCTGCGAGGGTAATGGTCGTTGCCGGGAAGAGGGATATGTTCGCTGCTGAGTGCGAGCGGTGGGTTGAGGATGTTGTGGCGCTTAGAGGGGGGCGCGAGGAGGTGGGTAGAGAGGGGCGCTGGAGGAAGGTGTGTGGTGATGGCGGGAAGGTCGTTGGCTGGTGGGTTGAGGGCGTGGGACATAGTTTTACGCATAAGATCCCTAGGGGAAATACGACCGAGGTGTGGAGGGTGAGGGAGGTCACGAAGGAGGTGGTGGAAGGCGTGGGGGAGTGGGTTAGGGACGTTTTCGACGGGACGATTTAATCGTGATGTACATCAATAGAGAATCGCGGTGAAGTTGTGGCCAGTAATAGACTCTGGGATTCGGTTGCCCTGTGGTTTCTTCGTACTGGTAGCCATACGGGTTATTCGCTGTAGTGGGGTGGGAGGGTGGATGAGCAAGAGAAGAATCGCGCTGGAGAGAGCAGAAGATTACGGACCACACCTTGAGCCAGATCCTGCTGTCAAAGTCAATGTGTCCACGCAGATAATTTGCGAATCAGAGTTTAACCCCGGAAACAAAGATTAAACTCATCAAAAGAAAGTGTACAGTACTCTCAGGCTTCACCTTCAACTTCCAAGCCTAATACAATCCGGTCCGGTCCATTCCGAGTGAGATCTGTGAACCGGGTTGCGGCTGTCAGCTGGCAGCGTCAATGGGAGCCTTGAGGTCCCACTCCCATGACCATTGGTCCCAGCCGGATGTGCGAATGGGAGCTGCGAGTCTAAATGGCAGTGCGAGAGGGAGAATACTCGGTACTCAGGCCAAGCGGAACCAACGAATGGGTTTATTCGGGTAAGTTCCAACCCCGCCGTATTGACGAAGTCTGGAGTGCTTACATCCTATCTCGCAGCTTCAGTCGGAATACGCCATGTTACATATGTGGATCAAAAACCTCGTCCCCTCGCTATGAAGCCAGGAAGACGATGTTTTTGTTTTAGAGGAAACCCGCAGGTAAAAACCCGGTCCACGTAAGGGCGCATTCTATCAGTCTGCTCTGCTCTTGCCACTGCCGTTGTGCTCTGCTCTTGCCGATGTGAAGAGAAGAGGAGAAGAAGGGAAGGAGAGTGGAGGGGAAGGGGGTTTTATATGTGGTCCGGGGCTTGGAAGGTGGAACTTCGACACTGGTGTATTTTGTGTTTTGTGTTTACGTGTTGCAAGAGCATTCTAGAATCAAGCACTCCGATCTGTTCCTAAAGTATCCACCAGATCACAGCCGGACAAAAATACCCCAGTGAAACTTACGAAATTCCATTCATGTCCCTCCCAGACTCCTGCGCTGGGTCTTGGTTTCACGAATGCTCACTCGTCGCCGGTGACCGGCCCGCTCGCCTTCCACGGGAACAATTAAGTTTAAATTTTTTCCCTCAATGCAGCCAGGACATTCTAGCCTTCCTTTCCTCCACTAATGTGGGCAGGCAGATATTAGAGGCTGGTGAGAAAGATGCAGCAAGTGAGGTGTCCGAGTGGGAGCTAAGGGAGCGGGAAGAGAGGGAGGAGCTGAGGCGACTCGAGGTTGAGGAGGGTGCTGAAGTTGAGGAGCCAGGGTCACCTCCACTGTTCCTTCCCACTGCAACCCCCTTCGTGGCATCCCATTCTGAAGCGACAGGAGGCGAGGCGGATTCGGGACTCGCGGTAGAGTAGGGGCGAGTCGACGGAGCGGACGTTGTCTTCTCCTAGTGTTATTCCTTTGGTGCGTTTATATTTGTCAGGCAGTCGTGTCGGGTTGAATGGTTATAGTGAATCTCGCAGTTTCAGTCATAATACGCCATAAGCGTGGATCAAAAACCTCACCCCCTCGCTTTGAAGCCAGGAAGACAATGTTTTTGTTTTAGAGGAAACCCGAAGGTAAAAACCCCGTCCACGTAAGGGCGCATTCTGTCAGTCTGCTCTGCTCTTGCCACTGCTGTTGTGCACTGCTCTTTTCAAGTGAGGTGAAGAGGAGAAGAGGAAAAGGAGGGAAGGAGCGGGGAGGAGGGGTTTTTGTACTTGGTGCGGGGCTTGGAAGGTGGAACTTCGACACTGGTGTATTTTGGGTATTGGGTTTTATGCTTTATACTTTAACGTTGGGGGAAACCGTGTTGCGAGAGCATTCACACACTCTAATCCGTTTCTACCATCTACTAGACCACAGTCGGCCAAAGATACTCCTAAGCCGGCAGCGACACTTACGGACTTCTGTTCCTGTCTCTCCCAGACTCACATGCTAAGTATTGGGGATACAGTTAGTTAGTACTTGACACGGGTTGCTAACTCGTCGTCGGTGACCGGCCCGCTCGCCTCCCACGGCAAGAAAAAGAACTTCCCCCCCACCCCGCCGCCAGTTTAGACAGCAAGTCCAGAGTTCCTTCGTGATGCCTCTTGTCATTCCCTTCACCTTGTACGCCAGCGGCGTGATGTCGGGACGGGACTGTTCCAAGAGCCATGTCTCGGGTACCGCCCGACGTCTGACGCCCGATGTCAGCCGGCGGAACCACCAGCTTCCAAGCCGACTAGATATCGGACCCAGACTTCCAGAGACAGGAACTGACTGGCTGCGCAACACCAAGCAACACCAAGCAACGGCGAACAGCCAAACAGCCAACGTCGAATTAAGGGCTCCGCAGGGGTAAATTTATTTTTATATGACCTTTAAGAATTCATATCCTCATTCATTCATTCCAGGAATGAATGAGAAGTGAAGTAATTCATGGCCATATAAAAATTAAGGCGTACGCACCGAAGCAAAGCACTGAAGCACACAACTGCGCCACAACTGCCACTGCCACTACCACTGCCACTGCGGACGTGCGCGTGCGCGCGCCAGCTCGAGTATGCGTATGTAGACACTCGAGTCTCGCACACGATAGAGTACCAGCCACTCCCAGCCACTCCCAGCCACTCCCAGCCACTCCCAGCCACCCCCAGCCGCCCCCAACGAGCGTAACTACCTTCTCGCCGGCTGCGCTCCCGACGGATGTGGCAGGGGGAGGTTGAATCTTCCGCACCGCTGCGTATCCGTAAACTTATCCCCCCCCCCTGGTTCGTGCTTGCGGTAAGCGACAGATCTTCCCGCGGCGGCCCGCAGGCCGCAGCACTGCAGCAGCCACTTACGGGCGCGCGGGCGCGCGGGCGCTCGGGGCGAGGAAGTGCCGTCGTCTTGGGTTCCCGTGTATATAGTGGGCTCTAGAGTGGACGTGTGTATGTATTATGTACCCAAGGTAGGTAGGTAGGCATACGTGAGTAGACGTGGGTAATGGTCTGATTGTTGATTTAGGCTCGAGGGAAGTACAATGGGGAGGTGGTGGGCTGGGCATGGGAGGTCACTCACTCACACCACGGGTGTGTCGCCTTGGTTGGGGTTTTGGCTGTGAGGAGGATCCTGTCGACGGGAAACGGGGAGGAAGGACATGCACCGTCATGATCTCACGGAAGGCTGGATCCGAATACTACATATCTATAATCAAACAAACAAGACCGTATGTAGGATGATACTCTTGTTGATGTAATATCATACGGTACATACTTGATTGGACGGACAACTACTTGAGCGACAATTCCCAGGAAGCAGTTGATATCGATATTTACGGGCCCACTGCGTGTAGATGGCAAACCCATCAACTTTCGTACATGAAGAAAATGAGAAGGAAAAAAACATCGAAGCAACCCAAAAACACGCCAAAGCTCCCCCCACCGAACACCGTCTCGCGCCGCACGCCCGCCCGCCCCGAAAATTCGAAAACACCAACACCGTTATTTTTTCCCCCAACAACAAAACTGAATAGAAGCCCGCGCCGATATGTTATATAATATTGCGATGTGACACATGCGTGTAAAAAAAGAGATGAAAAAAAAGAGAGAAAATGGAAATGACAAGACATAGAAGTAGAAGTAGAGTAATATATGTAAGGTTCGGAGTGGGATTTGGATAGGAAAAAATCTACAGATCTACAGGCCCGTGAGAGAGGTATGTAGGTGTTGGGGGATATGTGACGAAATGAAATGAACAATGAATGATATGGCAGGATCCCGCCCGAGCCTCGGGAGGCCTTGATGATGTGTTGAAGAATGAAATGGAATGTTGTGCCCTCCCCGTCCGCCGTCCAAGTATCCGTGGAGATAGTTGGTATGGAGACGGATACACACGTCAATGGTGCTGGTGAGCATGTTGACCATCCGACAAAATAGGAGCCGCCGCTACTGGCACTCCACCGCCGCTCCCATCCCCTCGGTCCGCAGTAGCCATTATCGCTTTCTTATCCCTCTCGCGCCTTCTCTTGCCGCCTCCCTCCTTCTCGCCTCCCTCCTTCCCGCGCTGATTCCTCTTCCTCTTGCGCATCTGCTTCTTCTTGCATATTCTGACACGGTCAGTCGTCGCCCTCTCCAGCAGGCACAGCTGGAGCGAGGCCTCATCCGCAGTCGGATCGACGTCCATGTCATCATCGACCACCAACTCCTCCTCCTCCTCGTCATCCTCCACCCCTTCGTGCCCGGCCAAGTGGCTGTGTTTCGGGAGATTGTCGTTCCTCCGCTGCCGCGCAGTGCGATAGACCATGGCGACGTTGGTACCCCATCGCCCGCGGCGCATGGCCAGCACGTCGGGGATCGCAGGCGGAGCGTACACGTCTGCTTCCGGATCGATCTCGTCGTCGACCTGGATGGCTGAGAAGTGCGAGACAAGCTCATACTGCGGCGAATTGCGCCGCGGGGGTCGGTAGTCGTCGAGATTTGGGACTTGCCTCGAGCGCTTGATCGTGTCGAAGCTAATGCCGGTGTCGATTTCAATGCCAATGTCGTTGTTAATGTCAGGGTCGACTTCAATGCCTGTGTCGTGCGTGGTTTCCAAAAAGATGGGCTGGTATTGAGGTTGCGGCGCCGCCGGCAGAGGTGAAGATGTCGATACGTCCAATGGGGCAGGGTGCTGCGGAACAAGAGGCGGAGGTTGCGGTGGGATAAAGGTGTGCATCAAGAGGTCGAGGAGGGGGGATACGCACTATGGACGACTCTCCATTCGTGCCCGACTATGTAACACAAACGTGAGTCGACGACGGAAATTGACTATGGTTTTGAGGCGTTAATATCCTCAGATAAGCGGCAACCACTCTGTCCCCTTCCGTCCTTCCGTCCTTCTATCCCCCCGAAACTCCTCCTCTCGCACCGATATCCCTCTCAGTGAGGGAGTGACCCGAGCTGATCCTCTCTCTCTCTCCTTCTCCCTTCTCCCTTCTCCCTTTCCCTTCCTTCCTTCGCTAATTGTCACCTCGATCAACAGCGTTGCGGGCGGTGGTAAGGAGCGTGTTGAGTCGCAAACATCTGATGCAGGGCTGAAGTTGTAGGTGTGTAGTACCTTCGGCTCGGCGGAGTGGCGCTCGAAACCAAGCAAGTTGAAGGGAGCGGGGAAAACCGAGGGGGAGGCGGGACGGGTAGTAGTATTAAGAATTGTTCGCGTGTGTGTGTGGGTGTGTGTGGGTGTATATATTTAAATTTATTTCGTGGTTGTTTTGAGCGGTCGGGAAGAAGGCACCGGCCACTCGGTACACGTAGACAGAGGGAAGGGGAGGGAAGGGAAGGAGTTTAGGGGGTGGGGGAGGGGGGGAGGAGGTCTACATAGGAATAGGGAATACCTAGGGAATAGTCGGTTCGATATTGGACATGCGGAACGAGCATCGCTAGCAAAGCAAAGCTGCAGAATTCATGGCCGACAGCTGAAAAAGCAATGAATGGGGAGTGGTCCGTTCAGCACAGGTTAGCGGGATTTGGGGGGGAAATTCCACAGGCCATGGGAGGTTCGCAACGTTGCTTGCTTGCTTGTTGGAGAGGGGTGTGGATGGTGAGAAGTGGTATGCAACTGCTCTGGACAGCTGCCATTGCTTCTTTCGTTCTTTCTTTTTGTCGGGACGTGTCAGAACTACTGTGGATTGGAAGCGATGCCGGCGGGTCAAAAATGAGCTTACAAGAGGGTCTCCATACGTATGGAGGCCTCACTCTCTCCTCTTGACCCCACTCCTTGAAACCAGGCTAGCCAGCTCGACGCTTGCACATAGGCTCGATACTGATAGGTAGTTGGTTTTAGCACATTCTCTACACAACTACTGCACTGAGCATAACTAAATGATACATATACACATGGTGAACGGGTGGAGAGGGTGGCGGGCGATCGAACGTGGCGGGCAATCGACAGAGAGGACATAGGTACGTATAACCCACATGGTGTCTGGAGGAACTACTAGTACGGCACTAACTGGAGGAAAGGAATCTTCACGCGCGACTACATATCCGACTGGCAGCCAACTATCTCTCTCGCTGCAAATCGTGTCCGCTCGTGGAGGAGTTGGTGCTGATTCCCGTCTTGTAGCGCCACTGGAGCACTCTCCATGCATACCTGCTCCACGAGTCGGAAACGACAGAGGCGTACGCCGCACATACATACACCTTCTCGCACGACGTGGGACTGAAGAATCGGTGCGATGTTCCAATGCATAATAGGTAAGTTTGCGGTGCGGGCGCATAGAGCAGGAATGCCTACTATGCCTACTATGCCTACTATTATACCTACTATTATTACTACTCTATCACTACTTTACAGGCTTACCAGAGAAGGGAGTGTCCGATTGGTCTGTAGGTATGCGGCGCGGTCGCACTTACCGGCAGTGTGGATCGCTTGCTCATTTGTTGACTGCTCGTGGACCTCATCCGCGATCCCCGAGTTGTCGGATCGAGCGCCAGACTGCTGGTCTCATGGTCCGTCCGTCCGTTCCCACACGCTTCACACACACTTGCGTAGCGGCCGGCGAACCATCTACTAACCAGTACCTAGATACCCACTCTACTCTACTCTACTACCTATGGTTACGGAGGTGTAGTAAGAGCTTGCTGCTGCGGCCCGCAAAGTTGGTTGGTCCCCAGGACCGTGTTGGTTTTCGAACGGGCCCCACAGACCCCTTTCGCATGTTTGGGTCAGCTACTCTGGTTAGAGTCTATAGCACCTCTACCCGAGGATTATTCTTGTTACCGTCAACTACTATGCTAAGTACTTACCTAAGGTACTCTACTCCACCTGCTCGGCCATGGCCGTTGGCGTCTGGCGGAGGTTGCGGAGGACTACCTATTAGATGGTAGATACATAACTATGACATGTACCGCTGACAGCAGGAAACACTAGTGACCAGTCTCCGACCCGCCAAAATTTGTCACGGTTCCCCTCCAGCGCTCAAATGGCATAGCTCTAAGCAGTCGGTCACCTCGGGGCAGTGCTTTGGGCCGTGTTAGTTAGCCGTGCACAAACAACGCTGGCCACGACGACGACACGACGACGACTTGGCTGCGTTGCAGCGTTGTTGGCGGCCTGTAACTATAGGTACTACATATCATACGTATAGGTACTACAGTACCTATACGATCCGATTCTTATCCCACGACCACGCGTCAACATCCGAGCCCGACGGAGCGTTGAGAGTATCATATGTGCCTAGGTACTTGGATAGTTATCGTCTCCCCTCCGAGTCTCCGACGACGCCACCACCGACTCGCGAGTTCGCCGCAGATCAGACTGGGTATGTGCCGTACTGTACAAAATACCGAACATGGCTGCCTGTATGTAGTCTGTAGCCTGTTGCCTGTAGTTGAGTTCCTCGGGTTCGGCCCGCCGTTAGGTTACGTATGTATGTAGTGTACTCGCACTTGGGTATGTATCATACCCGACCCAACCCAAGGGCCAACCCACAACCCAAACCACACTTGTCCTTCCTTCCGGCACATGCCTTTTTGATGGCGGCGGCGGCAAGCGAAGAATATTGCATCGAACTTGCAGCTGCCGGGGAGTGGGGAAGGGCCCAGGGGAGGGAGGGGAGGGGGGGGGGAGCATCATCGGAGCTCCGAAAAAAAAGTCCAGCGCATGAGACATCTCCAAGACTCCAAGCTGCTAAGATACCCTGCGGAATCCTGCGGGACAGGGGGGAGAAGATTAATGTGCCATCCGCTAACTGTGATACTCATGTATAGTATCCTAGGTTTATACCCCCTCTGGGGCCCAGATAGGGAATTGGCTGGGAGTTTGAAGCTTGGATGGGCGGCTATGAGTGTGGCAGTGTGTGGCGTTTGGAAAGGCGAGGAAACATCGAAAGCGAGTCGAGGCGAGTCGAGTCGGCTAACGGATCTTGTGGAGTAGTTGTCGACTTGGCCCATCAGAGTTCGTCCACTCGGTCAAGCAAGACATCCAGACGAAACGGAGAGGACTAGGTATCACAACCACCTAATTGCATACCAAAGGGAGCCGAAGAACGGCCGCAAGACTACTACCTACTAAGAAGCATGTACTTGTACTCTACTATACATGGATGGCTGGGCCGGGTTCAAAAGGAACGGTCTTGCACGCACCCAGCTTACATATCAGTCGGCAAATGACTGGGTCAGTGGACAGCGATAAGTCAGGCCGTCAACATCTCAGACTTCAATGTCTATACTACAGTTTCATACCAAGTGCCTAGGTACATACTGTCCCAACATCTGCGGCCCGGCGGGTCGTGCAAGCCATCCACAGACCGTCTTCCCCTGCCGATATATGGGGGGGGCGAACCCAGCTTCAGCCCAAAGCGTCTACTCCATATATTCTACAAACTCTGTGGCCTGTCTCCCCACCAGGTACCAGTACATGCAACTACCTACCCAGTACTCTGCGTAGATTTGTTTCCCAACCACGGGTAATCCCACCCATCCCAATCTTACTTTACCGGTTAACGGATCCCTAATGCTGACGATTGATGGATACCGGTAGAGTACTCTAGACTCGTCTCTCCAGAGTAGGTGGTACTCCCGTAGGTACATACCTTCCCAGACTCCCAGTGCCCACCCCTTTTCCACCAAAAACAGAAACGCACCAAACTGTCGGAAACTCGCTCGGTTGTTGTCCGCCCGCCCCTCCCTCCTCCCCCTCTCCGGGACTACCGCATGCACTGGAACCGCGGGATAACCACCTACATACCTGGAGTAGAGTGAGGGGTGGGAGGGGTGAGTTTCTCTGTTGCAGGCTTGCAGCCTTCTTCTTCCCGGCTGTTCCTCTTCACATATCTAACATCCTGGCCCATCCCATGTAGAGTAGGTAAACGCGTCACACGCGCGCTCACTCCTGCGGCAGATCTGCATTGGCTCGGCGGAGGTTGTCGGCGAGTTCCGTTGCTCCCCCCTCCCTCCCCTAAAAAAATAAAATAGAAAAGCCCGGACACGGCGGGTCGGGCTTGACTTGGCCCGTGGGCACCTTGAAGATCCCGCCGCAGTTTTGGCGCCGTTGTCTGCCAGCGAGTACGAGTGCGAGACCCACCACTGACCTACCTAACCGAGCCGAGCCACCCATCACCGGGTATGGAGAGCGGAGATGGGATTTCGAATGTACGGTGGATGGTACGTACGTACGTATCTACATATGGGTCTTCGAGTAAAGTTCTCCAGACGTACCTACTCTACAGTAAATACCGGCCGCATCGAGCTGCGAAATCTAGGTACTGTGTACGCGGGCGGCCGGAAAGTCCATGGCCCCCGGCCCCCCTTGCAATCTGTGGCTCAGCCGCTTCTCGTTCGATACTCTGGGTAGATAAATACCTAGAACAGTGGCAGAGCCACAGATTTCAGCAGGGGGTGTAGATAGATAGCTGTGGATTAGGAATACCTCTCGAGTCTCGAGTCTCGATGGGGCGCGCTTGACGGCGCACCTCCGTTGACACTGGAGCGGGGCATTCGCCAGAAGTCGACTTGTTCCGTGGCGAGCAAGGGGAGAATCGAACGGATTATCGAACCATCGCGGGAGAATACCCAGAATACCCACCGGAATGCATCGGATCCGGCGCCTATACTCATGTACTCATGTACTCATGTATGTGCACCACTCTATTTCTTCGCACAATCTCCATTCCCGTGTGCACGGCTCCGGGATAACCAAAACCACCCATAATAGAGTACGACCCAGCCCGGGAATTTTTTACTACGCTTATTACTTACCCACACACTCGCATTAGTTAGAAAATGCTCTTTGCGGACAGACAGACGAGATCTCCCCGCCCGGTAACTACTCTACGGAGAGTGCTTACCTCCGCCTCCTCCTCCCCATTCTCCTCCTCAACGGCAACGGCAAGTGGGCGCTCTACCTACCTACCGGTACCTATCACACCCTTGAACTCGAATCCCCTCTCCACACACCCCACCCAACCCAATTAACCCCACGACTAACATCGCATACCACTCTACATACCTCCCCACCCAACCTTCTGGACTAACTAAAGAATTCGAATCCGTGAATCCCATCAAGTAGTTAGTACCAGCCAGCTGTCCTGCGCATACCGTAAGACCCGAGATTCCCCCGAGCAGCGCTCAACCAATAGTCAAAAAAAGAACGTCACGTTACAGAGTCTACATATAGTACATACTACACACGTACTTTGGTACATAGCAGATATCCAACGGGCGGCGGTGCGGGGCGGGTGATCAGGAATGATCGAAGTATAGTACCCCCAATTGGCAACAGTCAACTGGGAATCATATCCACGAGAGGATTCCATTTCGGAAACCCTCACCATACTGTCGAGTTTCGAGGTCGCATGTGGCGCACCCGAGAACCTGCGTGCACCTACATACTCCACTCTGGGTACATACACACGTACATCGGGAGTGGGCGGGCGAGCGGGCACGCGAGATCACTCGCTTTGCGGGGCCGAATGTGGACTGTGGGCGGTGAGGCGGCGGCCAGCTCACTGCATCGACGAATGGCGGGGAAAGTTTAGGTGGAGGTAGAGGTGGAACCGTAGATGTGGATGTGGGCGGGTGGAGAGAGACACGGGACGGTCCCGATGGATAAGGATCTGATCTGACAGCCTACAGGCCCGCCCGATTGGTTTCGCTCGCCCAGATTCCAAACTCCAGAGTCCAGAGATCGGCGCCCGTTGTCGCTTGGAATCAATCGGTGACATCTTTCATATCCGCACACGGCTCACCCCTCCCCCCGTCGATTACGCCCACTTCGATACGCCCACTCCATGGTACTCTACTATATGTATCGATGGGACGGTTATCCCGCTCTCGCAGACGACTTGCCCCCCACCTCCCCCCACCCCCACCCCCGCCGCCCCGCTTCGGTATCTGGGGCCACCGCGTCGGTGCGATGTGGGCGCGCACCTGCAACTCATACATACCTACATCATCCCCTCGGGTCGAGACTATCCGTCCGTCTCTGGAGCAGATGGCTGGAGTGCGAACTTGCGAACATGCGAACCTGCGAACCTGCGACGAACCGTGGTGGTCTCGACGACGACTTTCTCCTCCTCTGTTGTGGGTGTGGGGGGTTGGTACCGTGCACGAATTCCTCAGAGAAATCGTCGCGATGGTGGTCGTGGTGGTGGTGGTGGTGGTGGTGGTGTTGTGGGTTTATTTTTTTCCTTACTAGGGCATGATACGGACCTACGGACCTACCACGGTACTGCGGCCCCACTGTGGACTGGACTGGACTGGACTCGATCGGCTGGTACACCTGGGACATGGTTGCCATCGGAATATCGGAATATCTATAACTAGTACAGGGTCCCGGGTAGTTGAGTGTGACTCGTCTTCTCTTTCACTCTCTACAATCGTCGACACGTCGCCGCCGCGGAGCTGGAGAGCTGGCGATGTCGAAGCTATGTTTACTAAATATCTGTTTCGGTCGGTGATTTGAGGGGAGGCACGGACCGGAACGTGAATTGTTACTTCCGCCGTCGTAACTAGTGGTTAGTAGTGGTCGGTAAGCCCGATCGAGAAGGTACTAGTTAGTAGATGTGTACCAACCGTTGACGCCTAATCCTGGCTCTGCCGACGGTTGTTGATCACTGGTGCGAGTGAGAAGTGGCGACGATTGAGATACTCGATGGGTTCCGATAGAGATTGTAGGAGCCTGAGGGAGAGATAGTTATGGGCTGGTGAATCGGGGGTTTTCAACTATGATAGAGTAATCGGATCGAGCGACTACCGGTACCCCAAACTAAATGGCAGATATGATAATAAATACGCTCCCAGAAAACACAAACCCTCTCCGCCACTCCAGATCCTCGTTGTACATAGCCTCCGGAATCATCCGCCCAACGTTCTCCAACCGATCAGTGCTGAGTATTGATCATTGCAACTTGTAAGTGGAAGGTGGCTGGCATTGCACCGAGTACGTAAGTACCTACCTTGTAGCTAGTCACGTAGTCATCGGTCCTCGGCGGTCCCGGAGGTCAGGCCAATAGTATGAGCTCCGGGTCCGATTAGAAATCCGATCCAGCGCACTACTTCGACGGCAGAGTAATGTGTGTTAAGCGGAGCGCAGAAATGGGACCAGTTCAGTTGTGCTCTTGCTTGCGACGTGGTCTGCTGACTGACTGACTGACCTGGTCAGAACATCGCTGGTACCATACATGGTATCTCCATGATTGCATTCCTTAATCCGACAGATATCGGGCATGCTACGTCCCAGCTGCGTTCTACTACACCCGCACGGATTCCCCAAAGCTTCTCGCTGGGCTGCCCTGTCCTGCTTCCGGATGGGCAGAATCCTCAATCAGACCGACTTCCACCCAAGATTCCAAGAAGAGCGCCCTGGGATGTGTGCGTACGTAAGAGAGGCCTTTTGATACCGGTATGCACTCCCATTCACGGTTCACCTGCCACCTTAAGGTCACGGATTCTACCATGCACGTGTTCATTTGGCCTCACTCGGCTAGCAGCGAAGGAATGGGATCGTTATGACCGCGGTTCTCGACCAACCCGACCCAACACACTCCGCGACTCGGTCATCTTATGCCCCCCCCCCCCCCCCCCCGCCGCCGCCGTCGTGGGGAAATAGGTACTGCTACTGAGACGATGCCAGGGACGATACATCATCGGCAGTCACGAGGATCACACCACACCATTCATGAGGTTGCACTCGTGTGTCAACAGAGGTGCAACGGTACTTCTCCGTGGATAGGTGCGCAATCAATGAACAAACGAAACAAGCAAGGTGAGTGGCTGGCTAGCAACTTCAAACTGTCAAAAAGCCACTTACCTACCGAGAGCGCCCTAGACTCCCGGGTTATGTTCACGAAAAGTGCTCATGATATAAGTGAGCTTTGATACTCATTGAACACAGTCTCGATTTCCATACTGGACAACAGCTACATTAAATAGATACATGGTACAACCGTTACATTCGTTTGAAATTCGTTACACCTCCGCACTCCTTACTTGACGACGATAGCGCTTCCCTGCGGCATCCTCGCCTCATACTCAAGCGGCAAATCCAGATCGCCGCCATTATCCATGCGCAGCTCCCACAGTATCTCACCATTCTTCCTCATCTGCGCGGTGCCCAGCTTACTCTTCGCGGGGGCGACAGCGACCTGATCGCCCTCGTCCCTGAGGCCGCGTGGCTGCAAGAGTGAGATGCGTAGCCTCTCGTCGTCGCTGACGGGGACCTGATCGAGCACGAAGATCTTTACGGGGCCCTGGCGGGCGTTGTGGATGCGGATGGAGCGGCAGTAGTTGACTACGTTCTCCTTCATCATGATCATGCCCTGGCTGCTGGACTTTTTCGAGGGCTTGGAGTAGTGCACCTGGATGCTCTCGTCGACGCCGAGGCCGACGTCGAAGTGGTCGCCGGGCACGCACAGCGGAATCGACGTGTTGCCCATGAACGAGCCGTCGAGAGTCAGCCCGGCTTTGCCGTGCAGGAAGGTGACGCCCCCCGCTTTGGGGTTGATGACCCGCGCTTTGAGGAATACTGACGAGCGCAGCTTGGGCACGGCGAGGTGAGAGAACTCGACGGTCGGGAGCGTCACGTCTGTGATTATGTGCCGCCGGATGAGCTTGGACGAGGTGATGGTGCGCACGCCGGGGAGATCGTAGATGGTCGTCATCCCGTGAGACTCGGCCGATGAGGTGGCGACCTGGAGTTTGGCTAGCTCTGCGAGTGGGAATCTGGAGGAGGGGCCATCACTCGGGGGTGGTGGTGGTGATGGTGGCGACGCCCTCTCCCTCTCCCTGTGAGCACTATTAAATCGCGTCAAGCGCCTCTCATCATCGGAACTAGGCTCGGCGGCTGCCCGGTACGAGGATGATGATGTGGTGGTGGCGGTGGAGACCCGCTTTTTTTTCGCCCGCAGAGCGTCGCGAAGGGCTTCGGGGGCAGTGTTGGTAGCAGCAACAGGGCTGTAACTAGGACTAGCAGGGTTGTAACTATATCTAGGTCTGTAGGTGTCTTTCACAACGTTCACCGTCTCCTGCGGCATCGACGACTGCGTAACAGCATGTAGCTCCTTTCGCAGTTTGACCTCCGCCGGTGACAGAAGTCCTCCGTCGTCCCTGACTTCCCTGCTGGAGGCGCTCTGCAAGGTGACATTCCACGCTGCCATCCAGGGAACCTTATCCTCCAGGCCGCTGAAGGTATTCTGGCTCGTCGAGAGTGTAATCTTCGCATCCTTCCAGGTCTCTCCGGTCCGATTGGTGTAATGCGCACGATACGTCAGCGTCCCCTGCTGCTTCGTGGAGTCGAGCCTGAGATCGTAATGCGGCGTCCACGACGCACCGCCAGTGATATACGAGATCCGCAGGTATGGCAGCTCCCTGACGGGCATCTCGTCGTCCTCGGGCTTCCTAGACCTACCCATTTCCGCCACAGCGGTCACCGTCTTCGTCTCAGCCGGCAGCACCCCGTTCTCCACCGTGATCTTGATGCGATACACGCGGGACGGCAGCTGGAGCTTCTGTTCGCGTTTCTCCTCGCGCTTATCCCTCTTGAGTGCCTTCTTCAACTCTCTCTCCCTCCTCGGCTTCCTCCTCTGCCGATCAAACGCCCTTTGCAACCTCGCCTCCTTCTTGACCACCGCATTGATCTGCTTGTCAACCTTCTCGATCTCCTCCCTGACGCCCTTCATCTCCTTGTACAGCGCCTCGTCCTGGCTCTTGTACCCCTCCAACTCCGGCATCGCCGGCACGTTCTCGGCGCAGTACTGCATGTTCCTCCTGAGGTAACCGAGGCGCTCCCCGGCGGATCTCAGGCGGTTCTGCAGTTCTTCGCGGGTGCTCCGGAGCGCCTTCAACTCGGCGATGACAGCCTTGAGCTCCGGCGGCCTCAGCGCGTCCTCGTCCTCGCTCTCCTCGCTCTCGCCATCCTCACTATCCTCGCTGTCCTCACTGTCCTCGCCCATCATCCGGTTCGCCACAGAGTCGACCGTCATGTCCGTCACCACTGCCCCCGCGCTCATCCCGTGCCCCTCGACTTTGATGCTGTGCTCGTCCGCCAGCGGCGTCAGGTTGTTGATCGTGATCTCGGTCCTCCCTGGCTTCAATTCCCCCGCATGTCAGCCACCTTCCTTGCGCCTCCCTCGCACTCACCCCTCGCACTTCACCCCTCGCACCTCGGAAGGGAGTGGAAGGGATTCACCTTAATCGCCACATCCGCAATGTCGCGCACCACCGCCGCCCGCGTCGGGTATATCGTCACGCTCCGTGCCGTAAGCGCCGAGATGCTGTATCGCAGCTGGTGGACGGTGTCGTCGGCCATTGCTCTTTGCTCTTTCTTTTCTCACTTCTCTTCTCTTGTGCTGGGTGCGGGGGGTTCTTCCCGTTGCTTCTGATCGCGAGCCGGATGCGGGGGGCGCAGCGGCGGGGAGCGAAGGAGGTTATATGGCTGCCTTGCCTGCGGGATCCGGAGTCACCACACTCCACACACACACGTAGCACAAGGTAGCACAAGATAAGGCAGCCATCCAGAATCCCAGAATCCCAGAATCCCAGATGAATCTAGGAAACGCAGATCTGTTGAGTCATGGCTAGGCATTGGCATGGCATGGTGCGCGTACAGGTACTCTACTATATCTACTCTAGGTGGGGGGGATGCGGGGCGGCGGGGGGGGGGGGGGGGGGGGGGGGGGGGGCACGTATGTGGAGTAAAGTACGTACGTACCTCCGCCGTTGAGAACAATCTACAGCTCACGGAACCACCGACCGAGACCGGGTGCGGGACTGGGACCGGGGCCATGGAGCTCAACCCCGCACACGTCTGACGAGTATGATGCCTGGAGTACATAGAGTACATAGAGTACGATACCCGGAATGATGCACTCACAAGTTCACAAGTTCGCAGCCCACCCAGCATGGCCATGCACGCAACCAACATCGAGGGCTGGGCTGGAACTACCACGGCATAGAGTAGAGTGTAAGGGTAAGTGCTGCCTCACCAGGTTTTCCCCACAACTTAGTCACATCCACTCACTCATTTCATTGTACCTGGCTTAGTGGGCTCCTAATATAGACTAGTGCTTATAATTCGTAATGGTGGTGAGGCACCACTTATTGGCAGCTCCTGGTACATGCGCATTCCATCTGCAGCCTACATGCGATCGGCGATAAACCTCCGTATGGGAGCACAACACCCAATCGTTATGTGTTTTTGTTTGTTTTGTTTAATCGGTAGAGGAATTGCTTGCGGCCTAAGTACCGGTGGATCATGGCAATATATGTACGCCACTGTCCAACCCTACGTTCATCGAGCGGCCCCGGTGTGGCTCGATGTGGCTTGCCCTATAGGCTACGCCCGCCATGGCCCGTAGGCTGCCCCGAAGATATATGAGCGCACTACAGAAATAAAGCTAGGAAAGAATAGTCTGCTCCTCACCCCACCAGACGCCTCGCATCCTGCCTCTTCGTCAGGGTATGCCATGAACACGAACGAAGGTGTGGCGAGGAACATTCAACAGCGGAAGTGGTCTGGGTCCTCGACCTCAGCGGCGTCCTGCTCCTCCTCTCGAGTCTCGCCTCAGCTCCGCCTCCCTCTCTTCCCGCTCGGCGCACCCTGAGCTCGCCCTCGAACACCTCACTCGCTGCATCTTCCCCAACGACCTGAAGCCTCTGACATCCATCCGTCTGCCCACATCAGTGCCACATCATGACCTGGAGGCTGGCAGCACCGCTCGTCTGCTTGAGCTCCCAGCTTGCCCCTTCTTGCCCCTCTAGGCTCCCCGTCTCCCCGTCTCCCCGTCTCCCCGTCTCCCCGTCTCCCCGTCTGCTTCCGGACCTGTGCCCAGTGTTTTGGATTTTCTGCTGTGCTGGGCCCTGCTGGCTCTTCAATTCGAATTTCGGGTCAGCACTTGAATACCTACCGAGCGTAACCTAGGTATACCCGGGTCTGGAGCTGGGTATTGTAGCAGCACCATGGTCTATCCGTAGCGGGCGTCTGGGCGGCTCGTGAGTCGTCGTCTACTGGACCGGAGGTACTAGAGGTACTGGCCCGCGAGACAGTGTACAGTATTCACTTCAGCTGGTAAATACTAAAACCTCGAGACCAGGCGCTCAAATATTCGAGGCCATGGCCAGGCTGGGATCGGGTCCAGTCTCTGCCATCTGCCCATCTGCCCATCTGCCCAGCTTTTCTGCTTAACCAGTCCGGTACTTCTTCTTGCCAGTGACTTTCGCATCCGCCATGCCGATGCTTTTGCTTCCTTCCACTTAGTGTCAACTTTCCGTGCTGCCCCCCCTTAGGTAAGAGACGAGTGACGGAGGAGGTGGTGGTGGCAGCGGCCTGGTTGCGTACTGGTTCAGGTAGCGGGTGCCCTCCACTCCACTCCGCGAGCGAGCGGTGGGTTCGAGGTTATCGGCTGCCAGCTTGACCCATTCGTCTGGACTCTGCCTTCTCGTTCGCAGGGAGTTAGGGACCCCTTTAGGCTTTAGGCTTTGTGTGCCGCGCACCATCTGGTCTCAATGGTGATCTCAGGCTTGATGGCATACTCCTGGCCGGGGCCAGGCCATCGTCACCATCAGTCCAGCCAGCCAGCAAGCACTTTCCAAGCTCCAAGCCGAGTGACACGCCATGCAATCACCCCCCCTCCCGGCCCATCATCACCAAAAGAAGAAGAAAGTCCAAGATTTCAAAAATATCAACGATTGTGATGTATTTATTTATTTGATTTCTTTATTTTATTTGAATTTTGTCTGAAAGAAGTTTCCATGTTCTCAGGATGCACATATGCTTTGCCGCCCACGTCCATGTCCATGTCGTCCATGTAATCCATCCATCCATCAGGCGCCGCCGCCTCCCCCTCCGACCCGAGGCGTGCTTTGTCCCTATCCCTCCCCATCCAACCATCCAGCCCGCCCGTGTATATGATGCTTGCCAGCCAGTCCAGTGTAATGCATGTTCAATGCAATCCTCCAGCTCCCCCCCCCCTCCCCCAATGCCACCGAAAGTCGTTCGTCGTTCGTCAAAAAAAGTTAAGGAAAGTCGAGAAAAGGAAAACAAAGGAAACTCTCTCAATCATGAGCAACACCACAAACCACAAACCACAAACCACGAACCACGACAAAAAAAACAAACAATTCAACGAGTCCACGCCACCGATCCTTTCGCGCCCAGAACCACAAAAGAGAGAAAGATCAAAAAATGCAAACCCACCGGCCCAAACGCAAGGAAAAAGAGAAAAGGAAAAAACCAACACGAATCAAAGAAAAAACATATCAACACATGACAAGGAAAAGAGAAGGGGGGAAAAAAGGAAAAAGGGGGGAGGGGAACATAAGCACATGAACATAACCATCTCGAAAAAACCCGGCTTGCTGCACGGAGCCAAAAGACTCCGCCAGACTGATCCCAGGGGCCCGCGAGGGGGTGTTCTCTAACGTCATCAAACAGGGAAGAAAAATCGGTAAAATATAAAAAAACCGCCGCCAAAAAAAAGAACACTCGATGCATCGGGAATCCTGGCCTCAAAAGCCAATCTTTCTTCCTAGCCGCACCATGCCGATCCGAACCCAGACGATGAAGCCCAGCCATCTCTTCTTCAGCCCCACACGCTTCCGATCACCGCCGCTGTGGGGGTGGTCGTTGGCCGGCTCGGGAATCGAGATACCCCACTTCTTGCCAGTGGCGTTCTCGCCACGAATGCTCATGGATTGAGCTTTCGTGGTGAGTTGCGGAGAGCCCCGACCAGTGTAAACCTCGTCATCGTCGAGGAGATTGACGCGGTCCTTTTCCCGGTAACCGGGCTCCTCGACCTCGTCATCCCAGATAGTCCCGTTCGTTTGCGCGCTGGAACCGGAATTTCCGCGAATGCGATACGAGCTCGAGGAATTCCTCCGATCGCCATCCTTGGCCTCGGACCTTCTGCGCTTCTTCTCCCTCTTCTCCTCCTTCTTCTCCTCCTTCGCTTCCCATGCGATCCTGGCGGCCGTAACCGAGGCCGCGAACGTTGGCGACGCCTCGCGGCGCTTGTTCTCCTTCGAAGACACAAACTGGCGTCCTCGCGGCTTCTTGGTGCACACGGTGTCGAGCGAGTCGGCGGGAGACGCCGGGGTAGTCGGAGACAAAGTGGTTTGCGAACAAGGCGTTTGCTCGGGAAGGTCGTCAAGGCTGGGGGTGGTGGTTAATCGCGGAGTCGAACGGCCATCGTAGTGCGTGTCGATCGTCGTGACACCACGTGCAGCTGCGGACGCGGCACTTCGGCTGGAGCCGGACAGTACTATGCGCCTGGTCGTCCACTCATCTTCAGACTCGGAGCTGGACTCATTGCTGGTTCCGTCGCGCGACAAGTCGGGTGTGTAAGCTCCTCGGCGGGGAACCTGTCGCTTGGGGTGGGCGAAAGGCTGAGTCGGGTTGGCGCCCGCGACTAGCGGAGAGCTCGCACTCGTCGTCGAAAGAGTCGAGATTGTGCGTGTGTGCCGTTTACGAGGATGCTTGGGGAACGCGGTTTCCAACAGATCCTCGTCGATACCACTGGACTCGTAGCCCGGCGAATCGTAGATTCCAAGCCCAACACCTCCCGGCAATCCTCCATCCGATCGCGACAGATCCAACGAGTTGTTCCTGCTGACCGACACCTTCTTGAGCAAAGGCTTGATCTTGTTTTTCGACTTGATGGGAGCTGCTTTGAACATGTCGACTGGCGGCGGCGACCCCGGTCCAGAGAAGAACCCCTCGTCAAACATCTCGTCTGGGATCTCCTCGGGTGTCTTGTGGCCCGAGCGCGCCCGCTTGTGCAAACGACCCGTAACGTACTGTGCAGCTGCCAAACCAGCGTTCACTCGAGGAGACGCCGACGCTACTGTGGAAACGGAGGAAGCTCCGTTAGGCCAGTACGAGGTGTGTTGAGTCGAAGCGGACGAAGAGGTGTAATAACCGCCCGTCGAAGCCGACGAGCGAGGAGTAGCGTTGACTGTAGGCGAGGTCACTGAAGTCGGAGTTATGGCGTTCGGATGCCGTGGGGGGTGGTAGTTGTGTATCGGTATCGCAGAAGTCATTGTAGGGGGGAGGGGTTGTGATTTTTGGTTGTGCGGGGGGGTGATGATGGTGGCGGCGGGGTGTGGATGCGAAGTACGCTTTGTCTAGCTGGTGGTCTACGCGGCGAAAGGTGGGGTTGGTGGAAGTAGAGTTGACGCGAGGGGGTAAGTTAACAAAGGTTGAGAAGAGGGGTGGTGGTGGAAGGTTTTGATCCCGTGGGTGGTAATGTTGAGGCGGAGTAAGGTAGGGATTCCGTTGATGATGTGAATGATGATGAAGTGGAAGGCGTTCGACCAGACAGCCAAGGCGATATGGTGACGACGAATAGGCGGAATATTCTCAACCTTGGATCGTCCGTTGTTTTTTTATTTGCCGGGAAGCACCCTAAGAGAGAAGTACCTGCTTTTGCGTCGTCGATCCCCGCACTTTGAGATGGAGGGGGGAGAGCCTATGCGATGGCAGCGACGAGGTAGAATGTAACGAGTACGGTTGTGGTGGGGGAAGGTAGTGGTGGTAGTAGAGTAGTGACCTCGACGACGTGACTTGGAGTCTGCTTTCTTGCTCGTGGCAACGGGGGAAGCGACAGTGAAAGCGTCGCGAATAAATTCACAATAATCGATACCTGGAAAATGTGATGGTCGAGTAAGAAACTGATGCTCCCAGCGAACAAACGAACAGCAGCAGCAACAGCAGCAACAGCAACAACCCGTGATGTAACAACACACACACTCGGATAGTGAAGATATAGAGAGTGTATGAGTGAGTGAGAGTGAGAGTGAGAGTGAGAGAGGGGAACACGAAGACAATGGTGATAGTGATAGTGATAGTGTAGAAGGAGGTGGCGGGTGTGGGTAGATACAAGTAGGGTACTCCAACACATGAGCTGGGTGGATGTGCTCCCGGGTTGTTTAAAACAAAAAAACAAAAAGGGAGAAAGAGAGGCTCACGGAAATGGTTTCATTCACTTTCAGACTCAGCACGCCCGGAACGGAAGTGGGACTGTCGAAGTGAAAGGGCCCTGCCTGTTTGTCTTGCTTCCGCCGAACTCTCGGGCCCGCGGTGATTTTATTGAAGGTAGTGGAAGGAAGTAGTAGGTATGAAGGTAGTACGGTAGCAAGGTGAAGGTAAAAGTAGTAGTAGTTGGCACTCTGGGGTGCTCTGGGTACTCTAGGTGTGGTCTGGGTACGGGTACTCTAGGTACTTTGGGGACTCTGGGTACTAAGGCGAGTTAATCACACACACACTCACACGCACATGCACACCGTCTCTCCGTCAGCGGTCGTCCGTCCTCGTCCTCGCCCTTGGTCCCTCTCGTAAGTTTTACGAGGCCCCCCCGACCGACAGCCCGTTCCGTATCGAGTCAAGGTTCCCACGATTTGAATTTGATGGATTTTGCGGAGATGGGTGTTGGTTCTGGTGCTGGTTCTGGAGCTGGGCGGGTGGGATTGGCTGGGCGGACCGGGGTATGGGAGAAGGTGTGTGTGTGCTTTGTTCCTTTGCTGGCAGGGGTTTAATTTCTATTCGGATCGTGGCGCGCCCGGATCTCAGCCACGCTTCTGGGAGGAGCAGGAGCCTGCAATGATGATGGCGGGCTTGTCCAGGAGAGTCCTTTTTTCCTTTTTATTTTTTCTATCGAGGGACAGACTTTTGGCCACCAGAGCTGAACTTAATCTGACCACGACACGCACAAGCGTGAGCTGAAATATTCCCCATGATTCGGAAGTCCCGATGGGCGGGGAACTGGCTGCCATGATAACGATGACGGAGGGGGGGGGAGAGAGGCAAAGTGCAGACGGACAGGAAGAAAGAAAGAAGCCATGAAAGAGGGGAGAATGATGAGGAGTGGAGGGGAGAGAGAAGGGAAGAGGGGTGCACCGACCGCTGGCAGAATCCGCACGCCAAAAAAACAAAAACCAATCTAAATGTCGTCGAACGAGAGTGGGAAAGATGATAGCAGTAGCAGTGGTAGTGTACTCTAGAGTATCCGGCTGCTCTGCGGTCTACTTCGGATCCAAGTAGCCGTCGCTGTTCTGGGTTACCTCTGTACCTACACCCAGGTTTCCGGAAATCAAGGGCTCGAATTGGTGAGAGTTCCTATTCCGATATGAGTACCGAGTCCGATTTGACGGTTCGCGTCCGGGCTGGGGCTGGGTTGAAGGGCTGGGGTCGTTGGGGTTCGTAGAAGGTCGTAAAGGTCGTAAAGGTCGTAGAAGGCACTCTAGGTTGAGGGGCGGAGGGGGGCGTGTCGAGATGAGTGGGCTGAACGAGAAGGCGCCGGGATAGCAAAAGCCCCGCCTTTCTGATCTGCGGTGGTGGTTGTTGATGCGTTGTTGAGGGATATGGCGATGATGGTGATGGTGGAGTGGTGGAGTTGTGGAGTGGTGGTTGTGATTGTTGGGGTGGAGGTGGAGGTGGTGGTGGTGGTGGTGGTGGTAGTGGTGGTGGTGGTGGTGGTTGTTGTTATTGTTAACGTTACAATAGCATTCCCAATACGCACCGATAAGGGATGGCGGGCGACAGATCGATCAGATGTATTCGGGTGAAAAGAGAGGAAGGGGAAAAGAAAGATGAGGCCGGTCGTGGTTACATATGGGTATCTAAGTGGGGACAAGTCTCGAGAGAAAGAGAGGGGATTAGCGAAGAAGGACAACGCAGGCAAGAATAACCATGGAGACGGGCGCTCGCGCGATAGTTGCTCTCTTTCTCCGCTCTGCTCTCGTCGCCTCTCCTCTCCTCGCCGCCGCCGACTCCTCGTTACTCTCCAATCGAGTATGTTCTTGCCGCTCGCTCGCCGCAGTCCATACTTACGATGCAGTTGCTTCGTTCCGCAGCGGCATGGATCGCGAGTACCTAGAGTAGGGTCGGGAGACCTCTCACCTGCTCTAGTGAGGCCCCCCCGAACGCATGGGCACAGCACAGTACATACATTATGTACAATTCAGCACCGGCATCAGCAGCAGCAGCTGAGGCAAGCAAGCACGCAACCACAGCGACAGCGACAACACAGCTCGGGCACTCCAGGGCAAAATAGCAAAACAGCAAAACACATCAATTCATCGCAGCAGCCGCCGGTCGGAATCCTTCTGACTAATCAGAGCCGATGAGCGGATGCCGCGTGCGTGATGCTAATGCTTGTGCTAATGCTAATGATAGTATTGGTGGTGGTGCTTGTTTGCCTCAGCAGTCCGCCTCCTCCTCGGCACGCCGCCGCCCGGTCCTGTCGCTGGTGTTTGTTTTGGCCCCGGGGCGTTCGCTGTCACTGCTGTGTCTGCCGTGTCTTTCCTGTCCTTCATGTCTCTCATGCCATTGCGGCGAATGCCAATTCGCAGCGCGGGAGTTTGCCCATTCGTTCGAACTTCGGCCGCTGGGCTGCGGACAATTGGGGAGATGTCGTTGGACATGTTCCGCAGCGACGACGCCGGTATGTGTGTAGAGTACGCAGGTAAGGTAACCATGATACGGTATGTATCGTATGTACCGGCTGTTCGGACGTTCGAGAGAAAGAGAGACAGGCAGACGGGGTTTGATACATTACTAACTATTACCATAGTACTCGACGGTATCCTCCAGAGTCCAAAGTCCACATGAAGAGAAAAGCCCAAGGAAAAAAACCGGTGGGGATGGGGGAATGGAGATGGAAAAATAAAAACCCCCGTTACTTTTCTTCTTTTTTCTTTTTTTCTTTTCTGCTGCTGCTGCTGCTGCTGCTGGCCGCTCTGATTCTGCTCCGAACCACACCCATCAAATCGTCTCGCTGATGAGTTTTTTTTTTATCTGCAGAGACTCTCACATCCCCCTCCCTCCAGTGCCTCCACCCCCGAATCCAGTAAGTGGGGGTCGATTCGGCACAGAGGGGGGATGTGTTGATTGGGGGGAGGGGGGCGTGATGAACCAGCACCAAGCACCAGCACAAGCACCAGCACCAAGCACCAGCAGCTGGCAGCTACTGCAAGGTCCCGCAGAACAGACACACGAGACAGACAGAGAGACAGCCACACCACCACTTCACGGTCCACCACCACCACCAGCAACAAGGAGAATCACCAGGCCGGGCCACCACCACACTCACACTCACACTCACGCTTCCCCCGGAACATATCACGGTTCGACGGTTCGAGGGGAGTTGGGAGTTGGGAGTTGGGAGTTAGGAGCTCGGTGTAGTGTGCATCGTCGTTCAACTCGCACTCGTGCCTTTGTAGAGGGTACTCGTCCTAGGAGACGTTGCCAACGCTTCGCTACACCTCACTTTCGCACTTCCACCGCCCCGCCGCGCCCCGCGCCGCCGCCCGCCCGCCGCCCGGCCATGTCTATGTATAATGGTATGGTGGCCGCCACCTACAAGAGGTAGCGTGACAGGGGGTATCGAGCTCGAAAACAGCCCCTCATCGCCAGCCGCAATTCCATCACCCAGAATAAAAAAAATTATTTTTCCTCTGCTATAGGATAGAGGAACATGTGTAGAACACCGCTACAGAGCCTGATTTTAATTTGGTGTGGTGGTGGTGGAGTAATTACGCTTTGAAAAATTCAACTTTTGTTAGGCGGGGATATATTTGCGCTGCATGCGCTAACGGTTTTGGTACGCATCTATACTCCATCAGGAAATACTAGTGATGATTTCATATGCTGACTAATACTCTTGGCATACCGCTATCTTCTATTGGATATTCGAGTGATATCCTGTGCTTCCTTGCGTAGAAGGCGCTACCTCTTTAAAGTGGCCGCCACTATACGAGAGCAACAAACCCTTTGCTCGCTCGCTCGCTCTCACTCCCGACTCCCGAGCGCGGCACGGAGTGGGGCGGGGGCCAAACGCGTGGCAGAGCTGTGCTTTCGCCGAGCGCGCTAACCACTTAACGAGGCCCTCAAGTTCTATGGTAAGCCGCCTTGTCCTTGTCCTTGAAAACACGTCCGCTGTTACTGCTGCTGCTGCCGGCCGGCGGCCTGCGGCTGCTATCGAGCCTTGCACACCTTACGTTGCATTCCCTTCCGCCGCGTATGTATGGTACATACATGCTCTATGTGTGTATATGTGTGTGTGTATCTATAGTACTCGACATACCTGCCAGTAGATACCCATAGAAGATATGATATGTACTCGCGAGTACGGTATGGTATGTATGATATGTACTGCCCACATACATAAATGCTCTCCATGCACGTTCATCTCCTACATACACAGAATATGTATGTGACGGGTTTTGCGTGGTTGCGTGGTTGCGTGCTTGTCTCGTAGAAGGAAGTCCACGAGAAAGGCCGAGCAGGCAGGCAGGCAGGCAAGTCAGAGCCCGACCGAAGGGGACCGTAGAGTAGCAACTGTAGCTAGGCTAGCAACCAGAGGCTAGAGTCGAACAACAACATCAGCATCAGCATCACAGCAGCAACAACACACCTCAGCGAACGGGTACCCTAACTACCCTAACCACCCCAACTAACGTACTGGATCCTACCCGCACCGATCGGCCGGGGCAAGTAGAGGCGCGCGCGCCTATGTATGGTGATGGTGTATCTAGGCCCGTTCCGCACACGCTCCGCTTTCTCCGCACACACAGTCCGTCGCGCAGTCCGTCGCGCAGTCCGTCGCCCCGCCGGTGGTGGTGGTGGTTGAAGCTTCCCTTCCCTTCCCTTCCCTGCGCTTTTCTGCCCTGCCATGGACCGACTGCCATGGGCCATGGACTGCCAGATCGGTTGCAGACTTGCAGTTTCGGAAGCGAGCCGACCATCACCCGCCGAGCGAGCGGCACCACCGCACCACCGCACCACCGCACCACCGCATCCTCCAGGTTCGAAAGCTGGCGGGCGGATTGTGGGTTGTGGGAGAAAAGCATGACATGACGTGAACACGTTTTTCCTTCTTCCTCTTGCTTGGCCTTCTTGTTCTGCTTGTTCTTCTCGAGCTTTTACTTCTTTCCACATCGCATCGCATCGCAAGAATCGCGATTCGAGCTCGATTGATTGATTCGACGATCGAAGCCACGAACCCTCCCTTCCCCTTCCCCGCTTTTATGTACCTCCCCCCACTCCCACTCCCACTTTTCCACTTTCCACATGCCACATGCCACATGCCACATACATGCCAGCTTCCACCTGCCATCTGCCAGCTGTCTCATTCCCGTTCCATTCCCACGCCGCACCATCCTTCCCTTCCTTCCCCCCCCCCATCCTTCCTTCATTCCCCCCACGATGCGAGCGAGGAGATTTCCAATTTGCTGGGTCCGGTGTATCGGTCTGTCAGTCTGCCAGTCGCTCGCTCGGTCGGTTGGGCGGGGGTCACCCTGAGCAGCGACGAGCATCACCCTGAGCAGCGAGCATCATCATCATCATCATCATCATCATCATCATCATCATCAAGGTCAAGGTCAAGGAAAATAATCGCCGAGGAGCTGCCTAGGTAGGTTGGTAAAGTAGTCGCCGGAAGCTAGAAGCCGTCCAGAAGGAAATTTCGCGTTCCATTCCCGTTCCTTAATCCATTCCATCCATAATTCCGCTGCAATTCCGCTGCAATTCCGCTGCAATTTGCGTCAAGGACAGCACACCTTCCGTGAGGGGAGAAGAGCAGAGCAAAGCAAAGGAGTGGGGGAGGGGGTGGGGTAGTTATGCTAGTTGGGACATAGAAGGAGGAGCGGGAGGAGGAAGGGAAGGGAAGGGAAGGAAATGCAATCATCCAAGATCCACGACACCCACGACACACACACATGTCACACACACACGCGGACGGGAGGGAGGAGGGATTCTCGGGATTCGCAATTAAAACAATTGCAGATTGATTAGGTATCAAGAAGGTATGATTTCCATATGGAGATATATTTGTTTCCCGCTCGGTCCTCCGGTGGGCTTGGTGGGTGGGTGGCGATGATGGATGGAAGGAAGGATGTCCGCCCCCGGGGAGGGAGGGGGTCCTTGAAGGATGTTGGCGCGGTCGCGGGTGGAGGAACTAACCGCAGTGAGAGAAAAAGGCAAAGCGTGAAGTGTGAAGTGTGAAGTGTGGTGAGGTGAGCGCTCTGCTCTGCTCTGAGGGTGGACGATAGTTAATTAACCAGAGTAGAGTTAGTCTGGGTAGTCAACCCGCTCCTGTCCTGTCCTGTTCTGTTCGCGCGCCACTGCCAGCGAACACCTTTGGGAGGTCCGGGGGAGGCTTGTGCGTTCTTGCACTGGTCCTGGCACTGGTTTTGGCACTGGCACTGGTTCTCGCAATGGACCTCCTCCTCCTCCTCCTCTCGTTCGGGTTGGATGGACAGTTTCGGAAGTGCCAAAGTGGCGATCGAGCTCCCTTCGCTCCCTCGCTCGCGAGAAAAAAAACACACGCATGCATACATACCTAGAGTAGAGTGCATACGGTACCAAGAGTACTGTAAACAAGCCCGCGAATTCGAGCCCGAACCAGAATTGAACTGAACAGAACGGATCGCGAAATTTCCTTCCTTCCTTCCTCGTTCGCGCTCAATGCACGCTGAACTGAAGTGTGGGGTTCCCCCCAATCGCCCCCCCCCCCCCCCCCCCCCCCCCCCTCCCCCCCACACACACATACATACAGGCGCCTGCACTGTGCATGCACGACAGCGACAGCGACCGCCGCCGTCGTTCCGTAGAGTACGGTACGGTATGGGAATAGGAATAGAAACATCAGTATGTAGAGTAGGTAGGCCGGTATTCCACGGTTGTTTCCGGGGAGGTTGGGGGGATGGGCAATGGGGGGATGATGGAGGGTTGTTGGTTGGTTGACTTGGTTGGTTGGTCGTTAAACGCCCAAACGTGCCCGGGGTGCGAGGGTGCGAGGGATGGGATGGGATCGATGGATTTAGATGTGGAGGTGGATGTGGATTTTGGGGGCGACCGAACGTATCCGGCACATGGGCCCATGAAGGCGGGGGGTAGGAGCGAGGAGAGTATGTAAGGCTGAGAGAGTGCTGGTGGTGGACCGTGGTGGTTACTGTGTATAGTAGCTGTGTCTGTATACAGTGACGGCTGATGACGGCTGAGTGCTGGGTGCTGGGTGCTGGGTGCTGAGTTCTGTGCCGAGTGCTGTGCTGAAAATACCTCCCGCCCGCTTCCAGGCTTCCCCCCCCCCGCGTACTCCAGAGTAGAATGTGTAGAGTCGCGAGAGCGCTCGTCGCGAAAAGTGGCACGAGTAAGCGAGCCACCTCCTCCCTATGACCTGGGTATGATCGTGGATTCGTGGTATCATTATGATGTGATCTTTTTTTGTACTCCACCTAGGCATTCGACGGATCATGGATTCATGGAAGAGAGCGGAAATCCTGCATGCAGTACCAGTGCGGTACGGTACGGTATCTAGAGTATGTACGACAGTGCGAGGGCTGATTGACGGCCAATGACGCGAGCGGGAGGGAGCGGCGCGGGGAGGGGGAGGGGGGGAGGGGGTGATTGCCGCTGCATTCCGGAGATGAAGGATGGACTCGTCGGCTGTTTGTTTCGGCACGCGGCGGGGAGGGGGAGGCGTATCGCGTGGCATGGGAGGTCACTCGTGTAGGTACTTGCCCGGCACCGATAGACACTGGCCGAAGGTGAGCTGACCGACGTATGTACCGTCGCAAAGAAAGGAGTGATTGGAGTGCGCGCGTAAAGAAATGTGCAGGCCCGCGGTGTGGTCACTGGTTCCTGCGGGCCTGCGGCAATCTTCTGGAAACGCCGCGGCCCGCTTGTAGAGTATGAGTAGAAATGCATCGGCACTGGCGATGCAATGCAATGCTGTTTCGTGTAGTCTGAAACTTCTGAATGGGTGGAAACCGGTGGTTAACTACATGCGAGGATACCTATTAATATGCACTCGTCAACTCGCCTATTTGGTCTTCCATCTACATACACTTGGAAGTTGGAAGTTGGAAGTTGGCCCCGTGACTTGGAACTTGGAACTTGGAAGGCTATCGACTTTGGCGCAATCCTAGGTGGTTGGTTCATCGTATTGCATTCGGCCGTTCTCGATCACGACCAGCTGTACATACCTGGTACATACCTTATTGAGTAATGTACTAAAGCCGGAAGCCTTATGTAGGCCTTAATAAGCCTAAGATATAAAACAATCCTCGTATAAGCCAGCTCCTCCTCTTTCTAACAGTTCCTCTTCCTCTTTCGAACAGCTCCTCCTCTCGCTAATGGCTCCTCCTCTTCTTTTCCTCTTTCTCCTCTCCCTCCTCTTGCTGCTTGTGCCGTATCGACGGCGAGGAGCAGTAAGTTAGCAGGACGCAGTACTACTAATTCGCAGCGCAGCAAGGGCTACATCCAGGGCGAGGAGCAGTAGGGGTCATAGTATGGTGAGTGGGGGACGGTATGGGAATGGAGGAGGGCTGACTAGGGAGCGGGGAAGGAGAGTAGTTTAGGTATATAAGGGTACGGAACAAGTGATAGTCATAGTCAAGTGAAGAACATCGATAAGTGATACGCATTGCAAGAGATAAGGCTTGTCGCAGAAGAGATCATTAAGGAATCCTTATGAGTGTATAAGCCTTACTAACCCTTATTTGTCAAAATTCTTTACAGAGCCCATATGGAACCCTTATGAGCTTCTAAGGCGAACCGGCCAGTAGGCGTTTCAGAAGGTTTACGAGTCAGAACTAATTTTCACTGCACTCGGGATTGTGGAAGCCATATTCAACAATATGAGCTGGAATTCGAAAACCCTGACTAAGCCTTCTTTTATGAAAATACTTGTTGGGGGAAAATACTATTATTAGTAAAATCTGCGCATGATTGTTGTGTCAAAATCGCCCTCATATATAGCTGCCATAAGGCTTTTGACTTTAGTACACGGCTCAATATGGTAGATCGACGTCTCCTGAGGCTTCACACCCCGAACGCGAATCCCTTGAGTCCAAAGCGGCCTGGTACAGAACAGAGCCCAGACGTAAACCGGAAGTATAAACAAAAGTATACCAGAACTATGTACTCTAGCTGGCACCTCGAGCTCCTTGCTCGACCAAGAGAAAGAGAACAGAATTGGTTGGCTGCAGGACGGGGCCATAGTTAGAGGTAAATTCCCAGTTCGCCTCCAAGTTCCCCTCGTCATTGTCTTTCGTTGGTTCGTCACATTGCATTCGATCGTTTCCAATGGTGGGAAAGCTATCAGACGTAAACTGGAAATATGTAAATCGGAATTACTCAAGCTGGCACGGCGGCACCTCCTTGCTCGACCAAGAGAACAAAGTTGGTTGGCTGCGTGACGGGGCAGGGGCCACAAAGGTAAATTCACAGTTCACCTTCCAAGTTTCCCCTCGCCATTGTCTTTTTGGGTTCGTCACATTGCATTCGACCGTTTCCAATCAGTGGTGGGAAAGTGCCTAGCTTTATTAGAGTGTGCTATTTACCGATTCCCGTCTCTCCCAGTCCTGTCGCGGTTTCTTCCCCGAGAAGGCAGTAGGCATTCCTTCGGCCCCGGAATCCCGGAGTGCCCTTAACCCCGGCTCCGCCCTCCCGCTGTCATCGACACTCGATAGTGCTGGCTCGTTTGAGGGTTGACTCTTGAGTGAGCAGTGAAACGTGACCGAAAGATCCAGTGATACCAGAGTATATACCTTATGTATTGTACATACCATTCCCCAAAATCTAGAGTAGAGTAGGGTACTAAACCCCACAACCACTGTCGTAAGCACTCTTCGGAGCCTCAGCCTTCAGGCGCTCGCTGATGTTTCCCCACCCATCAACCCTATCCGACGTGACGGACTGGGAGTCTGGGAACCCGCTCGCTCCCTGTAGGCTGCAGAGTACAGTCCATCTGACATGGCGTGATGGAGCGGCAATGAAGCTTGCACTGCTGTGCGTGCGTGCGTAGGTACGTACGTAGGACCAGAGCACGCGGCCATCGGTGTAAGCTCAAGCTTTGTCCGTCCCGAAGTCGTCATCCTTCGCGCGCCTCCCCCAATCAAAGCCTCGCCCTCACCCGTCGATATTCAATTGCGTAATGCTCTGACATGGTGTGTCAAATTGACGTTTCCCCCATAAGACTCGTATTTCCATGTCTGTCCCTTTGATGCCTCGACGAAGGTGAGTATCAACAGCAAAAAAAGGAAAAAAGATCGAATAGGTCCTCCGCTTCCCAGTAAACTAGCAAGAAAGAAACACAGAAGCACGTACATACGCAAGCAAATCAAAATATAAAATGCTGTTACGAAAACAGGAAAAAACAAACACGTCTTCATCCCCACGAACAAATATATGACGAGTGACAATCTATGAAATCGCCCACAGCAAAGTGCACATCAACTCCAAAGAAAAATAACACGGGAAGGGAATTGGAAACCAAACTTCAATCACAAGTTAAACGGAAATCGTTGGTAGAACTTCAATACTTCAATATTGACATGTAGCTTCGCCTTCCTTTTCTCCGATTTAACCTCCGTAGTGTCCCCGGCGCTGGGGAATCGAGCTGGCAGGCTCTATGACGACATTCTAATTCTGCGGTCCAGCATCCACGATGTCGACTATGCGGTGCAGTACGTACATCGGTGACTGGCAATCGGGAACTTCAGAGGACTCCATGACGACTTCCTCATTCACTGAGCCAGTATCCGCCGCGGTGATAGTATCTTCGACTTCCGCGACTGGCCTATACATGAATGGCAGCTTTCCGAAATTTGCTCTGACGTGGCCATATTGTGCCATGATGACGATCGGGAACAGCTGGCCAGAAAGTCCTTTGTGTGCGATACCTATTCATCCCATTCAGCACGGGTTAGAGCGATAGGTAGGACGATCGACTGATGGGCTCACACAGGTATGCGCCATTCTTCGTAAAGAAAAGATCCCCGTTTTTATCCACGCCACAACCAACCGTATCCCCAGTTCCATAAGGCTCGTTATAGCTCTCTCCCTCATCATTCTCCAGATATTTCTGCCCGTCATACCCATGGTATTGCCAAGTGCTTTCTTTCCGGTCAAGAGTTGCGTGGACATTATTAGCCCTCGGCCCCCTACAGAGTCCTAAGCCAGTCATCCTGCGTTTTGTCAGCCTTGCTTGTCCTTCTATATTGGGTGAGAGAGCTGCATACCTTTCAGTACTTATATATATCCGAATCTCGAAGTAGGTTGAGGCATTGAAAAGCTCATTCCCACTCGGAGAAGCAGAACTATTCTCAGAAAGTCGGCAAGGTAGAGGAGGAAATGGATGATCGGCTCGGCTTAGACAATAAGAAGCTTGATGTTCCTTGGAGATTCCCGGTTTAGGGCGGAGGGAGTCGAGACCACTATTCTCCACTCGGATATCTGGGCTTTTGTGCTTGGTACTCCAAGCTGTCGGTAAGAGTACGGTTTCCGGGTTGGTTGAGAGGTTCGAAGTTTCGATGATAACGTCGGTGCGATCCTGCAGAAACTCCCGTATCTCGTCTCGAGATTGTACGAGGTGCGCAACGGTCCAACCATGCACGTCCGTGTCGAAGATATCGGCCCCGGATAGCTTCCGAGCGCCTATGTACAATCTTCGTTGTTTCTTCGTCGGCTCCCAGCTGCTAAAGCGTTACAAATAGAGGTGTTCGCCCGTTGTTGTCTTTGATCTGTGGTGTCGCCCCGGAGTCAAGTAGCATTCTCACATTTTCGTATCTTGCTTCCGCGCATGCGATATGTAGTGGTGTAAGGTCATCATTGTTTTGTATATCTACCTTGGCCTTGTTGTCAATCAGGAAGCTAATGATCCTACTGTTACCGGGAAAACTCTGTAGCGCATGGTGGAGGGCTGTACAACCGTCTGCATCTTGCACGTCTGGTGGCGCCAGAATTGACAAGTAGCTCAGTGATTCCCTGGTTCTCGCGCAAAACAGCTAGTTGTAGCGCCGTACGCCCATTCTCGGTTTTGACGTCGAGGTTGGCCTTTTTTGCGATAAGGAGGCTAATAAGCTCTGTGCTGTCAATCAGGACGGATCGATGAAGCGCAGTGAACCCTGCTCCGTCCACGATATCAGTAGTATGATGAGGTACCGTGGATTCTTCTTCGCTTTGGGCGTCGGTGGTTGTTTCGTATTCGAGCAATATTGTGGCCAACGCAAGATCATTCGCAGTGTACATAACAGCATAGAGTAGTGGCGTGCTTCCGGAATCGTCTGTGCTCCCTGGAGAGGCGTTATGGCGGAGCAGCAGACGAACGAGTTCTTCGTTTTCTCTTGGTACAGTCATGTGTAACGCCGTCTGCCCTGTGGAATTTTTCAAGTCGACATCGATATCGAGGGTCAACAATGACTTGACAATCGACTCCTGACCGCACTAAGTCGCCGAATGAAGCATCGTCTCTCCCTCTTCGTTTTTGGTTTGAATAAAAAAGTTAGTAGTCTCTATTACGTTACGTGCAGTCGCCAACTGCCCCCCCGCAAGCGCATAGTATGTGAAGGATCTCCCCCACTTGTCTTTCGCGAGTGTGTTGGCCCCATTCGCAATTAGAAGCTGTACCGTGGAGGTTTTATCGTGCAACACTACAAGGAGGAGCGGAGTTCGTCCGTGGTTGTCGATCGCTTCCAATACCCTCCACGGGCACCGACACTCTTGGTCGCCTCCTCGCGTCTCTCGCCAGTATTTCCGGTTGTTTCTTCGATCTTCCCACCAGTGCCCTCGGTCGTCTTCTCATGATTCTCATCGGCGCTCTCGCTCTCCCGGAGTTTCCTATCGTGATCAAGTAGTAGGCTCACTAGTGAATCGTGGCCACCGGAGACTGCAAGATGAAGTGCGATCATGCCATCTCAGTCCCTGGCGTTGCGATTGGCTTTCTTCAGCAGAAGTTCCACAGCTGACTGTCTGCCGTAAAATGCGGTCAACAAAAATGGAGTCTTCCCGCTTTGCTCTTTCGCCTCAAGTTCGGAGCCTTTTAAAAACAAACTTATGCACTCGTCGGATCCTACAAGGGCAGCTAGATGCAGAGGGGTCCTTTGCTGGAGATCGTGGACGTTCTGCGAAGCATGGGCTTCCAGCAGCAGCTTCGCGGCGCCGGCGTTTCCAGCATTTGCTGCCCAATGAAGTGGCGTTCAATTGGCGATATCTCGGAGGTCCGTTTCTGTTGTATCAGGAGACTGGACGCCAGTAAGTAAGCACGGTGCATCCTAATGAAGAATCGCAGCTCTGGCGATCATACCGTACACGATCCCGGTTGGTCTTATCGTTTAATACTGCCGCATAGTGCGATGGAGAACGTCCCAGGATATCCTGTGCGTTTGCATATGTCTTGCCGTCCTTGGGATCCCAATCCTCGCCTTTCAAGACCTTCTTGTGGAGGTTTGTAAAACCAACGTGCGCAGAATTCGGATCCCCCACACCACGTTCGTGACCGAAAAACACGAAAGAGTCATCCAATCTGCTCTGGTGGTCATACAGCAAGCGCAGTGTCGCCTTGATGTCATCGGACATGAGTTCCATCAGGCATTTTTTCACCGTATCAATTTGGGCATCTAAAATCTTCCACTCCCGGTCATCTGTGGAGTAGATTTCTTTTTTGTTGGTCAACCTTTTCAAGTATTCGTAAACCACAGCTGCTGCCTTAACAGCGAAGGGGCATAAAATTTTCGAGCTAAACTGCTGGGTTACCCGAAGTATTCCCCGATAGATGCTCTGGAGACTTTCCCAGTTCATATTCTCTAACGGTGCCGCATGCTGAAGCTCTAAGTCAACAGCAGCACCAATTGGCAATTTGTTTTCCAAGCTTAGTGGAGGAATTATGTAGGTGTATGCTTCATCGTGGCTCCTTGAAAGATCGGCGTTTTGAATACCCAGCGCCATCTTCGAAACCTCTGTATTCCGAAGCCGAATATGCTGCCAAGCACTGGGCCGGCTGTTCGCAGTTTCTTGGGACGCTTTGGAAGCCCCGCCGATCCGATCCAACTTCTCCGCAGCTGCGATCATGAAGGCCGTGAAGATATGCTGTGCGTATAGTAACTCTTTCGGTGCGGTTGTTACTATTCCTAAAGAGGCGTAGGGGCCTTCATCTTTCGAATCGTGGGAAACGCTATTGTAAGGCTCAGTACTGGGGGTTTGTGGATCTTCCGGCTTGTCGTGAGACCCCATGTCCTCCAAAGACATTGGAAGACATTGGAATGTCGCAAATAGGGACCCTTTACCGCAATCACTATTCCGTGTATGGGAGTCTGCCAATCCTGATGGGCCGTGAAATCCTGTGATCCTGTGGCTATCTATTTGATATCTGTTGGGTTCCATGTCGGGAGTGGCCACTGAGTCGGCTGATACCATTCCCACTTTCAAAACCTCGGCAGCACCACTTGGCACCCACCACCGTAGATCTCTGCGAAGTGCAAGCGTGTTGGAACCCAGGAATAATATGCTCTGTTTTCTTGATTTGTGTCGAAGCCAGTTCGTTTCGGGTATTTTGATGTCCCGCGCGAGTTGTTGCTCCCTTTCCTCTGACCCCTGAACACGACGTAGCCACAGCGACAAAAGCGCCTCGATTCGATCAACATCGGCCTGCCAGAGCTTTTTGTGGTTTTTCTGTTCCACCTTCGCCCGAAGATAGATTTCCTGGTCATTCGGATTGGCCATCTTGCACTCGTTGGAGGCACAACTTACGTGAATTTCCAGAAGTCTCACAAAATCTCTCAAAAATGTCTTCTTTGGCGGGAATAGGGTGTTTAGGACGGCTTCGATTGCATTAGCAGCGGCGATCGCTGGCTCGGATGCGGGCCCGTCCATCGGCTGAGTTGTCCGACACGTTCACGAATATCAATCAATTCTTGGGCTCCCGGTGTGATCGATGTAGGGATTTTCGGCGTTGTATTGGCATGCGTTTGCCCTGTCGACTGATCGTGTTGAGTAGGGATCGAATGAATATTGCCTTGTACTTGAACAGTTGGCTCTGGATTGTTCTGTACTTGGAATGTTTGCTCTGGATCGTCCACGACTTGCTGTTCATCTGTGTCCTGCTTGTCTGCAGGCTTCCCACCCGTCATAACCCTGAATGTACACCATGAACTGTCCTTGAAATCTTTAGTGTTTCCGCGGTCACAGAAGTGATTCCCGAAATTGTCTTTGCGGCTCGCCAATTCGGTCGCGAGCCACTCCAGCTCAAAGTTGGTTGCTAGCTTTACCGCTGAGGGGCGTTTCGTCATTCCACGCCGTAGGAGCGCCCTCACGATTGTCATGAAAACGGTTGCTGCCAACTGTGCCGTTGAAGCTGATCTGTAATTGCCAATCCGTTCATCCATCTGCTTTTAAGGCGAAGCTGGTAGGTAAGTACTCACCAATGTAGGCCGCGCAGACCTATAAATTGAAAGACAAACCCTGTGATCGATATCACAGTCCCGAAAACGGTGAACGCACGCATGGAGCGCGGCGCATTGAAGGCGGGACCTTCTTCGCACTGGTGACAGCTCGATTTCCGTACCGCATCGACGGGGCCGTCGGCAATGATGGCGTAGGAATCGAATGTTTGATCGTTGATCACCCCGCTTCTTTGAATCCTGTGCGTTTTGATGAGCTCTGGGTCTAAGCGGAAGACGTAAGTGGCTCAATTTTACCAGAATATAAAGAGGTGCACCTTCTCTAGGCGATCGTCTTTCACGTATGTTTCTTCGTCGGTGCTCAGTTCTACGACCGATGCAGCTATGAACATTCCGGTCACAAGTAACAGAGTGACAATGGTAGCCAATGCTATCAGACACTCGGATCAGTATTTCCGTATACATTCACGGGAAGTGCTCCGTCGTCCAGAAGCCTCATCTGTGGGGAAAACGATAACTCACAGTACGAGTGGCTTTGAGCTGTGAGACCGGCCTTCCGGAATTGCAAGTGAGACGAATAGGCGGTATAAGATGCCAGCGTGGGCACAGCAGCCTGAATCATGACGACAAATACCGCAGCCAGGTAGAGCTCCCAAGGCTGTTTCTTGATACTAAGATTCATTGAGGTGTTCGGAGAATTTTCTTTAGCCTGTACGAGCAGCTCATGCTCTTGATACTAAGATTCATTGAGATGTTCGGAGAATTTTCTTTAGCCTGTACGAGCAGCTCATGCGTATGTTCTGCAGCCGCTTCCACGTCAGTTGGATTCGGTGGCTGTGAGGAGGGATCGTCGTAATATTTCCTGCGATACCAGAGCACGCCATTCAGCAATCTCTGCGACAACTCTCGACTCAGTTTGCATTTGATCAATCCCATTCTTCTATTCAGAAAGTTGCGCCACGGCCCTCGGTTCGGTTTGTGTTTGACGATTCCTAGGCTTTTGGCCTCCTCGAGGGTGAATACGGGAAAATCCTGCTTGATTTTGTCCAAGCGATCGTCCTCCAGTGATCGCACAGTGTGAACCTCTGGAGCTTGCCACTCATACGGCCTTTTTACTGCTGCTATCTCCGTTGCTGCTCCTGGCGCCGCTGCTGCTACTGTCGCCCCTCTTATTTCTACCGGTGGTGGTGGTGGTGGTGGTGACGCCACTACGGCTACGGCTACCGCTGTTGCTGTTGCTATTCCTATCGACACTGGAGATTTTGCCGCTTTTGCCGCTTTTGCCGCTTCCGCATCTGCTTCTCTGGCCGCCTTAGCTCTTCTGAGTGTCTCGAGAACATTCGGCGGAAGATTCTCGAAATAGAGGAGTTGCTGGATTTGGGGTGATCCCATCACACGAACAATTGCATCGCCATTCCAGATCTCGCAGACTAGCAACTGCCATAAACTTAATGTCCTCGCTCATAGTATCGTTACATATTACTAGCCTTCGTGAGATGTCGATGACATGAGCTCAACCTCCGCAGCTGCACGCGTCTCCCGCGCCCGGCCGATCGGTTCGCGCAACCACGATGGACCGCCGACCCTGATAGCCCCTACGCATAGGAGTCAACGGAACCGGTGAGCTGAATAGCAGCGGTGTAGCATACCAACAATGGTGGTGATGATACCCAAGGGAGCCATCGAGAAGACCAAATTATCGACCCAGCTGGCGGAGAAACTCATAAATTGCTGGGCGAATCGCTTGCCAAAGCTGCAATATCGTCAGGAGCGGAACGTTGGCTTCGATGATGGAAGAGCGAGAGTCACAGTGCGAGTAATCTGTGCGAGGGTATTGGCTCGGCGTAAGAACCTGAACGGTGACATGTCATTTACGGAGCGATCAGAGGCCAGGTTACTGTTAAACTCGGCCCCATCACGGTATTTTTGATCCTCAGCGCCGCCGACGACCGCGGTCGTTGTAGCTGCAGTGACGTCGGACAACATCATCGCCAAAGTCAATCCGACGTGCGCCATTGTAACCGTGACAAGGCCCGGGAATCTAGAGTATTGGACAGCGCTCATTGTATCAGTAGAGGAGGATTCGAGGAAAATGCCTAGACTACCTACTATATCACAACAGTGTGTCGTCGCGAGGCACACGGATATCAGGTCTTTATGCGCCAGTATGCAGCATGGATGCCTAGAAGCACTTCGAACAATGAATGCAACCCGGGCGGGGAAGTTGACAACAAAATGTGAACCCGCAAAGTTCGCCAATGAGCGAATTACGCATGCGCACCATCCTCAGATCCTTCAAATATCCTTGCATCCATTTCGCAGCTGAGACATAGTCTTCGAATCCGCTTTGTCGAAATCCGAAACATGCCTTCCATGCTCTAGGGGTGTAGAAGAATTTTGTCTTGGTGCAGGTGGGTGGCTAGATGACACTGGTGGCCGCTGGACAACAGTGGAACTGAATTGGAATTTCCTAGTTTTGCGGACGACTCTATGCGAAAAACCTATTTCTTAGAGGACGGTGAGAGAGAGGGAAGAAGCTCTCTCCATGGACCATCACAGCTAAGGTCGGCCCTCCCTTACTAACTGACAGGTTCACCTGCTAACCATTTTTGTTCGCTCCCGCCAACATCCTCCCCAGCCACTCCGCCACACCAGGTATCCATCACGGACACCATCAGGGTTCACCAGGATTATCTAGAGTACCGGTATTGGTACATAATGCCGACAACGAGAAAGTAAAGTGTGGAATGAATTGGCTCTGAGCCATAGGTTTTGAATACGCACTCCACACACCGGTCACTTAGGTCCAAGTGCATAGCGCGGCTGGGACGGGACAAGACGAGCGGCGACGAGCTCGATACTACCTAGGTACTGCTATTGTTGTACTACATAATGGTAGCAGACTGTATAAGCATGTTTAGAGGGCTGTAGCTAGGTTCTTTACCAGAATTGGAAACCCAAAACTTTGGGCACGGGCATTCGCACTAAATACTCGAGGCCATATCTCGAGGATTCACTATTCACAGCGCGAAACAGCAGCTAATTACTCAGGTTGGCGGGACAGGGAAGCCGAACTGGACGTTAGGTTAAGCATCAAAGTTTACGGAATCACTACCGAATACATACCTCCTAGGTACTTGGTCCTATGCGGATCTTTAGTGGTACCTGTAACCTAGTGCATGACTATTTTCAATTCGAGATTGCAACCTGCAGGCTGTGATTCCCATTGTGCATCGGTCTATACCGAGGTTTAATTGTCCCCATATCTCACTCTGTCATCGCTGCCCCCCGACCCTCGTCGTAGCCGGCCAACAACTCCTACCTACCACCTAACATCGAACGTTCCGAATCTCACCACGTTCTCCGTCGTCATCAAGTTCTATTGATCGAACCCATCACCTCCTCAGGCCACCCCCCTTATGCTTCATGGAGAGTTCCAGCACATACTCAACTCGGTAGAACGCCACCTTTTGTTTTGTTTCAATCTACATTCACTGCTTCGCTATAACTTATATGCCACCCCTAGCATGGCGGTAAGCTTCCAGCCATCGTTCCGAGTTTCGGCAGTAAACTACAACTACTTGGTTCCACATACTTTACCTACATTAGTGATAATCCATGACTCATCCTGGAATGATCGGTCACTGGGCAGAGAACCTTGAACTCGACTCCCTCCTCCCGTGTCCGCACCATTCCTGCTCGAGAGTGTGGCTACATACAAATAGGCTACATATAGACATAACTGTTGATTGATAATTCATACAGCATGGAACCATAAGGTTATGGCCGGTCCGACATAACTGTGTAGAGTACCAAGATCGGGAATAACCAAGGGTTGTCACCATTTCTGCTCTAGGACAGGCAGTCGGCAGAGTGCGTTCAAAATCTTTATTGCCTGTAAGTTTCATGGGTTGCTTTGGGTGAATTTGATATAGCTGCCATCCTTACTGCAAATTGCCTTCCTCGCAGCAAAGGAATACTCAAACAGACCCAGTTCTCAGGTCTGATCGTAATGTTAAAACATGTCCAGTAGGCATTTACTCAAATCATCCAGCAGCGAGAGAGTGTTTGCAAAGTAGGAAGTTCACGTGGTCACGACACGCAGCATCGAGCTCTAGAGGTAGCCGCTAGTGGTCTGTACAGCTGGATTACACGTCGGCACTCCGTCATTTGGAGCACGTGATCATATGGTAGGTGTCAGCAAACGAAGTCTAGTTATATCGAGCGGCGTCCTCGACTCCTCGGGCTGATTCCGAAAGACCCCGAGAGTTCCGTATACCTACACCGGTGGTTGTTTAACCGATCTTTGATCCGGCGCCTGGCTGTGAGCTTATGCATATGATGGAGGGGGACTCTGGGTTTAGCATCATCTCCCACATCTCCCATTCACTCTTGCATGGGATGTCACTCGAGTCGCCGGAGTAAGTGGACACTCCCGGGGATATAACGGGTGGTAGTCTGGGTGAGGTATTCGAGTATGTACAGTGCAAGGCTGCGACAAGCTACCGCTCCATTCCAAGCCCCCGATTACAGTGCGAGGCTGGGACAAACTACCACTCTATTCCAAGTCTAGAGGCCACGACTCACGAAAGTCGAATGGACAGCCCGATCTAACAATTACCTACCAGGTAGGTATGTATGTAGTCCTAGACGTACGAGGGCAGTGAACTAACTATCATAGTTGGCAAAGTACCGATGGATCCGGTCCGCGACGACGACAAGATGGAAGGTCCGGTCCGGTCCGTCTGAAGGACTTACATAGGGCCGGAACCCCACCGAGACTCGAGTCATGGTGGACTCGCTCGCTCGCTCCTGCCACGAAAAACAAATCACGATACCTATCTCCCGCGCACAGACCTCCTCCAGCAAACTTCCGGTCCTCCTTCACTGCCCCACTTGATCCCGAACGAGGCTCGTACCATAGTTAGTGCTGGGCACGGTTGTGGATGTGATGCGTCGCATCGGTACTCCGACATGACTACTTCATATGTACGGGGACTATTTTATTTTGCCGACGCGCCGCGCGATATGTATGGTAGATTCTCTGTACTCAACATATCTGTGGTAAGTATGTTGCATAGCGTCATGGGTAATCAGGCGGGCGGACAAGCGCCACCACCACCCCCCCTCCGATTATCGTTATCGCTCCCGATCTTATCGGCCGGAGATAAAAACTGTGGTTATCCCGTACGATGACTACTAACTATAGGCTAAGCCCATTGCGGTTCCGGCCGGTGAGGCTCATGCAGGATCACTCGCCGTCGCCTACGTTAGAACGAGTGCGCCTTGACGCGAACGGATCGGCATCAACCGGGAGTGCCGAAATCATCAATTCGACTTCATCCGTTCCATGTAGCCCCTCCCTCCCCCCCTCTCAATCTACAAATAACTCCCCGTATCTACATAGCTTCCCACGAATCTAGAGTACATACGGGAAGGTGACTTGTGAGAGCCCACGGATCCCCAGTGCCCAAATGCATACACCCCCCACGCCAACACGCCGCATCATCCCCCCCACGCCATCATCATCCACCTCCCACCCCCCCACGCACCCCGTCTCACATGCACGTGCACGCATCAAATCAACTCCTTACCGGGCATCGAGAAAGAGAAAAATCTGGAAGGCAAGCAAGCTTGCTCATGCAGAATAGTTAGCTACATACCGGTAGGTATGTAGATATGGGATGTGGAGCGATCCGAAGACGAGGACACAACCCTACCCAACTATGTACCTAGCCTCAACGGTGCAACATCTGCTTTGTACTATTTACCTACCTGGGTAGTTAACTACTCTACTCTACTCTACTACTCTACTGCCTATAGTTACATATGATATCTGCCGCCCTGCGAACAAGTGGCGATGGCGACGGGGAGCGAGGGAATGGAGACCGGGGGGCTGCGATCGGATGGATTCGCCGTCCGTCGTCGTGGAGCGATCCGAAATAACTATCCGTGGGGAGTCTGGAGTCTGGACGTGTATCGAATCTTCGATGGGAACTATCGAACCGCCATAGAACGGGCTGGGTCCCCACGTCGACGCGCCACGGGAAGGGGCATTCGGCAGGAGGAGGAGGAGGAGGAGGAGGAGGAGGAGTGGGGGAGGAGGGTGGGAATGGATTGAATCCCAGCCGCAAAGCCAGCAAACGAACGACAGTGCCACTCGGTGCGGTCGAGGGGCGAGGGTGTGGGGAGGGAGGCTAAGGACGGGCTGGGGAGGGAGGAGAACGGCTTACTTGCATGTGGGGAAGAAGAGCGGTGGTGCAGGATTGCCTATTCCGAGCATTCTAGAAGAGCTCCCCCCAGCGGATGGTGGCGGTGGCTGAACAACAACAATTGCATCGCGCATGACGCATCACACTTGTCTGGAAGGAATGAAGGAAGCCGTACCCAGCACGACCCGGGGCCTTATGATACATCGGTACTTGGGTATGGGTCCATACATACCTACCGGTTGGAACCCGATGGGACGAGGGGCATCATAGATACATACATAAATAAGTACCCACTCCGGTACGTGCGGTGGCCGCTTGTCGATTGCGATGCTCGAGTACATACCTACGGTATCCACGTTCCGCACCATCCAGCCAGCCAGCCAGCCCCGTACCGTATGAGTACACGGCGAGCAGAGTTTCATGTTCTTCGATGGAAAGGAATAGAGTGTTTTGCTTACTTCCCTTACCCTGGAACTGGGCTCTGATGATTCGAAAGAAAGAATAAAAAAAGGCTGACATACTCCCCATAGGTGCATACGAGGCAGGCAGGTCGAAGCGTCTATGTATGTTACCCCAGGCCACCACCATCGACATGGGAAAATCAGGACCTTGTCATTTTTTCGTCCCCTGGCCATTTGCCAGGTAGGAGGAACATGTGTCCCATCCATCAGCATCCTCCCCGAGTCTCGCGTGGAACCAAATCCTGGGGTTCGGACGCTCACTGGCACATCCACACAACTATTGCTTCTAGGGTAGAAACTTAACGGCGGGTATGTATGTATGTGTGATGAGGTACTCTACTGTACAGAAGTCAAAACTTCCCTCGCGTAGAGTACCTATGTACCGTGCTTACCGTACCTACATATGTTACCACATAAGTACATACATACCTCCTACTATACCTATCCCCCTATATGATATATCCCATATACATACTAG